GCATCGATGAAACTGCTGCAACCATCACCATCATCAATCGCAGTGCCGATACGCCTCGTACCTCAAGAAACAGTCCGGCAGAGCCACTTGCGCCCCACGGCAGTCGAGACATCCTTCAGAGACGGCATGGATTGCATAGTCTAAGCAGGCGTTGCAGGCGCCAGCATCCTGGACAGCACAAGCCGCCGAGCCATAAGCCCAGGCATCGCCATTGAGACCGTGATAGTGTTGATCATAACATGAGATCGCCCCAGGATTCCTCGCGAGCTTCGGCCCTGCTTCCATCAGATTCCACATCAGGTGCTCGATCGCGAAGGCGAGCGGGTCCCCGATCGGCACCGTGTCGACGCTGCACAGAGGAGAGACGTCTTCCGCCGCCGTCGTCGTTCGAATCGCTCTGCTGCTGCAGAGCAACCAGAGGCCGATCGCGACGAGTTTACGACAACCAATTCCAACTGCCATCATCGTCATCAGCCTGCTAGCTAGCTAGTTATAGTAAGTTTGCCCTGTTTCTGACATTTGGCCATGGTGTTTTTATAAGCAAAACTTTGGGAGGGCATCTTCTCCTCGAAAGTACAGTACCTTTTTTCTTCTCCTTCTTATTTGCCATTATGCTACAAAAGGCACGTTCGGCAGAAGGAATTTGGGCTAATGAACAAAGCCTGCCTTGACAAATTCTCCTCGAATAACAGCATTCGTCAGTCAGGAAGCATGGGTTGGATTGCTAGTTTGCTATCATCTCCTTCCGAATGTAGTCGAATGCGGATCAAGCACTCCGAGGGGTCAATAACTCGAGTTACTGGGATCAATTCGTTCTCGACAACGTATCAGAGTGTCTTCTGTGACACCGAAAGATCCTCTGTGATCGAATCCACACGATGATTAACAAACGCCACACTTGTGATCGGGCAATTGCACACATTGATGAGCTCGAGAAGAACGTAACTAACTCTATGATCAACAAAACACAAACAAGATGGAATCACAACCCATTCCGATGGAAATTTATTGGCTTCGTGCCTCGAGGTTCCAAGAGAAAGTAACATACATACATGTTAGGGAATGATATAAGATCCAACATAACTTTTTTCCCAACAACTCGAGTTATTGGGACCAACTGGTTTATGACATTGTATCAGAGTCTGGTTTGACCAAGTGGTCGTGTGTTCGAATCTCCACAACCCCTAATATTAACAGCTGATTAAAGCACAAGGTATGGTGGGTCTGTGCAAACTTCAAGTCCATAAGTTGGCTTTCATTTGAGGGGGTGTGTTAGAGAGTGGTATAAGATCCATCATAACCTTCTCCCAACAACTCGTGTTATTGGGACGAAAGTGATAGTTAGAACCTGCCCATTCCTCAGCATATGTGAGGTGAGTGACAACATCACGATTTGTGGCGATGAAGAGGCATCCAGGGTTTTCTCTTATACAAAGAGTTCCATAACTTTGATAAATCGGTCATTGTATGATTTCGAATATAATTATTGTTCATCAACTTCATAGTAAACAAAAGTTATTTCGCTACTTGCAATTACAATATATATGTTAATTACAATTTTTGGAGGTGTGTGATAGATCTCAATTTAAAAGTTTAAAACGACAAAAAGTAAATTTTTCATCGAAATCCCGACTAGCGACACACCTCTCCTTATCCTAGACTGCCCCTTGAGTAGTAGTACTCATGGTTTGTGATACCGTGTCGAACCGGTTGGTTGAACCGAGAAAACCGAAAATCAAAGTCGGTCCGAAATGCTATGAGTTCAGGCGGTACCTTAATTTTGCCTATATGGTTTTTTAAGAAAAAATAATTATTTTTTAAAGAAATTGTATTTTATCGGTACAAACTATTGAACCATGATCGTACCACAGAATACCCTACGATCAACAAATCGGTATGAGTTTCAATATAGTTTCACTTTCACAAACCATGACAGTACCAGTAGACCATCCCTTGTCGACTAAGAATCCATACTTGTTGGCCAACTAATATACTTCCAAAAATAAAATTGTCGACAGCTTCTCCACAACCAATAACTCATGTTTAGTGCAAGGATTGGAAAACCGTATCGGAGATTGTAACATAAACGTCAGCATATAATTTTATATTGAAACCGTAGTTTAACCATGGTTCAACCTTTTTCATACCGTCTACCATTATTCCGCTTCTAGTAGAAGGTTTTCTAATCGAACTGTTTATACGTTACGGTTTCTTAATCCAAGAATAGCCCCAAAATTCATATTCTATTCCAAGTAACTTGCTACAATTTCGATCCCAATTATTGACTAGTTACACACATGCTTCAAGCATAGTATACACATCAAAGCTAATTGCAACAAAGTCGACCCATAACATTACATATGTCCAACCACAACAGCAAAACCAGAAGAACAGGGGAACCAAATCATCATCATCACGACACAAGAGAAAACAGAGCATCAACGAACTGCTGCAACCAGCCAGAGCCAGTCCACCACCACCATCAATCGCAGTACCTATACGCCTCGTACCTCATGAAACAGCCCGGCAGGGTGACTTGCGCCCCACTGCAGTCGAGGCAGCCTTCAGACAGGGCATGGAGTGCAGAGTCCAGGCAGGCCGCGCAGGCGCCAACATCCTGGACAGCACAGGACGCCGAGCCATAAGCCCAGGCATCGCCTTTGCTACTTTCGTACAATTGATTGTAACAGGAGATCGCCCCATGGTTCCTCACGAGCTTCGGGCCCGCTTCCAGCAGATTCCACATCAAGTTGTCGATCGCCAAGGCGAGCGGGGACCCCACCGGCACCTTGTCGACGCTGCACAGAGGATAGACGATGTCTTCCGCCGTCGTCGTTCGAATCGATCCGAGCAACAAGAGGCCGATCCAGAGTAACAATGCTGACGAGGACGACGACGTCGTGACGAGTTTACGACAACCAATTCCAGTTGCCATCATCATCATCATCATCATCATCATCATCATCATCAGCAAGTTATAGTAAGTTGAGTTCATTATTCGGGCATGGTGTTTTTATTTTTATAAGCAAAATTTTGAGAGGGCATCTCTTCCTTGTAAATACTGTGGTTTTGTTCCTTTTCTTAGTTGCCATTATGTTGCATCCGGCCGGATGCGGTTTGACGTTGGGAGATAATTGCAAAAAGTACGATTGGCTAATAGAACAAAACCTGCCTTGACTAATCCTCCTCGAATAACTGCATTCGGCAGGCAGGAAGGTTTATGGCAATGGTAGTCGAAAGGCAGACCAAGCTCTCTCAATGTACTGATAAACCGAGTTATTGGAACCAATTCGTTACTAGCATAATATCAGAGTCTTTTGTAAACGAGAGATCTTTACCTTCTGTTCGAATCACGATCAAACGGATTGTGATTCCAACTTTGCTTGTGTTTGTTGATCATAGAGTTTACGTCACTCGAAGTTAGGGATGGCAATTTGAACCCGCCGCGATGGGCGGGGGTATTACCCGACCCGCAGTAGCGTGGGACGGGGCATGTGTATCTACTTCCGATCCGCAATAGCATGGGCGGAGAGCATGTATATTGAGGTACCTGTCCCGCCACGCTCCATCGCCATCACTACTCGAAGTGGATCGTGTGGGACCCATCTCGACCACAAATAAACCTTACATGGGCCACGAGGCCCAATCGGAATGCATCGGATGAAGAAAAAAAAAAGGTGGATAGGAGGCCTATTGTCCCGTAGCATCATCTGATCTCAGCCCGCATGTAGATGGGCCGGACGAATGGGCCATCGGCGAATCTCTTCACGCACGGGCGCCATCTCGGTTCTGTCTTCTTCCTTTTGCACGTATTATGGCCGCTCGTGGGACGGGTGGGATACCCTAATTATTTATTTTGGGCTGGCGTGCGTGTGTATTGAATTGGATTATGGAGCTGTATATATTTTTTTTGATTCCCTCGTATTTTGTACGTACGTTAATTTCTATTATTTATATTAACATTATTATATGTAATGGATTAAATGGTGCCAACTGTAGTCGATCCTTTCTGAGTTGTCGAAATTCCATTTGTAAATCACCTATGGGAAGTCTCTAGTGGCCAGTGCCGCCTTAGGAAAGCTGTATATTATGATCTCTTTTTTTTCTTCTTCTGTATTTGTCGACATCCTTGTAAACAGAAACAAAAGATCCATTTGCTGGAAGAAGCCATGTCGAGGAAGAGATCAACGTCAACCAAGTTTGTTGAACATGGAATATGACGATCGATGGTTGAACTTGTGTGTTAATTGGATAGAAAGTCTTTGCCCTTAGTGAATGCTTATGTCGGAGTTGATATTATAGATTGTTCTTTTAGGTCACCGATGGATGTATGTATGGATTGGAGTCGCACGTTGCGTTGTATTTTATCAATCAGGTGATTAAAATTAGTGAATCTACTCCTTTTTAGCATACAAGTTTAAGTTATGTTGGTTGTCTAACAATAGTTGTAATCGCCGCATGGGTTGGGTAATAGAACGATTGAATGTATCATTGCACTCCGTTTGCATTTGTGTGTAATTCTGGGAACCCATTTGCACAAAAAATGATGTTAATTGTGACTGGTTTCTCTTCGAACAAATTTTCATATCAGCAACAATAAAGTAATAGAAATTATGAATCGAGAACCTTTGTCCAATTTGAAACCTAAAAAGTTTGAACACACTGGTCTAATTGCATTTTATCAAATATGAAGATGAGACGATCTTGTGATGGTAAGGGCATGTTGAAGGTGGGATTCTGTTAGGCATGACGAGTAGCTCTTTGCCAAAGTGATTGCAGACTTGTGACGCTTGACATATGTCCATCCAATCGATTATCATTCAATCGATCGATACACCTCCATTTATGTTAATAATTTTTATTAATAGCTACTATGAATTTACTCTTAGGTGATTATACATCCATCAAAGCATCAACAATAAAAATAAGGATGTAGAGAACAATCTAATTTATGAGTCACAATTCAACACAAGCACTACTCATCCAAATAGTTGGACATTTATATTTACTTATTATAAACTAACTAATATAAATTAGCTGAAAACAAGCCGCAAAAACACAGAGGGCCAAAAGGAGAGTGAGCTGGAAATGGCGTTTCCGTAGTTTCCCACAACTCCGAGGGCCAATATTCCCCAAATATCCTATTAGATCCAACCCACCGTCGCCACTGACACTTTGTCTCTCTTATACGGAAAGAGAGTCCTCCGCTCCCTCTCACCACCGCCAGAAATAAACTACCAGAGAGACACAGCAAGAAGAAGAAGAAGAAAGAAGGAAAATACCCCGCAATCGGAGAAACAAAAACCATGTCCCCAACCAAACAGAAGCACCGGAGCTCCGCCTCCACCTCGCCCAGATCCACCGTTGATGCCGCCACCGTACCCGACTGGATCTCGGAATCAATCAACGGCGGAACCCTCCGCCACGTCGACCTCGAGACCGGAACCAACGGCTGGGCCTCGCCACCGGGTAATCTCTTCTCCCTCCGCTCCAAAAACTACTTTACCAAAAAACAGAAATCCCCCGGCGGCGACTACCTCCTCTCCCCCGCCGGGATGGACTGGATCAGGGCCTCCACCAAGCTCGAGAACGTCATGGGCCGGCCCGACAACCGCGTCTCCCAGGCCCTCCGCCGGGCCCAATCGGAGGGGGAATCGCTCAAATCCTTCGTCATCGCCGTGAACCTCCAGGTCCCCGGGAAGGACCCGCACAACGCGGTCTTCTACTTCGCGTCCCCAGATCCGCTCCCCGCGGGGAGCCTGCTGCACAAATTCGTCAACGGCGACGACGAGTACCGGAACCAGCGGTTCAAGATCGTGAATCGGATCGTGAAGGGGCCCTGGGTGGTGAAGAAGACGGTCGGGAATCACAGCGCGTGCCTGCTGGGGAAGGCGCTCACCTGCAATTACCACCGGGGGCCCAACTATTTGGAGATCGATGTCGATATCGCGAGCTCCGCAATCGCGACGGCGATTCTGCATCTCGCGCTGGGGTGCGTGACGAGCGTGACGATCGATATGGGGTTCCTGGTGGAGGCGCAGGAGGAGGAGGAGCTGCCGGAGAGATTGATTGGAGCGGTGAGGGTTTGTCAGATGGAGATGTCGTCGGCCGCGGTCGTGGAGTCGCCGTCGCCGACGGGCGTGGGATAGGGCTGGCGAAGGTCAATCATCATGAGGACGAAGATTGATCGATTGAATTGATTGTGGTAAAGGACAAAACTGTAATTGTTGACCAAAATGCGGGGTTTAGATTATTATTTTTTTGCGTTCGTTTTTGTAATTTTGTTCAATGAATGTAACGCTTCGGTTAAATGTTTTTATGTGTGGGGGTTAGCGGTGGACATTGTAGATAATAAAAGTGAAAACATGAGTAACGACGAATTTCTTCAAAAAAAAAATTCATCTCGAATGCATAGAAGGATACAAATCATGTTGCGGATTATCTAGTCTATTAACGACGTGACGATTTAGGTCTTTAGAGTTTGGCAGATATCAGTTTGTAACGTGTTCGTGGTGTTTATTCGATAAATCACGAGTAATTTCGCCTAAGCCAAAACTGAAATGTGGCGGGAGTAAGTTAGAGTGTGAAATTGACCCATTAGCTACAAGAATTAGGCTGCCAAATGTTAGGGCATTGTGGGTTGGCTGTGGATTTGTAGAGAGGGATTTGTGGATGACAAATGACTATATAGGGGTGATTGTACTTGGTCTTGTTTTCTCTGCGGAAACATGGGGTAAGTAGAAAATTATGACTGTTGTGATCATTGTAGGTGGTTGGATGGGAAAATATCAATATCATATTTTAGAATCGGTGCGCTGAAGGGGATCTTAACTCGATTGGATGCAGCTTGACTACGGTGCTCATAGACATCAACGTAGTTGGAGCGAGTGCGAGCGATCTGTTAGCACGCTCTCACAAAGATCGTGCGAGCACAGTAGCAAAATCTGATTTGACATATGTGTTATTTGAGTGGATGACCTCATCTCCAAAGCCTCTTTTCCCTTGGATAGAAAGGCTTCTTTCTTGTTCTTTTGCCGACCATGTGATCATTGACACTACTGGGCACCAATCATGGTCTTAGGAGCTTAATCAGTCATGCGATCATTCGGTGTTTAATTAGACTAACATACTATAGAAATTATTAGTATGGTTACGCAGACGTAATTAGGTTATCATTGTGACACATCAACGATTGTTGGATTACACGCTTTCGATTTCATGATAGGATGTTCTAATCCTAGCAAGCATTCGAATACAAGCGATTTAGATTTTAGAGTAGTGTAGTGGTAGTGAGCATTGTGGTGAGTAGGAATATATTCGCATTGCTGGTTTAGGATACAAAGACACGCATAATTAATTAGGGTTCTTCCGCCACCAACAACAACCTTCATTTCTTTCCTATAACAATAAATACTGATATGCCAGAAAAGAAAGATAACAGACACCATCAATCCAGTTGTGTTGCGGCTTTTAATCAAATAATAATGAAGAAAGATCATCTCCTTCTCTGCTAATCTCCATCCAATTTGTACTTAATTAATTTATAAATCATTTTCTTCCTCTCATCATTCATGCATGCTTGATGGAGAAGGCTCAATTAGGTGACTGATTACTGATTAAGACATTAAGTATATAAAAATGGAGTGGTCACGGTTAAGTCCAACAGACCAACTGCTACCTGAAACAAACCAGCTACCAGAACCGGGTCCGGGAGACTATTTATATGTGTCAAAAGCCACAATGATCACTAACTATGTTTAATGTAACATAATAGTCACTAAAATTTCCAAATGCATTGAACTGGTCATTTACGTTTCTCAAAATCATAGCAAAATGATAATTTTCTTTGATTTCATTCAGGGGAATTGAATTAATAAGCGAATAAGAAGTGACATATAAGGGATGACACTCCTTGTTGACACTTCATCGCGCACCCGGTACAAGCTAATTAACTTAACATGACCCAACCTAAAATTCCATGTCAGACCAAACCCCTTAAATATATATATATTTTTTTTTTGAGATGTTACAAAGGACGTCGATAATATTGAAGCTACGTATATTATAAGAGATACTCGTTATGTGGACTAAAGGAGATACAATAATAATAAATTTTTTTAGTATGTCTGGGCAATTCGGATTTAGTGGTTGAGCTCCCTCTCCGATATATTTCAGAAGGACATTGATGAATTGTGTATGTTTTAGTGTTGTTAAGTAGCTGAATCGATGGACGTTGATCGACACATATAACTATGATGATCTATATTCTTCTTCTCGAAATACCAGGAATTGATTATACCACCAGTATTCGTAATCTCACAATCGTGAAGTGATTATACTACGATAATAAGTCCGTAATAGAAGTAGGTGAAAAACTGGGTAATACTAGAGCACTTCTATTATGCTATATAACATTGGTGCTTTAATGTATAACTTAAAGTTGTACCTTAACATTAAATGTATAAGTTTAGGTTGTACCATAAAGCAATTTGTATCATTATGTTATGATACAACTTTACAACTTGAAGTTGTACCATCACATAAAGGTACAAGCTCAAGTTGTACCATAAAAGAATTTGTCCAAAAAGTATAGGTACAATCTGAAGTTGTACCATAACGTAAATGTACAATTTTAAGTTGTACTATAAAAGCAAAAACCTATAGCACCAATACTATATAGCATTGTAAAATTTATGGTAATACTAATACGATGCCGTATATGACTGGTGACCTAAAGGGTTTTAGGCGGCAGCTTCGTTACACTCTCGGTTGAGGTTCTTCAGCTCTTCTTCCCCCATTCTGTCTAGCGCAGATATGGCCTCGCTTTGCAGGTCCGCTGTAATGGCGGGCTCAAGGTCTTTAGCTGCGCGTTCTAAAACCTTAGCTCAGAAGTCCGTCTTCTCGTCCTCTCCTTTCACTTCTCCTTCCCCGGCACGAGCCTTCCGAAGCGCTTCAAGGTCTGAAATTGTTTTCTTTTGACTTCCAATCTCAACTCCTTAATTTTGTGTATTCATTAGATCAATTGAACCATTTTGGGCTTCTGGATTGTTGTACAATTAGGGTTGTTTCAGCTATCGGGAGCGTAGATTCATTGCTACCTTTTCATAGTGCCACGGCGAATGCTCGGCTTATATCCAGCATTGCTGCTGATTCCTCTTGCTGGAGCATGCTTTCTGAAGGTGATCTCCTTTTGTTTTCCAAGTTACCCATTTCTCAATATAGTCTCAGTAGTTTCGTTTCTATTGTGCTTTATGAAATGCTCATGAATGGAAGGAGCCAAGGAAGGTTATCAATCTTGTATGTCTAGTTGTTATATCAGCCATTCTTGATTGCAAGAACTTTGCCTTCTATCATAATGCTGACTTCCATACAACACAAGTTAGATGATAATGTGTTGTTACAGTAAGACGAAAGTGATTTGGAGTTTGCTCTGATCATTATGTTGCTTGGTCTGAACCTTTCCCTTTTCTTTGTTAACTTAGACAGTGCAACAATTGGGCTTAATTGACTTCTTGGTTGATTGTGTTACGACTTGTTTATTAGTTATGTTGTTAGCGTTCTGTTATTTACCTTCTGATCTGTTTTCCTGGGATAATGGTTGTCTCTAATCTGTATCTTGGTTGCTTGCACTAGGCCTTGCAACACCTTTATGACATCCGTGTTGATCTGTGCTGGATAATGAATGCCGAAAGGAGTTTGCGACGCCATTATGACCACCTTGAAACTGAACTCTTAGGAAGGACAAACACGTTCTTCCAATTTTTGCTTCTTTTGTAAGTCGTGTTCACTGGCCTTGTCTTTTCCATCTGTACTTGGCTGGGCTACTCCATCTGGGCAGAGAGCTTCCATTCATTTTGAATGATCAACGATTGTTCGTGTGGTTTATGGAGTCTTGTAATAATGATGTTTCCTTCTCATTGACTGATTGAACGATGCTTCTACTAGGTATGCAGTTCCTTAGTTCAAAGCCGTGGCCTCCTGTGATACCTCTGAAGTGAAATCTTATGTCCAATGATGAGTTACTCTGTTAAGCTTAATATATTTCATCAATCTTTTTGCCTGATTGCCTTGGTGGTAATAGGTTCTAAATGCTAAACAATCAGTTGGGTAAATCTGCAGGTGCTGTGATTCCTTGTAGTTTGGAATCTTTGAATATGGTTTTCAACAACTCCATTCTGCAGAACTTATGTGTTAGAATCAACTCTTCTCTTGGCATATCTTTAGGGGCGTTTATTCTTGAGAACTATATATGATGAATGAATCCAGTGGCATGGCTTTCTCTTTGATGGACCGAATCGTTGTAGTTCCCACTCAAACAATAAGTCAATTGAACTATGCATTCTACGTCTGTTCTTCCTCTCTTTACGACTTCGTCATGATATGCTTGTAACTCCTTGTTTTCGTCTTGGCTTTTTGTGGACTTCGTGGCTCCTCGGTTGATGAGGAACTATGAACTCATTTCTTAGGTAGAACCTGAGATTGAGCTTACATCCTCTGAATTCTAGCCTCAGTTGTTTCTCTTATAACAGCTGCTGTTTGGTTCGTATCTCCTTCATGTGAAACCATAGTTTCTGCAAGTAGCCCTTAGCCGAAACATGCACTTTGTTACTTATTGGCTTATTGCCCACACTTGTTTTCCTTGGTCATTCCTTACAGAAAACGGAAACGATGACGAGCTACTTCCATGACTATATTGTACTGAGTAGCTTGGTCTTCCTTAAACAGCTTTTCGCTATATTAATAGGGCATGTTGTTGAATTACCATGTTATACTTAGATTCTTTATTCCCTTTTCCGAGTTCTTCCTTTTGGACATCGATTGAGCCCACTACAACCTCTCTCGAGGTCTCAGACTCTCAGTTGCAGCCGCCGCCGGCGAACCCAACCCTCCCTCGAGCTCCGTCGTACACCACCTCCATCGTCCGCTGCTGCACATTCCCGAAGACCGCCACTTCGCTCGCGTCGTCGTTGCCCTTGAACGCCAGGCACACCTGTGATATCGAGAAGCCGTACAGGATCCCGACTGCCCCGATCTCCACCTCGACGCCGCCGGCGAAGAAGAACGAGATCCCGGGCACGGACACAACGTCGTAGCTGCTGAAGTCGTAGCAGGTGTCGAGGATCGACCGCGGCTTCCCCAACGGATAGCTCGACATCTGCTGCCGGAAGGCCGACCGGAGGGCCGAGTAGGCCGCCGGCGGGAGGCGGCTGATGACGGCGCCGGAGTCGATGACTCCACCTGCGGTGGAGAAGACGGTGGCGGAGATGGGGAGCTTCTGGCCTCCGACGCTGATTGCCGTGATGTCGAGGCCGTAGAAGCTGGTCCCCGCCGAGCTGGCGGAGAGTGGAGTGTATTTCACGGACTTGGTGGTGGAAGCTCCGCCGCCGAAGGTCAGGAATCCGGTGTCGCTGGAGGTGGACGGGAGACAATAGGAGAAGCGCTTCCTGTACTTTCTGGCCGTTTGGGAGACGAATGAAACCTTGTCCCGTCCTAATCCCAGCAATCCGGCGGTTCCGCGGAAGAGTCCTTGGTTGTTTTGGCCGCACCCGAAGAAGAAGTTGTTGAATACGCCGCCGGTTGACGTCGTCAACGTGATTTTTTCCGTGCCGTAGAATCCGACGGAGTACGACGAGTCGCCGTACTGGATCCCGTACACGCACGTCGACGACGAACACCCCGGCTTGATACCTGCCAGTGAATTAACAATTCACGGTAAGTAAAACGTAATGAATTGGTCAATTGTTTCATTTTATAAAATGAGTAATTTGAAATTCATCGATTTAAACAGTCTGCCACATTTGAGATAATTGTTCCGCACGAAAAATTGGTTTATTTAAATTTCGTGTGACCAAATAGATCAATTTGATGAGATTGTCTCAAATTGATCCGTTAAGAAACGAACTTGATTAATCAATATTCCGATGATGGAATGGAACATACTTGTGGCGGAAGCGAGGGCAGAGCAGGAGGCGGAGGAGCAAGAAACGTTTCGGTACGAAGCGGAGGAGGACGGGTCGAAGATCTTCTCCTGTTGCTTGTAGCAAGACCGTACGCACGGCTGGCACTGCGTCCACGTCAGGTCGCTTCCGGTGTCGAATATGAGCGATTGCTGCTGCGCCGGCGTGCCGACGCCGACGGTGACGAAGTAGTTCGCGCCGCCGAGGGTGGCGCCGTCCTTCGCCGGGATGGTGGTGGAGGAGTCCTTCATCACGCTGACGTCGTCGGCGCCCGCGACCGCGTTTCTGTATCTGGACTGGATCGTCTTGACCCTGGACTCGTCCTGGCGAAGGGTCTCGTCCGCAGTGGGCTTGTGTTGTTGTTGTTGTTGTTGGGCCTGGGCGCACGGCCCATGTAAGTGGAGCACTGGCAGAATCGCTCCCTTGCTTTCTAAGCCATCTTTGCTGATTGAAGGAGAAGGGCGGCAGGTGTTTGAAGGAAACAGAGAGGGGAGCTGAACGGTGTGGAAATGAATCCCCGGTGGCCATGGCGGCCGCGGCCGAGTTGCATTTCTGTTGGTAGTATTGGTTTCGAGAATATGGGCATCGCCATTGGCAGTCTTCGAAAGAAGCAGAAGGAGAAGAAAGCAGAGGAGAGCAAACAGGGTAGTTGTGTTGGCCATTATTTTCCAGAAGGAGGAAGGTGGTGAATTGTGGAGTCATTTTTGGGTCCTTTCTTATAGTGGGATTTGGCATTTTGGGAAGCAGTGAGAGTAAGTGGAGGGAGATTTTCTGCAGTAAGTGGTAGAAGACTAGAAGTCAGTCAATGGTATTTTGCTGTTTAACCCAATAACTGAATCAGTGATTCTTTCTTATAGGGAGATTTTTTCCAACGAGGAGATTCTCGCAGGAAAAACCCTGAAGTAGCAGTGTAGTTGCTTAATAGTAATGGTAGCAAATTATTGTGGCTTGGCATCAGAATCCACTATTTCACTGCCTTGTTTTTTTTTCCACCACTCACATTTCAACTGTGGAGTTGGCTGCTCCCCATTTCAATGTTGAACATTCATTGATGAGAAACTTCTCACATAATTTTTTTTAACGGTGAGTGGCTCAATTTCTCTCGTCATCTTCAGTCTCTTATTATATCTGATTGTCTACCAATCATATATTTGCATTAAGCTGCTCCACATTTGCACTTCAAGGACAAGACAATCAAAGACCCGAGAATTCGAGCGCAATTCTCAGTTTTCGCTAAAATCGCGTTTAATTCTTACCATTTTTTAATTTAATCAAAACCTCGAAGGTATGTTGTTGATGAGTATTATTTATTTTCCGATGAGAAGTCGATGTTTTCTTAACAGACTTACCGTGTTATTTCTTGCCACCACACTCAACCGTTGAATGACCATATTGTTGGTGTCCTAAATGAAAGGAAGTAGCAAAAGAGTGGACAAGTGAAATGACCAAATTACTGGTGCCATATACTAAAAGATATTTAAAAAATACGGGAGGTGATAAGTGTCACAAGACAAGTGACATACAAGAGTAGAAATCACCATAAATTGGTCTGAAATTTCGGCGGTTGAAGCCAGATCTTTAATCACAAAATAAGACCCGAGCAAAATTCAATAGAAGTTGAATTACCATAAGGGAGTGGGTAGAGCATAGATTAGTATTGAACGTACGATAAGGAGTATTATGGGACAAAAATAATAATATGTGAATAATTGTCGAGTTAATAACATAATAAGTCAGTAACTAATGTCTACACAAAACTAACAAATTATTAACTCCATGAAATCTTCATTCAGTTTTCCATTCGTATTAAAAAATGTCACTCAAACCGTGGAAATTGCAAACTAACAATAGACATTCCTTTTTTTTCTTCTTCCTCTTATTCTCTTCTCTGAATGAGCTATTTAGAGCAATTCACGATTGTCAAAGATTTAATAACTATCCAAACTCAATCTTTACCTTCCGATTCTAGGAAGAAAGAATAATCCCAACTTCTACCAAAAGAAAAATTCACGATACAAAGCCATCAATTTGTATTCAGTATTCACATTTATGCAAATCAACTAGGTAAATAGTGCTATTGCACACTTTTCCTTTTGCTATTCGTTCTTTCTTCCAAATCAAGAAATCATATTTAAGAAATGTAACTCGAATGGTCGAAATGCAATACTAATGACCGCCATGCTTTTGCTTATCTCGTATTTTCTTCTTCAAAAAGATTATTTAAAACGATTCACGATTGTTAGAGATTTAATAATGTGTCAAAATCAATATTTATCTCCTGATGATCCAAGGAAGACAGAAAATCTCGATACAAAGCCATAAATTCATATTCACATTTCTTGCAAATCAACTAGTACATAGTGTTACACTTTTCCTTTTGCTATTCATACTTTCTTCCAAAGCAAGAAAACCACGAATATGGTAACGGGTGAGTAACGCTTGAGGTCTTTTCCCCCAATTGCTTCCCCTTTAGGCCATTACCTTAAATTTGCTTTCCCTATACCATAATAACAAACATTCTTCAATTCCCCAAATTCTACTTCAATCCAGCCCAACACGACGTCGCATCGATTCCTCAGCTACACCCGCCGCTGGCGAACCCAACCCTCCCGCCGGCGCCGTCGTAAACCACCTCCAGCGTCTGCTGCTGCACGTTCCCCAGTATCCCAATATCACTCGCGTCCCCATTTCCGGCGAACGCCAGGCACACCTGCGACGGCGAGTTCGCGTACAGAATCCCCACCGCCTCGATGTCCACCTCCGTCCCGCCGGCGAACAGGAACCCGACCTTCGGCACCGACACGGTCTTGTACTTGCTCAAATCGTAGCACGTGTCGAGGATCGACAACGCCTGGTATCAGAAAATATTACAAATTATCGTCAAGAATCAAATCGACTATCATGAATGTCAAATTGGATCGACAAGATTTAGAGAAAATCATCATTATCAATTTATCATCAATTTTATATAGTTTAATGTCGATGTTTAGTTTAGACTTTAATTTGAGTTGTTATGGTTTTATCTCTCTAGTCTCCAAATGCGAGTTTAGTGTGCACATGTTGTTTTGTAGTGTCAACCTTGAGTATTTAAACGAAAACGATGAATGAGAAAATCCCAAGTGTTCTAGGGCTCCATTTCACAACTCATCTTTGTTGTTACCTGGCCGAGTGGGTACCGCGACATCTGCTGCCGGAACGCCGACCGGAGCGCCGAGTAAGCCGCCGGCGGGAGGCGGGTGATGACGGTGCCGGAATCTATGATGGCGCCGGCAGTGGAGAACACGGTGGCGGATACTGACAACTTCCTCCCGCCGACGCTGATGGCGGTGATGTCGAGGCCGTAGAAGTTACTTCCGCCGGCGATGGACGAGATCGGAGTGTATTTTACCGATTTGGTGGCGGCGCCGCCGAAGGTGAGGAATCCGGTGCCGCTGGAGGAGGAAGGGAGGCAGTAGGAGAAGAGCTTGTTGTACTTTTGGGCCGTTTGGGAGACGAGGGAGAGTTTGTCACGGCCCAAGCCCAAAAGCCCGGCGGCGCCGCCGAAGTTTCCTTGGTTGTTCTGGCCGCAGCCGAAGAAGAAGTTGTCGAAGACGTCGGTGGATGTCAGTGTGAGCTTCTCCGTGCCGAAGAACCCGACGGAGAATGACGAGTCGCCGTATTGGATCCCGTACACGCAAGTCGAGGAAGAACAACCCGGCGTGTTCCCTGCATTTCATTCGAAACCGTACCAAAAGTTATACCAGAAAAGTCGATGGTTATATTCTGCACTACAATCGTACTTCAACTGTTTCGTACCATTAAAATCACCTATCGTAGTATCTCGTTTGAATTCTCAAACATTGGTTCCCTTCCGAAAATTTACTACATATTAGATTTGTGGTTCAAAATCAAAATTGTCAAATCGAATTTATAGTGTTATGTTTGTTTAGGAAGTCCCTTTCAAAATTAGAAACCAATTCCATATTTTTTAACAGTATGAACTCCCTTTCATACCTATTGTCTTGTCTCCAATAACGATTAAATCCGATTGTACGACATGCCTATAGTTTTACAAACTATGTTCAAAATAAGTAAATAAACGGGAGAGACTAAAACGGGACGTACCGGTGGCGGAAGAGAGGGCTGAACAGGAGGCGGCGGAGCAAGAAACGTTTCGGTACGAAGCAGAGGAAGCCGGGTCGAAGATCTTCTCCTGCTGCTGGTAGCATGACCTCACGCACGGCTGGCACTGGGTCCAAGTGACGTCACTCCCGGTGTCGAATATGAGGGAGAGCTGCCTCGCCGGGGTGCCGAGCCCGACGGTGACGATGTAGTTCCCGGAGCCGACGGTGCTGCCGTCCTTGGCCGGGATGGTGGTGGAGTCCGCCACCTTGACGTCACCGCCCGCGGCCTTTCTGGACCTGGACTGGATCGTCTGGACCCTGGACTCGTCCTGGCGGAGGATTTCGTCTGCGGTGGGCTTGTGGTGGTTGGTGGATCTGGTGAGTTGTTGGGCCTGGGCGCACGGCCCATGTTTGTGGAACACTGGCAACTTGTTCAGGCCTGCACAATGGGAAGCAAAAATGAAAAAACCCTTCTACTTCACCAACTCCTTTTTCTTAATAAAGATTCTCCAACTTGATATTAGATTAAGAAATTTTGATTATTTAAATTAAATTGATTCCTAACCCTCATTGATTTTGTGTCGGGCAAACCAAACCCATGAGATTGCCATTAGTGGAAGCTCAAATGATAAGTAATTATGTACAATACTGTTAAATTGGAGGGTCTTTTCATGTACTTAATTATGAGTTAGGCAGTCCTAAATTATGGGCTATTACTATGTCTCAAAATTAAAGGAAAAAGGATGAATGATTGGTTCAGGCTGGCTGGCAGCCATACAAATAGAAGCTTCCCAATCATGCATTTGGTAGGGTAAAGTCAAATTGGGGGGTCTCTACTTTCTACCGCTGATAAACTAATCTATGATTTTTAGCGGTATAAAATGGTTGAACAATTATAAATGATCTTATCGTTAAATCTTCGATAGAATTGAAAAACCGTACAGAAGGTTACGCCGGAAAAAGTCGGCGATAGAGTATTTTGTACTGAAATCGATTGTTCAATCGTTTTATACCATGAAAGATCGTCTATTAGTTTAGATTCCGATAAAAAAGGTTTCCCCGATAAGACCACCACCGATACAGTATGATTTAAAAAAACACCGGATACAACCTTCGGTACGATCTTACAATTCTTTTTTATAGACGGACATCTAGCTAGCTCCAATTTGGTTGGAAGAGAATTGAATTCAGTATGTACTTAATAGTTAATACCTCTATGCAACGAGGATTGATTTAGCTAGAATTAGAACATGTATATGAAAACCAACAGACAGAGAGAAAGAAAGAAAGAAAGAAAAGAGTTTAGCTTTTGAGTCAATCACCTTGGGTTGCAGAAGATGAAGGAGAAACGTCGCAGGAATCAGAAGGGAACAGAGACGAGAGCTGAACGGTGTGGAAATGAAGCTGCTGCTGCTGCTGAACCTCAATCACATCGCCATTAGCAGTCTTGAAAGAAAGCAGAAGAAAGAAGGTAAAGGAGAAGGAGAAAGCAGAAGAAGCAGGAGTAGTGGCCATTCTTCTTTTGTTAGAAAGGAGGACCAAAATATGAAGAATTATGGTCTCTCTGTGTCGTTCATGGGCTCCTTTTTTTATAGCCCACCAGTAGCTGTCGAAGGGCTCTAATGCGCTTTGGCCTTTTCGGAAGAGAGAGAGAGAGAGAGAGAGAGAGAGAGAGAGAGAGAGAGAGAGAGAGAGAGAGAGAGAGAGAGAGACATCAACGTCAGTTATCTGTCTAAGGTCTAAAATGCGCTTATTAGTCATTCTATGCATTGTCTTAGATCCATAAATTGGTCAGGTTTTCACTTCCTTTAATGTGATGCCATACCTTAATCATCAATGATGAAACTACGAGAAAGTAGTTCATAACTAACTATTTCCTCACTACTCTTACTAAAAGAACAACATATAATAGCTACAGGAGTGTCGCCTAAAATTGATCATATGATAAAATTGAGTAAAACGTTTGTATCGTTTAACAAAGGAATGCACCAATTTATTTGGACTCGAGTCGTATATCAACTGATTTCTAAACAAATTACAAAAAGAAGAAACATATATTGACCTCAAACAATCTCAAAATAATAACTATAAATAAAGACACATAAATCTAATTTTTTCGAATTGCCACGTCGATTCGATCTCTCAACACAATCTCACTCGGTCATGGAAGATCCCCCACTCAATCAAATAATACCAATATCTTCTTCATAAATAAGAATAATAATAATAATAAAGTTTCTAGATTGCCTCTGTCCATCACTCTTTTATTAATGAATTAAATTTATCGAGAGCCAATTATTTCCACAAATCAAACATTACAAATAATAATAGTGCAGGCAGCGATATGATGGTGAAAGGCATGTTGGTGTGGCGACAAACAGTAACCCCTCACCAGAAAAACAAACCCATCTGTGTCTCCGATCAGTTTGGATTCTTGCAATGGATCGGGTCCACGGGGAATCCTTCTGTGTCCATTGCACATAATAATATAATTCATACACAGATTCATTACTAGTTTGAGTTGCAAGCTTTGTTAATTGATACAAACATTTATCACTTATCAGTATACTAATTAATTATACTCCAAAGTCATGCGATGTATAAAGCCATATTGATCTCCTAAGAGTAACCAATTTCCAAGTCTTACCAACCCCACAAACTATAGGCAGTGGCTATAGATGGCATAGCGTTCCCGCTTGCGGAAACCTTACGAGAATATCGATCTTTAAAGTATCGCAAAGGTACAATCTTCAAAAGTTTATTGGTATTTCATGTCAGTTTGGATTTTAGTAGATAATTTGACAGGTACATACAATCAACCTACACGGCACGATATCAGAAAGTTCTTCCGTAACAACCTAACTACGACGACAATGAATAAATTCCGGGAAGGAAGGGGGGGGGGGGGGGAAGAAGAAATCAATATGAACGAAAAAAACAATGCTACTTTTGCGAATTTGAAGTTAGATTCATGTGGTCGTGAAGAAACAATGCTACTTTTGCGAATTTGTGCGAACTTAGCCTCTCTTTCTCTAATTCTCTTGGGAAATTCAAAGTTTTTTTTTCATGTTATCATATCTCTAGAGTTGGATGTTTTTTCAATTGATGTTTGATTTAGATCGACTCTCCAAGCCCTAGGGTGTCACTTGGAAGTTGGTTTAAAAGCAATTAATCAAGAGCATGATAAAAGAGCTAAACCGAGTTAACCCATCCAAGGGGAAAGTGACAAGCAATATAGGGTTGAACAGCTTGATTGGATTGGGATGTAGAGGGAAAGGGTCCTTAATCCTACCTAATCAAATCCTAATATCTTTATAAACACCTAACTAATTAATTGGGTCCAGGTAAGGGCCACTCAGAAAGAATCATAGAACCATATATCATTAACAAAGTGAAAGTGGGAAGTAACCTAATCATTCATCAAATGAGATTGAAGTTTCATGAAGAAGACTATCCTAACTTGACTCCAAAGAAGACCTCTTCCACCAAATTGTCCTAGTAATTGGATCTTTTTATATTTTCTCTTTGTTCACATTAAGATCTAAGTACAAAAGTCAAGCGAGTTAATGTGTGAATAATAGACGACAAACAATCATTTAAAGAATGTAAACGACTTAATGTGAAATCGTGACGAGGTGGGGTAGATCAAACTCGACACTTGGTGGATGCTAGATTTGAATCTCTCTAGTTTCGTCCCAAAAATAATTATTCAACATTTTTTATTTTCTCGGTCGAGCCTCCGCATTCTACAAATTGGCTATGCCACTGGCCAGTCAGATGAAGAAAAAGCGAAAAGTATCAATCCACTGTCACGAGGTTGAAAGTTTTAATAAAACTATAGTTTCCGTAGTTAAAATTCCAGACATATATGAATGATTCTTGCGGTAACAATTGATGCTCTCGTCAGAACTCTCTAAAAAGTGGGGGGAAATTTACTCTCTTATTCGAGATTCGAGAAGTCGAAACAAACAAGTACAAAAGAACCCCTAATCGAAACAATCACACTTCGAAGACCCAAACTCAATATCCATGTTGTAGTTCTAATTTTATCGGATGTTCCCGAACGCCCGATACCTATACCAGATACCAGATTCATTCGGAATCTGGGTTATTCGACATTGCCATGGCCCATGGGGCGGCTTGATTGATGGAGAACTGCCTTTCTTCCTTTCGTTGGGAATCCTGATAGGTGTGGAGTGGAGGAATATACTAATCGGCTGTGCTGTGCAGGCCACAGTTTGGTGAGTGAGTGAGTGGTGGAAGCAAAGCTGGAATCTACAACACAGACAACTATGATTGCGCAGTTGACATTTCAGTTTTGGCCTTTCTGAGAATTGAGATCCCACAAAGGCCAATCAATTACCTGTTGCTAACTAATTACAACAGTACTACGTTAATCTCCTTTTGCTTCACCCTAATCTGGACAAGACACCATTGCCATTTGTCCACAATGAGCTGGTGGATTGGGCTGGCAGGACGCGGTTAAGTGGCCAATGTAGTAGCTTGCTTCTGATAACGGATTACTGCGGTCGAACATGAAAACTCAAAACGGTTTATGACATGATATCAAAACTATTGAGACCAAGCAGTTCATCACCTTGACTCCACGTGAGAGGATGAAGAGCTTTAAACCGTTGATTCGATAAAGCAGACAACTTGGAGTGGCAAATTCACCGGTAACTGTCAAGAGCTCAAGGCTTTGCCTCCGTCAATTACTTTACTAGTAGGCTTCGAAACATTCCACCTCCATTTTGCTCGGTCCTTTCGTTTAGATTTCTAACTCAATATGAATATATTTTGATTACATTTGAGACTTGATAAAGGAGTTTCGTTCTATTTGTGAATTTAAACCTGCTCGAATCCGAATGGAATCAAACCAATAGTAGTGGAAGGATAAGGAAAGGGTTAAGCTATCATGAATGGATGATAGGCAGGAGGAGGAAAAGGCAGGACAATTTGGAAGATGTGACTTCACTGCCTTGCCTTGTTTTTCTTCGCTGTGGGTGATTGGTTTCATACTCAATCAACCAACCTACCTGGATGGTTGTCTTCGATTTATATCCCGCAAAACGCTTAGCACCGGCTGACATCATCATTCATCTAACAACTCGACACAGACGAAACTACAATTCTACGACGTCAGCACGCACTTAGTCCTTGCATGTTTGATACAAGCGACGATGATATGTACAAAGTGTAAAACTTGTGATAGAATATAATAGTATTATAATTGTCAAGACTCACGACTTTTGCCTCTGCCAAGTACCAACTACTTGACTACTAGGCTTCGAAACATTCCACCTTCATTTCCTCGATCCTTTCGTTTAGATTTCCGACTTAATATGAACATATTTTAACTAGATTTGATACTTGATAAAGAAGTTTCGTCCTATTTGTGAATTTAAGCCTGCTTGAATCCGAATGGAATCAAACCAATTGTGGAGGAAGGATAAAGAAATGGCTAACATATTCATGAATGCATGGTAGGCAGAAAAGAGGAAAACGTAGGACAGTTTGGAAGATGTGACCTCGTTTCATTACCTTGCCTTATTCTTCTTTGCTGCGGGTGATTGGTTTCATACTCAATCAACCAACGCACATGGATCCCTGTTCTTCGATTTAGTCCCCGCGAACTAACATCGTTCAATCATTAATCTAACAACTCAAAACACACGAAACTACAATCCTACGACGTCAGCACGCGCTCAATCCCCCTTGCCTGTTCAATACAAGCAAACGATGATATGTGCAAAAGTTACAAACTTCAATTTCCCGAACGAAAGAAAAAAAAAACACAGAAAACTACACAATTTGAGGCTCCCTGCTTTACTTTTCACACCACGCCATTGACAGCCGAACAAGAAGCTCGAATCTCCCCTTCTCCCTCACCAGTCTTCACTCCAATCCCAGCGAGCTTCACAAACGACTCGCTCCACGCCTCGAAAAACCTCTCCTGATCTCCCGCCATCTCCTCCACAATTCTCCTCGTCCTCTCGTCGTCCACCAGAACGGAATCCGACTGAAACAATCCCCTGCGCGCCACCAAATTCCTATAGTACTGATTATCGAACAGATTCGCCGTCTGGGGATCGTTGGCGACGGTGACTTTAGGGTTCGTATCGCCGCCGGCGGGACATTTCTTAATCAGATCGCTCGCGTAATTGGGATCGAGAGAGGCAGAATCAACGAGCTTCAGCTTCCCCTTGGAATCTGACTCGAACCGGTCGCTGAACGCGCCGCAGTGGGCCGAGCCGATAGTGTGGGCCCCCGAGAGAACAACGAGGTCGAGAAGAGACAGGCCCTTGGAGGAGAAGATCCGGCCCATTTGTGCCATCGTGAAGCTTGTATCCACAATATTGGGCCTGACGCTTTGGGCCGAGGAGGATTTGGAATCTCTCCTCCCCGTGGGGATTTGGGTCGCCGGCCCGCCGGCGACCGCGACGGCGTCTCTGGCGGCGAGGGCGAGGATGTCGGCGCAGGAGACGGTGGCTGGGCAGAAGATTTCGAGCACCGATTTGGCCGAGTCGATGACTTCGAACCCGCCGAGGGATTGGTTAGCTGGGTCGGTTCGTTCGGTTGAGTTGCCTTTGAGGAGGACGGATCCGTCGCAGCCGTCGACGAAGCAGTCGTGGAAGAGGAGGCGGAGGAGCTTGCCGGGGATTGATGGGTCTTGGGCGGAAGCTGATCGGACGGTGTTGGCGACGATTAATTCGGCGGCGGGGCAGGAAGCGGCGTAGAAGTCGAAAGAAAGAGGGGCAGAATGACTGTTGGGAATTAGAATCTGCAGAAACAGGGGAAGCAGGGGAAGAAACAGGGGAAGGGTGGATTTGGATGCCATTTAGGGGAAAAGTTCTGTACAAAGAGAGAACTTTGGATCTCTCTTTTCCGGTAGCTGCATTGCTGTGTTTGAAATGGGAAGGTGGAAAGGGTAAAGAGGAAATGCGAATGGGAAAAGCTAGGTAGCTGCATTTATGGAACTGTCAGAAGGGTAGATGATGAGGGAGTGGAAAGGGGTTCTGTTCTTTACTTTTGGTGTTCTTCGCAAGAACTCTTATTCTCTCCCACTCCCTTACTGTCACCACGCGCTTGTGATTGGAAAACCCAGGCGGCTAATTCTTTGTAGCCCACTGCCCACAGTTACAGTTGAGCACGAAAATTCGTTGGGGAAACGAAACTAGCCATTACTGCTCTGTTAAGACCTTGGGATGGTGCTAGAAGGATGGATACCTGCATATTTAGTACTGTTCATTCAAGGCAAATGATAATATGGCGAACATGAACTTATTAAATTTTGCACATACTCAAGTCATGTCATGACCATGTGCATTAGATGAACACTTAAAATATTAAGTATTAAGTGATAAAGTAATTGATTTCAATAATTCGAGAAAAGAATAATTATTGAGAAAAGATTAATTATGAACTATCATTCTAATACTAGTTGGTGGGTGGATGGATGTGGTTTTTAGTTATTGTTACCCGTTAAAGTTGGTGGGTGGATGTGGTTTTAGAGTTGACAAACCCGGAGAAACCCGACCCATATCTTTTGGGGATTGCTATTCGTCGCCCTAAAAATCCTTATTTATCGCCCTAATTATATTAAATTTACTATAATGTCCTTAGTTTATTTTATTTTCTATCAAACACTTAAATTCTGAAACAAACACATACATATTTTCATACGTCCACCAGTCGCCGGAGCCGGAGGAAACATTTTTGGAAACCCACACCCAACATCGCCATTTGAGGAGTTTACTGTTCATCGCCGTCGTGCCATCTCATCGCCCGGTGGATGTCCTGAATAATACGGACGAAGATCAAGGGAATTTCGAGTATGTGTTACAGGAGAGAAACGGTGGGGCCAAGGTGTTTGACCAATGGTCTCAATGAAGGTAAGTAGTTTGGTGCATCAAAATTCAAAATGATCTTTTATTTTATTAAAAGGAGCCGGCTTTTGCATTGCTCTGAATTTTGATAGGCGATAGCTTGGGGATTTGGATTTCTTTTCTTTTTGTCCAGTGGGTTGCAGGAACAAGACTTGTTTCACCGCCAGGATCGGAGCCTATCTGCTGTACTTAGTTGCCGCGACGAAAACGAGCTGGACAGGTTCAATGCGGCGCGGGTGGAATACAGCATGGCGGGGAGCGAATCTGGCAGGAGGACAGGGTGGCGGGAGAAGTTATCGGGTCGGCGGCGGAGAGCAGTTCTGGGGTGGACGTTAGTTGATTTTGAGAGTCGGGTTTGGGGTTGGGGACGGATTGTTGCTAGGTTTTAGTTTATGTTTGAAGTTAGGGTATAAGTGTCAATTTAGTGTGGTTTAGGGCGATTTATTTTGAATTTTAGGGCGATGAATAGCGATTCAGTATCTTTTACCTATATAATTTTTGCACAACCCACTATATACATAATAACTTTTGGGGTAAATGACACATTTGGTCACTGAGATTACTAAATCGTGTCAAATTTAGTCACTAGAAAAATTTAATATCAATTTTGGTCACTCGAATTACTGAAACAAGTCACATTTGGTCACTCTTCTGTAGCCTCTGTCCAACTCCGGTCACTCGAATTATTGAAAAATGTCACATTTAGTCACTCGGATTACTGAAACATGTCACATTTAGTCACTCTCCCAAAAGTTTCCGTCCAACTACATTAATGGAGTTGGACGGAAACTGACGGGAGAGTGACTAAATTTGACCAGTTTCGGTAATTCGAGTGACCAAAATTGATATTAATTTTTTCTAATGACTAAACATGACACAATTTAATAATCTCAGTGACCAAATGTGTCATTTACCCATAACTTTTGCTTAACCAATATTTAAGCGCAACGTATGTGTTGTTTAAGATGTATAATGAAAGGCATGCTAATTAATCTCCAAGTTATATTGATCGACCCAAAGCCAACCACACCTCTAGAATTTTGTTTTTTTCACGGTTGGGTTTGAGTCTTTTATCATCCACACTGTAAATATGGATCGGTTGATTTAAAAACCGATCCACCCGACCCATACACCCCTCTTTAATAGGGTCCGGTGCAACTTGGTAAACATTGCTAAACATGAAAGCAGTGTTATTAAAGTCGACCGGTAAACCGCCATCTGGTTACAAAACCGGCTCGGAACAGTCTAAAAGCCACTTCGGTTTTATGTAGCGGTTTGTGAGCGGCTGAGGCGGTTAACCGATCGAGCCGCTCGTCCGGTTTTTGCCATTCAGCCGTTAAATTTAATTAAAAAATTGAAGAAAATTGAAAATTGAAATAAATAAAAAACGTTGGGCTCTCAAACTGAATCCTTATTTCCATTTCACAATTTCGAAGGAAAGATATGAGCTCTGATTAAGAAATGTCCACTATTTATACTGATAACGTTTATTAGGTACCGGTTCTCTAACAATTTTTAAATAGTATATTGCCGGTTGGACCACTAAAATGCTAGCCGTTCACATTACCGGGTCATGCTCCGGTTCGATTCTGACAACATGCAAAGCTTTAACCTTGTAGAAAAAATGAGAATGGAGTACAAATAAAGTTGGCTTGATCCAGCTGTTGAGGGCCACTTAAATTTGAACACACCTGTCGTAGTAAATTCTTACGTGGAGTGAGTACATAAACATTATATCCACCCATGACCAGACCCACCCAGTTTCCTGCTGCAGACAGTCAAATTCAAAACCCTATTTAAGTTAGCAGCAGGAGCTTTTCCACAGTAAAATCAGGGATGAAGTTTAACCAGCTGTTCGAAAATGGGGGGAATACTACAGTAGATCCATAATGTGTTTCACCCAAAACTGCTGCTGCTGCTGCTGCTGCTGCTGCTGCTGCTGACCTTTTCTTGTAGCCACTCCTTCTGGCTGCTCTACATCAATGAAGCTGCTGCTCGGTCTCATCACCTTCTGTTTCATCAATGTCGTCTATTGGTATTTCTTCAGTATCTTCAATATAAGGGCATATTGCAGGTGAGCCTATTGAACAATCAGTTTTGCTCATTGATAAACGATAACTAACAGGGGCAACATAAAGGGACTAGAATCCAGGAACGTGACATTCAAACAGCAGAAACAGGCAACTCTCGTGTTTACCTCACTTGATGGATAGGCTAGGCATATCACAAGCAGCCGTCGCTGTTAGTGCGGTTCCTTGGTCTAGCAGATATGGAAGCTCCAAAAGCTGCAAGAAGGACTCTGTTTGAGGATTCCTAGGGCATTCTGCAATACATCGAAAGGAAATATTCCTAAGCAACCATAACGAACATGCTGTCTCTCGAAGTTGCTCGTGATTTAGACGCTTCAAGAAGCAAGTATATGTAGATCTGGTGATGCTGGAAATAACCAGTTCAAAACTATGATATTTATGTGCAAGATAACATGAGCATGGCTAAGAACAAATGATCATCAATTATTACCACCCCGCTGGTAGGAGCCCTTTGATTGAGATTGGTTGGGATCGTAAGCAGGAACAGTTCGTGCAAATTCAAAAGGTTTGGCTCCTCTAGCTTCTAGCTTGCTCCTGACCAATTCACGACAATCTCGGATATCTGGGATTGTATCCCTATAAACTCAACAGGACAAGCTTTAGTAACCAGAAAAGGAGGGGGTATACTTGAGAGGAAAATGAAGAGGGAAGTGGGCGTGGAGGGTGTAAACCTAAATAATAATAATAATAGACCTACCTGAAGTTTGCATTTTTGTTTGTCAATGGAAAGATAGAGTTAAACTTCCTGGTTATTGCTAGCCATTCTTCATCGTAGTGGATCTCAAAAGGTCCGCATTCTGACTCTATTTCTAAAATCTGGAAAATGAATTGAACAGTATGGTTGAAAACATCGGCAGAGGAAAAAGAATCAACCATAGCAAAGTATAATGAATACCTGTAAGAACCTTCTCTGGGGTAGACATTTATCGAGCGCGAGAAATTTCGTCTTTCGGCCATCTTTCCCATGATCGACAAGGGCAGAAAATTTGCAGTGCAAGTGAGCTGAAAACCAATATGAGGGTTTCAACTTTTCAAGCAGTTCAGCAGCAGCTCTGTTTCCAAGGGTTCCTGCCTGAATCTGCAATTGTTTACAGACTCAAGTAAGGCAATAGTAAATGACATAAGTACTGGTATGGTTCTCAGCATCTAGCATAATAAATACAAATGGATCACAGAAGAAACGTTTGAGGCATAAGAAGTACATCTTTTTCTAGGCCTGGTTTGAACCGAACAAGTTGCTGCCAGTTACCACAATCAGTGATGCCAAGAGGCCAATCATGCGAAAGGAAGATGTCAATGGGTTCTGCAACTTGCATGAGCTTGTGTACATCGTATTCACGAACATGATACACCGATCTTATAGTTTTTTCGTTATAAGGAGGTCTTTCATAATGCCCTATCCATCCCAATAACATATTAAATCAGATTCTAGTTGCTGGCTGCAACAAGGACCAAGAAAAGCATACCACTACGGCAACTTTTGTTCTATCTTTTTTTCTCAAAGCATTGGATCTGATAGATGAGAAATACCAACCTCGATGATAGTCTCCGGCATTGTAAATCCCAGAAAGCCCACCGATACGAATGTTACCGAACTTGACCACTCCAGCACATCCCAAGAAGAATATATTAGGAGCTGCCCATCCTCCATAATATCTGAAGAACAAATCCCAAAACCTATCATTCAACCAACCAGCTAAACCGATATCAATCAGCAATTGGAGAGAGCTAAGCAAACAATAGGCAGTACATACAGTTCCCACAAATAATTGGAAGCTTCATGATTGCCACCGATGAAAATGGTCGGAATGGGAGCAACCTCCTGGCCGGAATAGTACTTCCAGAAAGACTTCATTTCCTTGTATTTGGGCAGCACATTCAGGCTTTGCATATCCCTCTCGTTCCTAATTGCCTGGGGGAGAATACAACCCAAAAACCAAATCAATTCACCAGGAACCATCGAGGATATGCTGAAGGAAACTGATAAAAGCGAACCGCATTAACCTGGAAGTCGCCACAGCAGAGGAGAAGGTCGATTTTGATATCGTGCAACTTCTCCAGGTGCTGGATTGTCTGGTAGACTGTGTCCAGATCACCATGCATACAACCTTCCACTGCTATCTTCATCTCTCTCTCTCTCTCTCTCTCTGAGGAATTCCTTTGAAGCAAAGTTAACAGTCAATTGGAAGCCACCATTATTATGAATCAAATAACAAATTCAACCCTAAAAATTGAAGCTTTTAAGGTTTAGGATAAAACTTGTATGCAACCAATATAGAGAGAACCTAAGTTTGAACACCATTCCGTGTGAAAACAATCAAAGAGCACATTGACTCTATTGATAAGAGTAAGGGCAGCATCGAGCCATCTCTTAACGTCCGGAACGAAGAATGAATAAGGGAATCCAATAACCAGCAATGTCTACACAATGCGGGCATAGGCGCTACCCAGCCATCGAATCTAGTAAACTACAAAGGGATGGTGAAGACTAACCTAACCAGAGAGATAAGCTTGCTTGCAACGGAGGAAGGTTCCCGCCGACAGCTGCTAGAGAGTCTGACGGCAATCGTCGTTCCAGCTGGCCGACGGTGAGAGCCGGAACGAGAGGGGCGAACGGTGAGCTTGCGGGACGCGACTGAGGAGGCAAATCAACTACGAAGAAATAATAAAAATACAACTAAACTATTACTAATTAGTTAGCTTCTCAGAATAAAAACGTGGAGAGAAAAACATATTTATAGGACAAATGTCATAAGCTCTTTCCTTTTTAGAAAGGGAAATCCTAAACCAACAAGTAAATGATACCTTTCTGATGTTAATTCTAAACATTTAGTAATCCAAATGTTTCAATAACCCAATAATTAATTAGTACGAATAGTAATACCACTAATGATAAATGGCGACGTTAAGAAGAGAGAATATACGAGAAAGTGAGGAAAGTGGAGGGAAACAACAAGAAAAATCTTTCGTGGATCATTGCCATTCTCAGAACAAATTGAGTGGTGGTGAACTGTCGAACACTAACCCACTGTAGACGTGTCCCTCAAGCTCAACCCAAGACACAGAAGAAAAGTGCTTCCACCTCTCCATCACCAATCTTCACTCACTCCTTCTTCCACCCTTCCCTCCATTGCCAACTGCTGCTCCTAGCTGAGCTTAGCTTAGCTGATGGACGGCGCCATGGCGCTATCTTCTTCCTCATCATCTCTTATCCACCCATTCCTCTCCCGCACCCGACCCACTACCACCAATCTCTCGCCTCCTCCTCCTCCGATGGCCGCCGCGATCGCCACCAACAACTCCGGCAAGTCCCACTTCCTCACCCAGCTCAACTTCCGTCGCAGCCGCCGTGGCAACTGCCATGCAGTCACCACCTCACATCCTTCTGCAATTGACCAAAATTCCGACGACGACGGAGTGCTATTCGGGGATCCGTCCATCGAAGAGAGACGGGGCGAGGAGAGAGTGGCGGTGGCGGATTACGACTGGACGGAGGAATGGTACCCGCTTTACCTCGCCGGGGAGGTCCCCGATGACGCTCCGTTGGGGCTCACTGTTTTCGATAAGCAGGTTGTGGTGTACAGAGACGGAGAAGGCCAGTTCCGATGTTACGAAGATCGCTGCCCACACAGGTCAGTTTGCTGTTGTAATCTCTATTATGCTTTCCAACTGTTAGTCTCAGTGGGTCTTGATTGAGCTCCAATTTCAGATTGGCGAAGCTCTCAGAAGGGCAGATTACGGATGGGAAGCTGGAGTGTCTGTATCACGGGTGGCAATTCGAAGGGGAAGAAGGCAAATGCGTGAAGATACCTCAGCTACCTGCAGAGAGCAAGATCCCCAAATCGGCCTGCGTCAGATCGTACGAGATCAGAGACTCCCAAGGGATCTTGTGGGTGTGGATGTCGACGAAAACGCCGCCGAACATGAAGAAGCTGCCTTGGTTCGAATCGGTGGCGAAACCAGGGTACGAGGCGATTTCGACCATCCACGAGCTTCCTTACGATCACTCCATTCTGCTGGAGAACTTGATGGACCCTGCCCATATCCCGATCTCCCATGACCGGACTGACACCTCGGCTAAAAGGGAGGAGGCTCAGCCGCTTCTGTTCGAGGTTACTGAGCGGTCTGATCGAGGGTTTGCAGGGCACTGGGGGAGGGAAGCAGATGGGCTGACGAGCTTCCTGCGGTTTCAAGCTCCTTGTGTCCTGTCAAATGTAAGAGAATTTACGGGTGAGAATGGGGAGAAACATTATGGAACTGGATTGTTTCTCTGTAGACCGGCGGGGCAAGGCAAGTCGATGGTCATCGTTCAGTTCGGCTCGACCAGAGGTTTGAAACTGGCGAAATGGATACCCAAATGGTTCATACACAAGGTCTCCTGCAAGATATTCGAACAGGACATGGGGTTTCTGTCGTCGCAGAATGAAGTTCTGATGAAGGAAAAAGTTCCCACCAAGAAGCTCTACATAAACTTGAGATCTTCGGATACATGGGTGCTCGAGTACCGGAAATGGATGGATAAAGTTGGGCATGGAATGCCTTACCATTTAGGGCACAGCACGATTTCTCTGCCGCAAGTCCCTGCTGTTGTGGAACAAGCGCCAGCCGGCTTTGTAGCTGCCGCAGCTGCTTCTCCGCCGGCGAAGGGAGGGATCATGGAGATGCACGCACCGAACCTGACGAATCGGTACTTCAGGCATGTCGTCCACTGCAAGGAATGCTTGGGTGCTTTCAGGACTTTCAATGCTGCGAGGAATGTGCTCACTGGTGCAGCTCTTGCTCTAGTGGCGTTGGCTATTCTGGCGTCTCAACGGCAGTGGAAGGCCTTTCTGTTGGTGTCTGCAGGACTATGTTTGGCCGGAGCGCACTTCACTTCCACAGTTATTGCTACCAAGACAACAAATTTCATTAGAGACCACAGGAGATAGTGACAGACTGATAGTGAGTTTTTGTGTTAATGCCACTTTTGAATTGAACATCATGTACGATAAATTTTCTGTCACATTTTGGGTAGAAGATAAATGAACCAAACAATGCCCTGTTTAAAACTTGAGCCACTTCTTCTCCTTCTCTTTGCTAACCACGGCATTGGTGGCAGAAGCATGAGTAGCCTCGGCATCTTCCAAAGCTTTCGAGCTTCCTTTAACTTCCTCATGGCAGCTTCGTAGACTAACTTCTCCTTCTTGTTTCTAATCGCCATATCCACCAGCCTTTCGACACAAATTGACAACTCCTTCACCTCATCTTCATAAGCTAACAGAGGTCCAGAGCCCGCCTGCCCACTTTCCTCTCGCCCGAACTGGTTTTTTGCTGCTTATTGGTTGCCGACCCATCACTCACAGCTAGTTGGTCCTTGATGAAACTATACATATCTGGACGAGTTTCTTCATCTTCCTTAGTTCCTTTGCAGATTTGGCTGCTCTAACTGGCGCAGCAAACTTCTTATCACGTTTTCTCTTCCCACCTCTGCTCCGCTTTTTTGCTTGCTTTCCATTGCCGGCCTCTTCACGTTTCTGAGATTCCAGAACATGTTCGAGAGATTGCTTATCTGGAAGGACCTTCACGGGCATTGGATTCGCCATTCCCTGCCCTGATGCTTCTAAACCCAGTCCTTCACAATACCCCATATTTGCCATCATCTTGGAAGCTATGCCCCTAGTGTGATTCTCCCACTTGGCAAATATGGCGGTCTCGGTTTGAATGCCTCTTTGCTGGTTGGTGCTTCCAAGAAATCCTAGACCTTCGGCGCTTTCTTCTTGTTCATAATCACTGGACTCCGATTGTTCTGCACTTGTATCATCACTATCTTCTTCCTCGCTCGCTAGTGCGTACTGAAATAGGGATATAGCTTCAGGATCAAGCCTAGCAGAGCTCCCATCATCACTATCTTCTTCCTCCTCCAGTGATTCCACTCCACCATCCGTAATGGCGTCAATGTCGATACGCTCTACTTTGACATACTAGCCGACCCATTGGAGCTCGGAAGTGCACCTGCCACGTCCAATTCCTTCAACAACCGTGCGCGTTTCAGGTGAAGAAGCCCATCCTCCGCATCTTTGATCAACCGCACTAGCTCCTCCCGAACCTGATCAAACCCCGAATGCAGAAACCGACTCAACCTCCATTCAAGAAGGGTATGATTGCAAAACACAGAGCCATATCTATCTGCCTGAAGCTCGACATGAAAGTTGAAACCCTAAAACGATCGGATTGATTCGGGTTCTGCGATGGAAATCAGAACGGAAGGTAGGGTAGAGGAGAAGATTCTTACGGAGCGAAGTTCGGAATTGGAAGGATCAGAAGCAAGTGCTTCGTTGAGAGCGGCGACGGAGTCTCTCAGCTCTTTCTTCTTCGCTCGCCATCTCCTCCTTTCTCCCAAATTCTCTGTTTCACTGACAAATAGTAACGAAACCGCTTGTATATAAAAACGCTGTCGTATCAGTTCCTCAGAAGAAACGGTTGGCGGCTGATCTCCACCGTCAATTTCACGTCAGAAGAAACCAATGGTGCCGATGTGGCGTCTCCAAAATAAAAACTTCAGAGAGATTGGCGGGTAAATTAATCCATTATTTCAAATTTCCCAATTTCGAGAAACGAGCTCCGAGCGGAAACCCTAGATTGAGGCGAAGGAGGAAGAAATGGGACGTGATCATCATCGTAACCAATCCACTGACGGTCTGGTGATTCTGTTGATGAAAGCCCACCATGATCTCGCAGCGGTTCAGTTCAAGCTGGAGAAGGAGTTTCAACAGACTTACCCTGAGAATGTAAGTTGGCTGGTCTTCGAGGATTTCCTTTCTTCTACTCCATTCTTCTGGCGAAATCTTGCACCGTTTTCTGGTTCATTTTCGTGCTTCGTTCAGCGTAATGCTTCATCTGTTGGGAGAAGTGAGGAAAGTCGATGGCAGTCGCTTTTAACTCGGTTTAAGTGTGTGTGTTTCTGAGTGCAGGCAAATCCCGTGAAGCTGGTGAATAGAATAAAGAAGATGCAGGAGGAAGTTTCAGGGCTAAAGGAGCAGTGTCGTGAGCTTCTTGCTGCAAAACAGGTGCTTCTCCGCTTGGTTTCTGTCAATTTGGATTGTCCAGGATAGTCAAATAACCAAAATGCTTTCGGATTGGTTAGTAGTAGTGAATCAGTGATGGTGCACTTCCTCCACGGCTCTGAGATTCATTCTACTCGTTGTCATGTTGCTGGAGTAAGTATGAAGCATATTATTAGGGTGTTGGAGCATGGAAATAGTTGTTTGATCTGATTTCGAGGCCAAGCACAAACCGGTCCATGGAATTCCAGTAGGTGTGCTTTGAATTGCGACTCGTTTTCTAATAAGACCCCCCAGCGATGGTCCAAATCTAATAGTAAACCCTGCTTTCTGAATTCAGAAGTATTGCAACATTGGCTGTGTTCATAGTTGGCACCGTCTTTGCTGGATGTATATTCTCTTTGATGCTCTGGCTAGTTTGATTGGGTATGAATTTATTTGGTGTTCTTTGGGCTCTTTCTGCAGGAATTGGTTGATAAAGCTCGGTCGATTATGCTGGGGAACAACAATGTAATACAAAGGATGCAAGTTTCAACTGGCATTTCTCCAACTACTGTTGATGATCCTGCATTTGCTGACTTCAATCAGGTATCTAGCGCGACAACTCAATACTCTTCTACAGCAAATGAAAAGAAATTGTAACGTAGACTTTGTGGCTTACAGTAAGATGCAATGCTTCAAATGGTTGCATATTTTCCAAATGGTGCGTCATGTGTTTGCGCCATTTGCCAGCAGGCAACCTACATTGAACAATCATTGAGGCTTTATACCAACTACAAGTACCCTGGGAGATGATTCTTGGGTGCTTTTCTTTCATTTTGAAAGCCCCTACAGGACCGTGTCAGGGCCAAATTTCGATTTTACAGTTCTTTATTCTTTCATATCTGCGGTTTCGTCTGAATTATGTTTGTTCATGTGTAGATATCTCTCTTATATGAATTTCTGATCCATTTCACAATATTGTCCAGGTCATTGATGAGTGGAGCACACAAGTCAGATCAAGAACTGGTAAGAAATTTAAACTGTTTCCTCCATCTCTTCTAAACCTCCTTCCATTATCGACGATGGATAAGCTTAGAAACTCATCTTGCTAGAAAAGATCAGCAATTTTGAGCTGAAAAATTCCTCCCATTGAGCTCTACCCCGATGCCTCAACTTCAGGTTGTAGTTTTCCTTTAAGCATTGGGGATAAGAGTAGAAGGATGGTTTTAGAGGAACTGCTGTGGGTTGTTGTAACCCGTCCTCGTTTTCGGAAGCTGGAAGGCACTTTGTATTGTCGATGCAGGATATGAGGGAGAGGATTCGGAGGACCAGGACATAAACCAATTGCTCTTCTCAACTATTGTCCAAAGCAACGACTAACAACCACCTCAGTCTCAGTTTCAGAGAGCTGGATAGCCAAATATGCTGTTTTTCAAACACCCTCAGTGCCGGAGCCTATCTACCATTGCAGAATAGCCTGAGAACCAATTGCTTGACAAACACGTCATGTGTGAAGAAAACAACCGAGTAAGCCACAACTTTTTTCAGGGTTAAAAACCTAATTACCAGAAAATGCGTGTGTTTGATTTGATGAGTTTGTAAATCAATGCTATTAATCTCAATGGTTTGATTGAGTGTATTTGTATAGGGAACTCTTACAAAAGGTGAAAAGATTTCTCAAATCCACTTCTCCCAATTTCATCTTCTTTCTGAACTGATGAAGGCTACTATAGCTGTCTAGTGCAAGATCATTCTCCTTCTAATTTATTGGGCTTAGTTGCTAAACTCTGTACCCATTAGTGAAAGCATGAATGATCTTGTTGGACCAGCAATAACTGTTTATCTAGTAAACCTCTATGTCTTGGTTTCGTACAACATTATTCGACTCGTTACTTCAAAAGATATCATCCCTACAGACCCTACTTACTTCAAATCACTCGTACTACCTTCCAGCTAATATCGTATATAGTGCTATGCAAAAATCCGTGGCTACTGAAACGAATCTAATTCAAGTGACTAACATTTTACGGTCTGTTTCCCTTCCACTATATTACTTCTCTTTGTACACTTTATTGTTCTACTTTGTCACAAAGCTAGTGGCTCCTTTCTTGGCAATCATAATGTAAATTTCAAACCCTAATTAGAAAACAATGTCATAATCATCCACTCCCTCCATTGCTCTCACCCGTCGACACGTGGACCTCCATTTGACCTCTTCACCATGTATTTCATGACTACTTTATTAGTTCATACACTACCATAAATCATTGCTCATCACCAAGTCAAACCATGCCTGGTCGTCTTGTATTCAATTCCACATAATTAGCTTGCAAAAGGTCCAACCTTTTGTCACCACCCAAAAGTCCAACCCTAACACCGCCCCACTCCGATTTGCCCTGAATTTTCTGCCAATCGAGTTCCCTCTTGTATCAGTCAAATAGGAAGTTGGGAAGAAGAAGACTGCATTCTGATTTCTGGAACCTAGTAACCTACCATCATTTGTCCCTTCAAATGTTCCCTCTGGAAAAGGTTGACTCCGCCTACTAAAAAAGGTGAGTCAAGAACATAAAGAATTGGGTCACTTAATTTGGGGTTACCTGCAAATCGGTCACTAAACTTTTTTTTATATGTATGACAAAGTTGTTTCTCAAGTGATTGTCTAACACATGTTGACGCGATGGAAGCGATGCATTCAATGGCGGAGGCTCTTCTGGAAAAAAGTTGTACCTTTTATGTGTTTTCTTGTTTCCTTCATGTTATTTTGCTCTTCTTAACTGTTCACGGAGTTGTGGTCCATCTATCGACAAAATAGACTCTTTGAATAGATAATTCGTTTGTCTTCGAAATATCGTTTTTATGTTGTTCAACGTGTTGTAAATTGTTCTTCTCCTTCTTCTTGGCTTATATATGGAAGAGTGTAATAAAGTTTTACACAGCTTTGGAGTTACTAACCTATTATAGTCGTTAGTTCGTATTTGTTAGGTTTCATATTCAAAATCTTCATATTGTTTTTTTCAAATTCAATCAAATTAGTGATGGAAGAAAGCGATACATCTTAATTAACTAGCGTAAACCGTCTATTTTAAGTCACACTTGATCCAAATCAAACCTATTACCTAAACCTGTTATAACTCGAGCGGCTCAGAATCAACCACTCAATTCATTTATTTCTCCCCCTAGTTCACAACTAATTAGGGTATCGATAAGATCTTCCCATATTACTGATTTTAGTGGACCAATAAGCTTATATGGGCAATTCATACGGAAAAAAAATCTTACGAAGATTAGTGAATTAATTGATTAGAGTAGTTAGTCAGATTTCGATGACAAATGTGTAAGCAGCAAAACTTAACGACTGATTTATTAACGCTTACGAAATTTAACCACTTTTAATCAAATTAACCCCCAAAAAATGGGGGGGAAATCAAACAACAAAAATTCATCTTACCATAAGGACCAACCTTATGTTTGTACCCTCATTAGCACATCACAACAACCATTGGAATCATCTCCAAGACCTTTCCCTCTCTTCTCCAAATCTCACCCCTTCTTCTCACCCTATTCGGCTTTTCCTCTTATTATATAACTCTCTAAACCTCTCTCCACCTGAAGAAGAAACAATCAATCCACCTTGACCTTCTCCTTCCTCTCATTCATTCATTCTTTCATTCTTCAAACACTCTTACAAGCTAAGAGTGTAAAAGTTCACGGTACACATCCATGGAAACAGAGCGCCGGCGCCATGTGATGACCAGTGTGAACAACGCCGCCGCATTACCCCCGACGTCGCCGGTTTCATCCACCACGTTCGTCCAAGCCGACGCGGCCACGTTCCGGGACCTCGTCCAGAAGCTCACCGGACTATCTCCCGACTCCGAGATGCGGCTTCCGGTAACTCTGCCTTCCAGAATCCACGCTCCAAAACAGGGTAACAACAACAACAACAACAGCGTAAATCATTCACCGCTCAATTCGCCCCGCCGGTCACCGTACAAGCTCCAGGATCGTCGCCACACGATCAGGAAGCTAGAGATCAAGCTGGGCCGAGCTTCTCTACGGAACAATGGTACTACGAGCCCCTGTTCCTCCCCCTGCTTTGTGGAGTCTCCGATCGGCAGCCCCGTCACGCCGCTGATGGGATCGCCGTTCTTTTCCAGCACCGAGACGTCGCCTAGCTCGGAGGAGGAGAGGGCCATCGCGGAGAAGAGGTTTTATCTCCATCCGTTGTCTCCGTTGAGCACGCCGCGGGGAGGGAGCGAGCCGCCGGAGCTGCTTCCCCTGTTTCCTCTGAGTTCTCCGACCGCGCTGAGGATTTGAATTGTATTGAAATCGGAGAGGTGTAGGAGAGAATTAATCAAATTGGGTTTGCAGAGATTGATTCAATGTGTGGTATAATTGATCCGGCGACCGGGAGGGTCGCTGATTCTTAAGGCCGGCGGAATATTTGTCTGGCCGGCCGGCCGGTTGGCACGGAGAGGAAAGTTGCGGTGGGCTTCGAATCCGGCGGGTGGATAAATTTGGTGGGTAGTATAGATTTTAAGTTGAATTAATTACTTTAACGCCTTATAAATTGTACTTTCATATTTAATATTTATTTAAATATGTTAATACGTTTGTCAATTTAATATTGAATTTAATTTAAAAGAAGTATATTGGTTGATTGTGGAGGTAATTGCCAAATGAAACAATTTCCTCTGTTTCGAGATTTTCTATAAAAAAATACTCCCCTATTATGAATATTTTTTTTAAGAATATTTTTTTATTGGGTTATAGAGATTAATATTTGTCCCTCTATTTTGTATTTATCCTTAATATGTTTGTTTTCAAATACTCAAACTCATACCCGTCACATACTCGTACAAAGGAGGATTTGCCACCCCAATCCTATACCCATGATTTTCAGGCATCCGTGGATAATACCAGTCTCATATATTCAATTTTACTATACATAAAATTCAACATGTATATCTTCCGTTATAAAACTACATGTATCTAAGAAATCATGAAATCAACAAAAATACTATCATTCTTAATATGAAGTCAAAGCATATTCACGGACCTATAAGAAAAAATATAATACTACCTAAATCATTCATCTTCGGCTCTAACACATTTACTAAGCAACAAATAATAACATTGTAATGTTAAAAGGGGGAATAAGCGAAAGACTGATGGGTAAATTGAAAAAAGGAAACTAATATTTGGTTTGAGTGACCAATCAATCACATTTAGTTCTTTATTTATTTTGAATTGCCATTCACGTCATTGAGAGATTACAATATGATACTCACGGGGAGGATATGAGTATACGTATGGGGCGATGAACCTAAACCATACACGTCTCATCGCATCATTTTTGCGGATCTTATTTGCACTCGTTCCTTACCTAGTCAGTGCATGAAATTCTTTGTGTGTAACTGTGAGGGGGCGATCGGATACCGGTAGTAACGGGTTTGATTGTCATCCCTAGTTATATTAAGATAAAACTTCGAAATTGAATATGTGATTAGTTTATGAGTGTAAATTATAATATATTAAAAGAAATTTGTTGAGCACTCCATACACTGAATGTATTTTACAATTTTTGAGCACTCCAGACTAGGGATGGCGATGGGTAGGGTCGGGTGCGGGTTTACCCTATACCAACTTCTAACCCATCGGGTAGAGCCTTCTAATATACCCGATCAAATAACCACCGGGTATGAAAATTATATAACCATACCCTACCCACCGGGTAACCACGGATATTCGGGTAACCATGGGTACGAATCCTAAACTATGAACTTATACACATATATGCACATACATACTGTTGTCCAATAAAAATTCTCAATACTTGTAACTGTTCTAGCTTCAACAATCCACACAAATAAAAACAGCAAACACATAATAATTGTTCTTGCTTCTACAATCCACACAAACATAATAATCGTCTACATCTTCATCATCAATAATGGTAGCTAAACTCAATTTCTCAAGCTAAACTTAATTTCTCAAGGGAAATTGACCCTTTGGTTAGCGGGGCGGATATAACGGGGCGGGTATTATCGATTACCATACCCGTACTCTACCATTTATTTTGAAACCGGGTATTACCCGTACCCGCCCCTTAAACCGTCAAAGCGGATAATTACCCTCGTTGACCGGTTACGGTCGGGTAGGGTACCCATGGTTACGGGTTGGATTGACATCCCTACTCCAGACACTATATATATTTTACAGAATATGAAAACACGTCTTACTATTTTATAGTAATTCGTTTTTACCGAATCTAACACTCCTAAATAGAATTTATGATGGGTAGCCATGGAGTTGAAACGTCACCGGTGTAACATCCATTCCCAAAATGTTCCGTCACAAAACGTTGGGAATTTGGGAATTTTTGGGATGCTCGCCCGATATATGCCTTGGAATCCAAGGGTGAGTGGCCATGGAGTAGTGCGCCAGCAACAGACAACAATTCCGCCCAATTGTCCGCTCTCCGCCGTCTCCTCCTCTACGGCTGCCGTCGCCTGTTCACGCTATACGCATATATATACTTCTCCACTCCTGGTTCCGTTTCCCCTCTCGGCTCTCTCAACAACAATGACCCACCATGGCCTTGGCTGAGTTGTAGCTAAATCAACAGCACGGGACTTCTCTAAAATGCAGCAATCTTCGGGGGTAGCTCAGGAACCGGGGCCTCTTGTCGATTGGGTGGCTCAATTCGGTCGTTTTGCATTCAACGCCGCCGCGAATTCAAATGGGTACTCTTCCTTTCGTTCGAATTACTTGTATTTTGATACCACGGGTCGAAAGAGTAGCAGGGGAGGCAGGGTGGCTGCTTCCTTGAGACTGGGAGAAGGAGGCGGTTCGAGTTTGAGGAGGATTTGGAATGAGTTTAATAGGTTTGTTAGGTCTCACTGTGATAGAGTCCCTATTGGTTTCCCTTCTGCTGGAGTCGGGCCTGGGGATTGTAGTAGCAGTAGGAGTAGTAATGGTAGTAAGTTGAACGATGGATGTGATGTTCTGGTGGATGATGGTTTGCCTTTGAATGGAGTTGAGAGTGATCGCCCTAAAAAGGTTCTCATTTTGATGAGTGATACCGGTGGTGGTCATAGAGCTTCTGCAGAGGCTATCAGGGCAGCTTTCTATGAACAGTTTGGTGATGATTATCAGGTAAATCTCTCAACTTTCATCGACTTTGGTCTATTGGGCGAAGGAACGTTTTAATTCTGAAAGTACGAGGAAACGAAGGTCTAAGTTATGATCGATGATGCTATGATTTATGGTTACCATTTGGTTTTGTAGATTGCCTTGTGAGAATTCCCGCCTGCCTTGTCCTCTTGGTCATCTTTGTGCTGTGTTAAAGAATATGTATTTCAGGTGTTCATTACTGATCTATGGTCAGAGCACACACCTTGGCCGTTCAATCAATTGCCTAGGAGCTATAATTTCTTGGTCAAACACGGTACATTATGGAAAATGACATACTATGCATCTGCACCAAGGCTAATCCATCAATCGAATTTTGCTGCTACTTCAATGTTTATAGCTCGGTAGGACCTTGATGTCGTTTTTCTTTAGTGCCAAACTGAATTCTTGAGGCTATTTTTCTATAGCACAGTAAGTTGCCAAAGGATACATTTGAAGATCTTGGTGTTATCTTCGTTTTGCAGTGAAGTTGCCAAAGGATTGATGAAGTACCAGCCTGACATTATTGTCAGTGTGCATCCACTGATGCAGCATGTTCCTCTTCGTATATTGAGGGCGAAGGGTCTTCTGCAGAAGATAGTATTCACTACAGTAATTACAGATCTTAGCACTTGCCATCCAACCTGGTTAGAACTCTACACTTGTATGTTTTGCTACTTGTCATTCAATCTCAGATATTTCTCTATTAATGTTTTTTCAACCTTTTTCAATATTTTGTGGCCATTTGTCTTCTAGGTTTCATAAGCTTGTTACACGATGTTATTGCCCGTCAATGGATGTAGCTAAGAGAGCCTTGAAAGCTGGGCTGCAGCTACCCCAAATCAAGGTTTTTGGCCTTCCTGTTCGACCATCATTCGTTAAACCTGTTCGACCAAAGGTAGGTTATCCCAGTTTTGGTTGATGAACTCTTTATGTGATTGGAATTTGGAACACATGTACATGAAAAGTTTCATCAAGCAAGAATTGATTGAATTGGTCTGATAACTACTGAGGTGTCTCGCTCAGGAAAAGTTGTGTTAGTACTGTGAGAAGCTGTGGAAACTCATTTAATCTGTTTTCTTGGTTGGGTGTTTGTTTGTTCCTTATATGTCCTAGGAAGATCTAAGGAGGGAACTGGGGATGGATGAAGACCTTCCTGCTGTTCTATTGATGGGGGGAGGAGAAGGGATGGGGCCCATTGAGGCAACTGCAAAGGCTCTTGGTGATTCCTTATATGATGAGAATCTCAGGGAGCCAATTGGTCAAGTCCTTGTTATATGTGGCCGCAACGAAAAGCTTGTCAATAGATTGGCGTCGATCGATTGGAAGATTCCTGTCCAGGTAACTCTTCCTTCTTTTCTGCATCGTGCCTACAGAAGATCGTATTCCAAACATGAACCAAGATACTAAACCATCAAAGTTCCATACTTCACGCAATCTTTCACATGTAGGTGAAGGGATTTGTCACTAAAATAGAAGATTGCATGGGGGCATGTGACTGCATCATAACCAAGGTGTGTGTTTGCCTCAAACCGAAATCACAGTTGGTCTGATCCTGCTATAAGCTACTCATGAGTTATGGTTTTGATAGGCTGGTCCGGGGACTATTGCAGAAGCCATGATTCGTGGCCTTCCTATAATTTTGAATGATTACATTGCAGGGCAAGTAAGTAGTCAGCTTGTTTGCGTCCATTTCGCCATGGTTCTTTGTTTGTGCAAGCGAAGGCTTAACGTAACAATGGGAAATCTGAAAACACATGCAGGAAGTAGGTAATGTGCCCTACGTGGTGGAGAATGGATGTGGGAAGTTCTCGAAATCGCCGAAAGAGATAGCTAGTATCGTTGGTCAATGGTTTGGTCCAAAGAAGGAAGAACTGACGGCCATGTCCCAGAATGCTCTGAAGCTGGCCAGACCTGATGCAGTTTTCAAGATTGTGAACGATATGCATGAACTCGTTAGGCAGCGGAGTTATGTTCCTCAGTTTAACTGTGCAACTTGATTCCTGACATTTTCTTTCCCTCACCATCCTTGAAATTTTGACACAAATGAGGTTGGTTTGAGACTTTGTATGACTGTTCTGAGATTTGTCAGTGATTTTAACAATGAAAAGGAAAGGTAAATGCCTGATTCTATTTTGTGAATCTTGGGCATGTTTGGAAGTTATGGTTCCTTAAATTGATGTATTTAATCAATGTATGTATTATAATTGGGTAAATGCCACATTTGGTCACTGAGATTACTAAATTGTGTCATGTTCAGTCACTAGAAAAATTTAATATCAATTTTGGTCACTCGAATTACTGAAACTGGTCACATTAGTCACTCTCCAGTTAATGGAGTTGGACGGAAACTAACGGGAAAGTGACTAAATGTAACATGTTTCAGTAATTCGAGTGACTAAATGTGACATGTTTTAATTCTAAACTAAACCCTAACCAAATATTCCTTCTCTCACCCCCAACCCACATCCGTCGGATGGAAAAGATCAATCCCGAACCAAATAAACCCTAAGCAATAAATTGAAATTAATGTCAACTAAGAAAGATCAATCCAACAGCATCTTAAGTCTGATGCATGAAAGTCAATCACTTTAGTCGAATATTTTTAAAATCCTGCATTTCTCTACGACACTCACCTAGTATTATCAACAACACCAATATCTAATCTATCATCAATCAAACAAGCTCTCCAAAAACGCATGAGATCCAACAAACGTCCCGATGATGTCTGAATGAGAAGAGAGAATTCATCTGGAAGCCGAAGGATAAAGTTTGCCATTTCTCTCATGATTGCGAATCAGCGATGAGAAAGGTACTTAACAATCCGGTTCAATACCAGTACAACCTCTTCTTGGTTACCAGGACCAATACTTATTCCATGCTAAGCAATGAAAGACAAATAAATGAACTAAGGGTATTAAAGTAAATTTAAATTAGTTAGGGCGACGAATAAGGAAATTTGTAACGACGAATAGCAATGCACATTGGTTATGTAATTGACGGCGGCGCGGCCCTCATCCAATAACTCCGATTGCAAACTGGGAAAGTGGGTTCATGAAATATTTCAAAAAGAAAAAATGAGTCCAACAATATAACTCGGGTTGCTTTTGTTGGGAAGAAACCGCTCCTTTGGCAACACCCAAAACGTCGTTTTTCGAGTTCCACTTTTCGCGACGGCTTTGTTGTTGCTATACCATATGTGGTAATGGGGCCGAATAAACTTGTCGCCAATAACCACAAGTATTCTATTTCTGCAACTAAACATATTAGTCACAATAGCACCCTCAAAATCTGCGATGAATGTATACGCCGTTGAACTTTGAACGTTCATCGGAAAATCCATTAGCTCCTCCATTTCCCAAATAGCGGCTATCAAGGACATACATTGCTATTTCGTCTCAAAAAGTATACCTTTGCCGACGAATCTTTGGCCGATATATGACTATTTTTTTGTCATGTTTGTCATGAAAAGTTTAATTTTCACCAATACTATATTATGATTTATGAAAACATACATTTAAACGATCACAATGGATTTCTCTACTAAGCACTATTGTATATGTAAATAAATCATATATTTCATATGAAAAAAAAAATCATATATGTATAAAAAGAAATCACAATCTATGTGTGCATAGCAAGGTTTATGAGCCAAATAAATTTCACAATCTATACATGTGCTTGATAATTGGTATGATGCTAAATTCAAAGTTTAGTTTGGTTGTTCGGTACATGATTGTTCGGGCATTCCAACATGAGCATGGCAGATACCACCTTTGTTACATGTTATCCTTTTTCTAGTGTAGCTGCAAGAGCACCACTATCTTCTTCCATCCCATGATCCCATCATCATCACTAGCCCTCTTGCTACCATAAGCCAAGAACTTGTAGCCAGCCAAGGGTGCGAGTAATGGAATCAATACCACATACGAAGCAAACTGAACCACAACATGAATGAAAGCTACCAACAAAAGGCAAAGGACATGTTCATATTTTTCTACTCTTTAGTCTTGTTGTTATGAAGGTGTTGATAGAAGGTCAATTCCTACCAAGTTAATTGTGTTTCCATTGATACAATGGTTAATTACCCCAACGCTTACTTGATCATGGTCTACATCAAGTCTTGTGGATCCATATGTGTGAAGCTCTATGAGTAAATGGCCGCTAAAAGAGTTCCATCATTCATGCTCTAGCAACAAGAGCAAGGCGATAGACAGGCTGACAAAGATATTATAGGGTTAAGGAAGTTCTATACATGTAGAACAAAAGAGACGGGTAGACCAAATGCTCGAAACAGGAACATGTTAGTTAGCAGGTCTCGGATGGACTACATTTGAACATTTGTCGTTACATTTCCGCGGGAACAAGGATCTAGTTCATTCTCTTCTACTAGGATATCTGCCTGCAGCTACAACTCTGCATCCCCTGAGAACTTGTCTGAAAGATTGGCTAAGATAAAACCTGCAAATACCTGGCAAAAATTTGTACAAAGACTCAACCTTTCATTCTTAAAACTCAAAACCATCCAGAGTAGAAAGGGTTTTGAGCATATTTTCCCTCTTAGTTTCCTTGCTATATTCACTCTACAATTGGAGAAAGAAGATATGTGAAAGCATAGAATGACGTGCCTGCAGGCAGCCGATGATGTAGATGGCAGAGTAGTGACGGCCATGAATCACCATGTCAGCCATCATGGCGAGAGGAATGGTCAAGGACATCCCCAGTGTGGCCACCAATGGCGTAGTCCAAATCACAGAAACAGCCCTGCTTGAAGGAAGGACACACCCATCACAGTTCTTTCTTTTGCATATTGTGTATATCATCCAATTAAACGAAAATTAAGTACATTTATATGAATTCACAGCAACAACTCAACATACCAAAAGTAGTCTGCTAAAACGTTTCCCACGAGGCCATTTAGCACCACAATTTCATCAATTGATACCGAGTCGGGGAAGCTGAATCCGGGTTCTATTCCTAATGCACTGAGAGGCCATACTGCAAGCAAGAAACAAAAGAGACCCTCTTCAAATCACACTAGGGAAAGTGAACAATGTGCAAAGTGTTAATTGACTGCTTCATAACAGCTCCTTTTTCTGTTCTTTAATTGTCGCAATGTTCAATGTAATAGTATATGTGTTTCTCGTAAGAACAGAAGACTTTCAACTGGTTTTGAGTTTACTTACATAGCCACCAAAGGCCAACAAGAGTGAAAATGCCAATGAATCCTAGAAATTTTTGCATGTCAACCTTTTCATCTTGGGATCCTGCAGATCTCTTGAGCAGCACTGCAGATAACTTATCAGTAATCTTATAGAGCGAAACTAGTCTTTGGTATTGCACAAACATACTGGTCTTGTTCTTGGAACTTACCGGTGAACAAGGCATATGATATGGCTGAGAATAAACCTAGTATGTCCCCCTCAATTGAGTGTTTTCTTGTTCTTGAAAATCAAAGGGAGAACAGCCAGAATGTTCTTGTCAAATGAGCAGCACCAACTTAGGAAGATAAGTAAGTAACAAGAGAGCGAATTTAACAAAAAAGGAAACAAGGCAATAACTTACTCATGTGGGGTCAACCCTTCATCTCTTGCCCAAGTCTTTCCAACTGTGGTCATGGCTACACCAGCCATGCTAATCAGTACAGCAACCACCTTAGCCGCATTTATCGAGTCCTGACCAAGAAGTGCCCCGAATGCAAGCGTGAAGAGCCCTGAGGTAGAACTGATGACAGTCGTACTGGCAACACTGGTGTATGCAAGGGCTGAGTTGGACAAGTACTGCAACAAATAGTACCAAACAAAGCATCCATTCAAACTTGAGAGCACAGACTGATCAAAGAAGGCATGAACGTAAAGTCAAATAGATTATAACACCTCTGATAGGAACCAAATTGGAGCAAGATACAAGCTAGATTTAGCAATTTCGCGCGAACCAAGTTGGGGATTCAGTTTATAGTGCAAGTGATGATGATCACCATGTTTGTTAACAACTTCCTTGTTGTAAATCAAAGGCCTTCCTTCTTCCCTCTCACTGAGATCCTTGTTAGTCAAGTGGCAGCTTCTTGTTGTTCTGTTAGTTTCAGAAGAATACTGGTGTGATTCATCATGCCGATCTACCACCTCAACTACTGAAGAAGAAGTGATGTTGGGATTCTGAATCTCCTCCTTAGTCCCTCCAAACAAGCTACACAGCCAATCTTTCAAGAATGCTATTGGTAGATGGAGCAACATCAGTGACACCCCGAGGTAAGTCAGAGCAAAAGGCTGTTCATACTTTTCGAAGATGCTCTGCAAAAAAAAATAAAGGAGAGAATATCTCAAAGCCAGTTTCAAGTACAAGACTTTCTTTCCTTTTTTTTTTTTTTTTTTTGATGGGCAACTTTCTTTCCTTTTCTCGAGAAACAAACAGAAAAAGAGACTCAAGAAACGAACCTGAGTGATCTCTGCAGAGGCAACCCAAATGAAAACAACCGTGCCAATCAGTCCCAACCCAGCTCTGTATCTCCAACCCATTCAGGAAAGCTTCGATCTTTTTTCGGAAACTTGAACTGGGTTTATGGTGGGTAATTGAAATTAACAATAACCAATCAAATCGCTATAACAAGACGTTCGGCTCCATTTTCTGAACAAGCTTACAATGCAGTAAACCAAAATTCTCAGTCAGGCAATCAGACGAACAGTTTGTGTGCAACGAAACCAAAAAACAACCACCCGCATGGCTTGCCAGCACAGATCGTATGCATAAAAAAAGCATTCTTGTGGATTACCTCTGACGTTACACAGCATTAATGCTCTTTCCCATATTTAGGTGTTGGGAGAAGTGGGGGGTTTCTTCTTGAATCTTGATCATGAAAATGCGATCACCACTCTTATTGTCATTTTCTGAAGCTGATGCATTACGGAAAAGAGAGAAAGGTTGGAACTTGGAAGAACGGAAATGCTTCTGATTCTGAAGTGTCAATTGTTTTCACGCTCAAAACGATGTGACACGTTGGAAGAGAAGGATGCCAAGTGCCCATGAGAACCGGTCCGGTTGGTTTGTATGGTCCAACCACAACCGAGTTGGGTCTGCTGTAACCGGTGATTACACTTCAATCGCCGTTAGTCCATTTAGGGACGCAGAGAAATTGGAAGAGTTGCGGTGGTTCGCGACTGTAAAGTATGAATCGTATTAGCTCCGACTGGCAAACCACAAGCCGCTGCCGCCCCTCCTCCTCCGTCTACCGCCGTCGCTAATCGGAGGACGAAATTGCTGCTGTTGGGTAACAAATTTCTAAAGTCGTCTACTTTTCCCCGATTGTTCAAATTTACAGCTGTTCGTGCTGAATCAGTTGAAGAAATATGTATATACTTCTTTCCCAGGAGTAGCAATCTGAGAAATTATGTGGCGAACCAGTAGAAATTTTGCTAAATGTATTAGATTGGACTCGACCGAATTCCATTTTGGTCCATTCAACCAATTTGTTCAGAGAAGATGGGGGAAACCTGCAAATACTGCACAGACCCGCCTGGAGGATAGAACGAGGGACTCTAAGCTTGATAGGATATCTGCTAACCTTAGGAGACTCAGAATCATCCTCAATCTCCATGAGCTGATATCGAATCGAAAGCGTGGGCCTTTTGTTTCTGTTCAACTGATGTCAAGGTGGAGAAACATTGTGGGGTTGAATGTAGGTGTAGGTGAGTTCATTCAGAAGTATCCTCACATATTCGAGGTTTTCATACACCCTATTCGGAGGAATATGTGTTGTAGAGTTACGTCGAAATGGGAGGACTTGATGGCTGAAGAGGCCGGGGCTATCAGAGAGAGTGAATCGAAGGAAGCCCTCTGGAGATTGAAGAAGCTGTTGATGATGTCCAAGAATGGAACTCTCCATGTTCATGCTTTGAGAATGATTAGGAAGGAACTGGGTTTGCCAGAAGATTTCCGGGACTCGATATTGAATGAGTATAAAAGTGATTTTGAGCTGGTTGATCTGGAAACAGTGAAATTGGTTAGTAGCAAAGATGATGAGAGATTGGGTGTGGCAGAGATCGAGAAATGGAGGGAGAAAGAGTACAAAGATAAATGGCTGAGTGAGCTCGAGACGAAGTATGCATTTCCTATTCAGTATCCCACAGGGTTCAAGATAAAGGGAGGGGTTAGAGAGAAGATGAGGAATTGGCAGAGGCTTCCTTACTTAAAGGCTTACGAACAAGACAATGCAGGTGGCTTCAGCAGAAGTAGTAATGTGGTGGAGCGATATGAAAAACGTGCTGTTGCGATGATACACGAATTGTTGAGTCTGACGGTGGAGAAGATGGTCGATGTTCAGAGATTATCACATTTCAAGAAGGATTTTGGTATGGAAGTGAATGTGCGTGAGTTGCTGTTGAGCCACCCTGGAATTTTCTATATATCAACCAGGGGGAAGACTCAAGTTGTTTTCCTTAGGGAAGCATATGCAAAGGGGTGCCTGATTGAGCCAAACCCAATTCATGTTGTTCGGAAGAAGATGTTGGACCTTATATTGGTTGGTCGCCGGAACACAAGGGAACTGCAAACAGCTGAGGAATTACAAAGGCCGGAAAACAATTTGGTTTCGGAATAAAGAACTAGGATGGGAGTTTCAAGTTCAGTTTCGATTTAGTACAGAGATTTCCAGAGTTCACCGAACATTCGGGCTTTGGAGAACTGCCCTTGATGGCTCGACATGTGATTGGTAAGTGCAGTTTATGTGTTTATCTTTGTGCATGATCATTCATTGCGTAGTCCTTTATGAGCGAAGCTACCAAGTTACAATCTCTTCCTCAGAGAAAGGTTTATCTACCAAATTCACTATCTGATTTGCGAACTCCCTTTGTACATTGTGATGATTCAGCTGGGCGTTCAGCGATTGGTGGCAGCATCAAACTTGACAAAAGCAGCAGCAATTGTACCTGAATGGACTGTCATCTGCGGCCGAAAGTTGCTCAATTTTGGCAGCAATTGTACCTGAATGAACTCTGGGGGAAACTAGTTGTCTGGCGCTGGCCGTCATGAGTTTTTATGGACCATCGCTCTAGGTAGCATACTGCCGGCTGCTCTTGTCAAGAAGAAACACATCCTATTGATAGAACAAGCGGAAATCATTCATCCCAAAACACATGCTGAAGCAGGATGCAGTAGATGCATGTGGGGTATTGTTTGACAAAATTAGTGGCGTCATTACCACAATACATCCATCCTCCCATCTTGATGATCTGTTGCTGCACACTAATGGTTTGATACCACTTCACGATACATAGAACTATGATTGCTTAGTTATTCGATCTTCTCAAATTCAACAGACTTTTCTCCTGTAATAGAGGAGCTCTGAAAGAAATAACGGATCACTTCATACGATAGGCTTGGTGAATCTTGTGGATACTGCAGCCTCAGTTTGTCCAATCTAGTAAAAGGAGACGCTTCTGATGACTCAATTAACGGCTTCATTCTGCTGAAGGGGAAGAGGTAATCTTTCCAAGGGTTTCCACTCTCCAACTAACAAGGAAACACAAATAAGTGGAAAACATCAAGGAAGCCAGTTCCAGAGTTAGATTGGGGATTATAATAAGGCTCGGGCAGCTGACAGGAAGCCTGTTCCAGAGTTGTCAGCAACTTAAAACCCGAAGAAGAAAGTACAGGACTGGCATAGGTACAATCTTCTTAGCTTCAGAATCTTGAGTGACTCGTGATGATCACAAGCAATGATGGAAGCAGCTACGTTGCTAAATTTCCCACGATGTAGGGTAATGGACAAATGGTGAAGCTGGCCACCATTGGCGGCAGCAGAGCATTGCATGACACTATGAAACAGCTCTATACCAGGTCTTGTACAGAAATATTTTCCAAAATCAAAGGTGATGCTCCTCACAGCCACAAAATCAAATCTGATAGATAAAATACTTCTTCACATGCTCTATGAAACTTGAATTTTCGCGAACGGTTTCGATTGAAATTGAGGTTAGGAGTTGCTTTCCACAAATTTCTCCACCTCTTTTCATAGAAGGCTGGGCTGAACTGCAGATTTCGCGTCAAGGAACTAGAGAACGTGATCGATAATGTTGTATGGAAGATCGCTCAACCTGTTGATTTGTTCTTCCACATCATGCCTCCTAATTTGGGTTTCTTCTTGTCCCTCTTAGAGTTCCCTGCCATATCCTCTTCCTCCTTACCACGAAACACATTGTCGCTGCAGAACAACAGTGTCACTTGGTAAGGGGGAGAAAGGGAATAAAGAGAGATGACAAGGGCAATATTGTATTTTACTATCAATCGAATCCGAGTCAGCACATTTCTTCTCTTTTTCTTTTTTCTATTCCAAAACAAGGGATAAAACGAATCCGTGTGCAGAAGCCGAAGCAAACGCCACTTTACTGATCCAGTGACTCTGTTTCAGCAACCACATCAACCACCAAACCAATCTTTCCGATGGAGTTCACGGCGGCGCAGCTGAGTCAGTTCGACGGCAGCGACCCATCGAAGCCCATCTACGTGGCGATCAAGGGCCGGGTGTTCGACGTCAGCTCCGGCAATTCCTTCTACGGTCCGGGGGGATCCTACGCCATGTTCGCGGGGAAGGACGCAAGCAGAGCTCTGGCGAAGATGAGCAAGAACGACGAAGACGTCATCCCTTCGCTCGACGGCCTCTCCGACAAGGAGATCGGCGTGCTCGCCGATTGGGAGAAGAAGTTCGAGGCCAAGTACCCTGTTGTCGGCCGCGTCGTCTCTTAAAAACTCTGCCTTTCAAAACCCTAGCTCAAAAGAGTCCAAGATTGGATTTTTAATTGAAATATGTATTTGTGCTGTACTATATTAACTCTCTATCTGACTCTCTCTGAATCTCTGTGTGATTGAATAAAGCCATGTGGGCTTTGTGTTGCTCTGGATTTTCTACAATGGGGAGGAATTGAATTCCTCTTAGCCTTTGATTGCCTTTGGAGTTGCAACTGATTGATGTAATGTAATAATAGCTCTCTGGCTTTGCTGGAACTTAGCTCCATTTTTTGCTCTGTTCGTTTTTTGTGATCTTGATGGTGACTTGCTGCAGAGTTTCCCTCCCCAAAATGTTGTAGGCTTTGATCGAGTTCTTCTGTTGCAGTACCCAGTATGGACATGTTGAATTCTTGGTAACAACTCTTTCATCTGCACCATAGCTTTGTTGATTGAAATTGGCTGTAATGGAGCAGTAGGGACTGTCAAAACCAGGACGGTTTGATCGGGTGATGAATCAGATTCATGAACGCGAGATCTGTATGCATCACAGTCGTTAGTAGATTTTTCCTTCACTGATCTCCAATCTCTCTGGAAGAGAACCAATGTGGAAGAGATAAAAGGGAGATCTCCAATCTCTATATATGGGGAACCAATGTTGAAATTGAATAGATAAAGAGGGAGAGTGGTTTGTTTACAGAAGAAAGTATCTCCTTATTCACGATGGCACTCTCAAAGTCGGCATTTTTTCCCCCCATAGAAAGTCTAAAATTGGCTTAGAGACCAAATCAGTCTAATCTGTGGTGAAAATTTTCAACCCTCCAAAAATTATATGTCTCCTCAAGTCAAATCTCTCTACCACATTTTCCTCCCTTGTGTTCTTATTTTCGGGTTCATTAGCATCGAATTTTAGCATCAAATTTCTCTATATCAATTTGGCTAGATTACCGTCCCTCTAAATTCTTATTCCTGGATTCTGGTTGTCCTCGTTGTTCATCCCTCCTTTCCACCTTTGTAAGTTAACCCCCTCTATCTCCACATTTCTCATATGCAACGAAAAGAAGAGGAAAATGACTTTTTTTTCTTGGATTGGTTAATGGCAAAATCGTTTATCCTAGATGTTCAAGCATATGGAATTAAAGATCAATATTGTATCACACACCTCTAAATTTTTATTCTATCAAATTCAACATAGTGCACCTCTCCATATTTATTTGGTTGTTATTGGAGATGCTTGATGATGACAACTATAACGTTCTATATTTGATACTTTGACAAAAAATGTAATTTTCATATCGTTCTTAATCATAAGAATGATATGGAAATATTGAGACGTAAAGTAACTGATTTTTTCACCTAAAGGCTCCAAACATAAACCCTAATTATGAGTTGATCCATATTTCTTCTGTGTCGACACCTTTATATCCATTGTTTGTGCCTGTCGTATGCAGAAATATGACAGCCAAGTTCTAACTAGCACCTCTCCTTGTCCAAACTTCAACCTTGTTTTTGTCCAGAGTCGCAGAAATCCAAGAAAAGAACCCAAGGCAAGACAGAAGTGGGAACCCACTACCCCAGCCAGATCCATTTGCACATACCATGCCCCACTTGCCTGGGACCAACAGATTTCTGCCACGTCTCAGGCTCATCATATCAGTGGTTGGAGAAACCCAGATTGCCGACTCCAAGCTCCTAAACTTTGGCACCCAGCTGTAGCGTAGAATCGCAGTTTGCTATTGATCAGCAGCAAAGAGATGTATGCAACTTGCCGCAGGGGATCCCAGCCCGTGAGGCAGAAATAAAGAAGAGAGAGCTATAGCTTCGAATACAAGGTGTGTTGCCTTACAGTTGGTCAACTACTGTAAACGTTTGACAATTCTTCTTCTCCACCAATGAACCTCTCCCGATCTACATTCAGAAAAAGTCCCCAGTTTGTTCGTTGGAAGTGGTAGCTCACAAGTTCTGATCTTTGCCTAAACTGGTAAAAGTTGTGAACTTTTGTCGTTTGCAATCCTTGGTGGGAGACACAGGTTGCTCCCACACATTTGGAAAGTGTTGAGCTTCAGAAAAGGGCAAATGCTTTGTTGATATCATCTTCCACATTGGATTGGTCGTACGTTTATCGTTTTAAGGGAAGTTCATTTCTTTCCTTAAACCCATTAGGAAGATTAGTAAATTGTCTTTTGGGGAGTGAGAAATTTCCGTCAGTTTCAAGGTGTTCCCATTTTCTGGGCAAGATTGATTTTTGCGGACTAGGTGTTCGTTGTATTGCCTCAACCGAGTTGTGAGGAGGAGGGCTGAGACGCAGAGTGGGTTTTTGAGTATGGTGGAGGATGATGAGAATGTGGAAGCAGCATCTGGTGGTGAGGTGATGGAGGTAGGAAGGGATGGAGGAGGTAGATCTTGTTCTCGTGACTGCTTGTTGACTCCGCTGTACTGGTTCAAAATGCTCGCTAAGGAGACCCACTGGAGCTTCGTCTATGGTGTCCTGGTCGTTTATGGAATCAGCCAGGGTTTCGGAGGTGCTTTCTCTAAGGTGGGCACTGAGTACTACATGAAGGATGTTCAAAAGGTGCAGCCATCTGAGTCCCAGATCTACCAAGGACTCATCTCGATCCCTTGGCTTGTAAAGCCTATTTGGGGCCTCCTCACTGACGTCATCCCCATCTTAGGCTTTCGTAGACGCCCTTACTTCATTCTAGCAGGTAACCAAGAAAACAGTGAAGCTACTTGTATAGTTCCTCTTTCATCCTGTTCATATCTACATTTGGGATTGGCCTGATTTTTCAGAATCCTGGTATTTGTACTTTTCCAGGATTGCTTGGTGTGGCTTCAATGCTTCTATTGTCATTGGGTGGGAAGATGCACCTGTTTTTAGCTGTTCTGCTTTTGATTAGTGGAAGTGCTGGTGTGGCAATAGCAGATGTAACAGTAGATGCCTGTGTGGCACAGAACAGCAATGTCCATCATTCCCTTGCTGCTGATATGCAAAGTTTGTGTGCTTTAAGCTCGTCCATCGGGGCTTTGATTGGATTTGGTTTCAGTGGGATATTCGTTGATCTCCTTGGCCCTAAGGTTTGCTGTTCCCTGCCTCATTTTCTGCAGTTCTTTCCCAGTTTTAAAACAAAGGTGATTGATTATGTTCGAACTTGGTTATTCGTTTTAGGGGGTGTTTGGTTTGCTTGCAATCCCAGCTGCACTTGTATTGTCAGTAGGAGTTTTGCTGGAAGAGCCTTTGATGCCTAATTTCAGTTACAAACAGGTACTTAGATTCATTCTGTTGGCCTGTGGAAGTTCCTGACCTTGTTTACAAGTATCTAATAATTTTCGGGTCTCCTTTGCCCAGGTAAGCCATAGGTTCGTCGAAGCTGGGAAGGCCATGTGGATAACATTGAACTATCCAGAAGTGTGGAGACCATGCCTCTACATGTACTTATCTCTCACTTTGAGTGTCAACATTGATGAAGGCTTGTTCTATTGGTATACCGACTCGAAGGGTGGTCCCTCTTTTTCCCAGGTATTCTTCCCAACAAACGCTTAGTTTCTTATGATCCAAGAAAGATTTTGGTTCTTGACAGGGATAAATGGCTCTCATCTTATGCAGGAAACTGTTGGTTTCATATTCTCAATTGGGTCAATTGGATCCTTATTGGGGGCACTACTATACCAAAATGTACTGAAAGACCATCCTTTCCGAAACTTGCTTTTCTGGACCCAACTGTTGTCTGGTCTGGCTGGGATGCTGGATTTGATTCTGGTGCTGAGATTGAACTTGAGATTTGGGATGCCTGACTACTTCTTCGCTGTGATCGACAACAGTGTGACTCAGTTGATTGGGAGGCTGAAATGGATGCCACTTCTTGTGCTGAGCTCCAAGCTTTGCCCTCCTGGAATTGAAGGCACTTTCTTTGCTCTCCTCATGTCCATTGATAATCTCGGCACTCTCTCGTCTTCCTGGGGAGGAGGCGTCCTCTTGCACATAATGAACGTAACCCGAACCAAGTTTGACAGTCTATGGCTGGTCATCTTGTTGCGGAACGTGTTGAGAATCACCCCACTTTTGTTGCTGTTCTTGATTCCTGCTGGTGATCCAAATGCTTCCATACTTCCAAGTGAGGCACTGGCTGAAGAAAAAGAAACTGGGACTCCAGCAGATGGAGACTTGGAGTTGGTGTCCCTGGTTAGTAGCGCCGACTATGTGGGCAAATAGAATCCCAAATTACTCATTCTATAGTTGAATTCTTTGAAGAGAAAGGAAGATCAAAACTAGAGGGAAGAAGAAGACAGGATCATCTTTGTTAGAACTTAGAAGCTAGGGAGTTTCGCTATACGATGTATTGTTTGAAAAAATCCCTGTTGTATACCAAAGGTGGTGAGATAGATGTATAGGGAAATTCTCAATTTTGGGTATTGCCTATTCTGCTGCAATGAATCAGTCAGTTTGTTCTAATCCTGAAACCCATTCAGTTTCTGTCAATGGCCTGTAGGCCTCTTCTCAGACTGTTGAACAGCTGAAATATCAAGGAGGCAGCCATTGAATATCAAGTTTGATTCTTCAGGTAAAAAATTGTAAGAGAAACAATTTCTATGGTTCAGAAGGCAATTTGCCAGGAATGAGCATTTGACTATTGAGGCACAAAAGTGGGTATTTAGCCCACTTGTCCTGTGGGCCGTTTAAAAGCCCAAAAAGGTCAGACGGAGAAACGTCTAAAAGAAAGCGGCGGAGAGAGTTAGCGACTAGCGAGCAACTCCGCCTCCGCCGTCTGCCATTTCCCGATTGTCAGATATCATCAGCTCACCGCCGCATTCGCTCCACTGTCACCGCCGCTATCTCGCGCCGTTGTCAGCTGCACTGTTGCGACTCTTTATAGAGAGCGATAGAGAGAGAGTCTGTGATCGAAAGTCTGATTAAACATTTTCGCTGAGACTACCGCCGGTTTTATCACTGGCTGCCGTCGGCAGTTGTTTGTTGGCCGCAGCTCCTCGAAAAGGAGTTTCATGAACAAAGGTGAATGCTTCTCGCAGTCCTTTGCTGATTGCAATTGTTTGGTGTTTAATATTATTGATGAAAATCGTCAATTTCGAACTGTTACGGTTGTAGCTCGGTAGTTTTTGCTTCTGGTATGAGAAGTACGGCTCTTTGTTTAAACGCTTGGTCAAGAGAATGGCAGGATTTGTTTCATTTGCTTTCTTTTTGGTTTACATCCTCAACAGTGCAAACATGGTAGTTGATGGTCATTAACATCAGTGCAGGTCCTACTTCCTGCAGGTTCCATAGTGATGATCCATTTGAGAAAGGAAAGAAACTGGTTTTCATTCAGTGAGTTTTGTCTGCTGCTTTGATTTCTTAGGAGCAGTGTGAAATTCTTAGCAGTCTGAAGTCTGAACAATCGAAGGAGTTGTGTCTGCAGTATTTGGGGTGGCATTTATCTGTTGATATGGGACGGTTTGGGGTTTTTTACCATCCTTTCTTATGTAACGAGAGTGCACATCTTGATCCATTTAGCTTGTTTTTCTCAGTGAATCATTATGCCAGCTGATCCAAAGAGCTATGTATCATTCGGATATTAAAGGTTTCTAGCTGGAGTTGGAACACGTTAGTAATTGAAGATGCTTAGTAGACTTCCGAAGTGTTGCTTCTGTACTTCTGCAACAGCACGCCCGTGGCTCTTTGTGGGTCTAGGCAATCCGGGCGAGAAATTCAAAGGAACTCGTCACAATGTGTGTAGCTCCAAGGGCTCGGATTCTGGATGCTTCCACCTCATGTCTTTGTCTTAGTGTTTTGTTTTCTAAAATTATGGTAGTAACTCTCATTTCACTGGAGCAGGTAGGTTTTCAGATGATCGATGCATTCGCTGAGTCGCAAGAACTTCCAATGAACACAGTGCAATGCAAAGCTTTGTTTGGAGAAGGTTTGATTGACCCCTCTCTTTTTAAGCCGGAAACATTGGGGGGTGCTTGTTGAGTTCAAGCTCATGGAGTTGCGCTGTTGTTTGCAGGTTATGTTGGGGATGCACCTGTTCTCCTTGCAAAGCCTCAGACTTATATGAACCTGAGTGGTGAATCAGTAAGTGGCTTGTAGTATGTGCTGAAGCTGCAGTCTCTATTGATGAACTTTTTTATTTCTGGTTTATCAACTCCAGAACAAGCTGATTTATCCTTGGGTTGCATCTTAATCCATATTAGATGAAGTGAAGATCTTGATTAATGTCTTGTCAATTTCAGGTTGGACCTCTTGCAGCTTATTACAAACTGCCTCTTAACAAAGTTGTCGTGGTATTGTTGATCTCCACTTCGTGACTCGTGTTGACCAACCTCTTTTACTCCATAGTTCATGGGGAACTTGATGTGAATATAGTTGCAGGTATATGATGACATGGACTTGCCTTGTGGAGTGCTTCGACTTCAACCAAAGGGAGGTCATTTTAGCCACAACGGGTATGGATGACAGTAGTCTACTGTTGTACTTAATTATGGGAGAGCTATAGAGATATTGCTTGTTGGCTGTTTATGCTTTTCCTCCCTTCTCTGTCTCGTTGTGTTGTGCTTGATTGTTATCCATTTGCTTTTGCTATAGTTTGAAGAGTGTGATCTATCACTTTCGAGGGAACAGAGAATTTGCTCGGCTCAGAATTGGTTAGTGTGAATATGTTCACTTAATACCTTACATCTTGTGATGCTCTCTAAATTTGTAATGCGTGAATGTCTCTCTATGTCCCAGGAATTGGAAGGCCCCCTGGCCAAATGGACCCAAAGGCTTTCTTGCTACAGAGGTTCAATGCCACAGCTCAAGGGCGAGTAAGTATGCCAGTGAGAAGCAGAATCTTCTCTTCTCTTTTTCGTTATTAGATTCGCCTGGCTTCCAAGAAACTACTCTTGGAGTACAAGGTTTGAGCAATCAGTTGTGGTTTGATTGGATCCTGAATGTCCTTGAAGAATAACAGCATAAAACCATTATTTTTCATTTCCCCCCTAAAACCTTGTGTTGCTTTTGCTTCTGTTTTTGTTCAAAGATCGATGCAGCTTTGCCGGAAGGAGTTGCTGCATTGAAGTCCATCTTATCAAAAGGTTTAACAGAGACTGCAAGATGGTTCAACCAACAACAAAAGTACAAGCACATCAGAGTGCAAACCCTCCCAACATGACAAGCTCCTCCCCTTACAGGACCATTCAAAAGGACATCGCATGTGTTCTTTTTCCTCTGTGTAAAAGGAAAGTTGGTAAACAACAGTGTTATAGCTGTGAATTGGTTTTAGCACTTTCTTTTGCGCCTGTAAATCTGCCTTCATATTTTTCGATCAAACAATCGAAGGGACTCATAAATGTAAGTATGATTGATCAAATAATCATCGTCTAACTTGACGACCAATGTCAAACCTATCCAACGAACTAAATGCTTCAGACTTGAATACGGATGACTTCTACTCGATCCATCCTATCTATGGAGGAGAAAGGAGCTAAATGGGCTTATCGTTGATATTGGCTTGGAAAGACGCCAACCTCACTTCTTCTTCCTTAGGCGCCAAAACCCTCCCGGGCAGAAACAGACAAATACAAGAACCCGAGAATAATAGGACTATCTTCCTGGTTTTGCAGACTCTTAAAACAAGTTGACGAATTGAAACTTAGACTGAACCGAACCTGGTGCTTTGAATTCCTTTGTTTTATCCAATGCTCATACAAGAACCAGACCACCGCCACTACTACCAATGTGTAAGATGGAATGATAAGAGTACCATCTGCATCACTTGATTCATTTGGAACTTTATGGAAATGACAAAATTACATCTCTGATTGCATTTTCATGGTGGCATTAACAAGCAGTCACACTCACTTTCGTCTCTCGGTTACATTCAATCCCCCTTTTGATCCATTGCCATGGATGGAACAAACATTCAATTTCCCCCATTCTGCAACTTTTGATGAACCATAAATAAAAGAGCACTACTGTTTTAAGCGTCTCCTCTCTCTGTCCCTGTCTCTGCTGTTGCTTCTATTATCTCTGTCATGATCATCGCGTTCTCTGCTTCCACTCTTCTCGCGCTGACTCCTTTCGTTCTCTGCCTTGTGACCACCTCTATTATCTCTATCTCTGTCCACCCTGCGGTGCCTTTCACGCTCTCTCTCCACCTCATTCTCTCTCTCCCTCCCTGTAGGTGGTCTCCGACGAGGACTCATACTTCCACTTAGGCTCCTCTGTCGTTTTCTCGATGATGATTCATTGTTGTTGGTACTGCTCTCCCGTCTCTCCCTCCTTTCCAAAGACCCTCTCTCTGCTACAGAATTCCACATTTAGAGATTATTTCCTGTATCAAGTCCAAATATTGCACAAGAAATCCAACTTTGCAGCTACTTAGCGACAAAAGTATGAATACTAGCAGTGAGAAACTAAAACCAATATGAACTCTGCTTATGAACAATTAAACTTACTGTTTTCAGTTGCATCTTCATTCCTACTCAACAGGCCGTATTCAGCTTCGAGCCTCTTCCGTTGGATCGCTACCTTTCTCTCGATTTCCTCTGAACTCTTTATTCCTCTTTCCTCGAGGGATTCACGATATTCTATCAAAGCAACCTCCAAACGCCTCAACTTCTGTCTGCAACATCGGAAAAGATAATACTTTCCGTTAAACAAATGCTATGATCAAATAACCGAACCAATGTAGTGGAAGTCAGAAGAACCATGACAAGTAATAACCTCTGTTCATCATTTATTCCACTGTCGGGTTGTCCTGAAACACTTACATCCATCGCAAACTCCTCATCATCACCCTTGCCTGGATCATCACCAGCAACTTCACTTCCAGAAGATGAGTAACTCAACCCAATCCCCTTAGTAGAATTTCTCTTCTGTTCATCGTCACTTCCATCATCATCATCATCACGAGCCCATTTCGATGCAGTTAAAACATGATCTGTCTTGTCTCTCTTTGTGAAGGGTTTTGATGCAGCAGGTTGAGGAATTACAAGTGTCGAACCCATATGTGTAGAGTCACTTCCAGAGAATCCCCCGGTGGGCTGAGGAGGGTCAATAAATCCAGTTTCTCTGTAAACGCCACTTGTTGTAACCCTACTACCAGAGGTTGAAGACTGACTTTTCTGAGATAACTTCAAGTCATCTTCCAACTCATAACCTCTCTGCTTTTCTGCCTCTTCAAGGCTCAGCAACCGTGCAACCATCATCTCTCTACCACCAACAAGGGATAACCCATTATGTCTGCAACGCCTTTCCAGCTCAGGAAGTGGAAGACTCATCAGCTCCCTTGTTGCTGCTCCTTTCCCCATTGCCAGCGCAGCATCTTGGTTGGCAACCTTGGACCCATCACCGCCAGCTTTATCTGAGCCAGCACTCTTCTTCTTCTCTATTTCTGGAGTATCACCGCATAATGAATGGAAAGAGACCACACCCGAGTTACTGGACCGAAGAAATGTTGCTCGAAGTCCATTAACATATGCATCTGAGAACAGGAACCAATCAGACCATACTTGTAAGACTTTAAGGACTCGCTCCTGTTGAACAAAAGAAACAAACCACGATGAAAAACATATTATATTCAAGGGGTGGACCATGAGAAGTTGAGCATGTCTTAAAACAAACCTTGAGTGCCTCAGCAGTGATCCTTCCAGTTATGCTGCAGTACAAATCATTAAAGCTCTCCATGATATCAGGTAGACTAGCTTCAAACTTGGTCCGGTATGCAGAAGCATTCTTAACAGGAGCACTACTATTGTGAAGGATGTCAGATACAAGCATGAGTCTTGCAACTTTTGTAGGAATAGGAGTTTCCTTGAGGGTCAATGATTCCGTCAGGACCTCCACTATCTGCAGAAAGGAATTTTTCAAGTAAGATACATAGGCTTCCTAACAGTATTCAGATCAGCAAACTGTAAATCCTTCAGAGATAGTTCCTTTTACTATAGCTAATATAGACAACAAACTCAGTCATTTGTGGAGTAGGCAATTCCAACACCTGAAACCTATGCACTAAAACACATTTGAGGTGCATTTCAAACTGTGATGAAATCAGGACCTCTCCAGCAGCATCAGCATTGTCCAAGGCAAAACCCATGGCATCTTTTATCTGACTTCTTTCTAGTGTCAAAGCACGTAGCATATCCTCAAATTCATCCCTCTGTGGGTCAGTAAGAGTTCGTTCTGGATCAAGCCGCTGCACAAATGGATAAATGGTTAAAACTTAATGGCTAGTAATTCACAGACAGTCGAACATTGCTCCGGGAAGAATGCAAGTATATATACCCTGCTTTTTCCTGCAGCATAGGTAGTTCCAGCATCCTTTTCATGCTCTGGACTTTTAACAGTTGGCAGCGGTGGTGGCATCCATCTAGACAGTGAGATATTAAAAAGAAAACATTAAGCATAGGTATAACAGAAGCACCTAAGCAAATCTTGAGAAATAACTGTATAACTGAATTCATAAAAAATTACCTTCCGCTTCCGGTTATCATGATAAAGGGCTCTGTTCTCCACCTTTGAAGAGTATCACCCTGCAGGACAGAAAAATCAATATCCAAACAGATTGGCTAGTAACTCTTTGGACAATGTATATTCTGTTACACTAATAAGTGTGTATAATTATGATAGAAACCGAGGGTGAGAGGGGTGAGGATGGGTCGGTCGGCCGGCTGGGCCGGGTGGGGGAGTGACCATTTTGTTATTTTCCATTATTTTCCTTGAACTTATAAAAAGGGATTCTGTACACTCATAGTGGGATTATGGAATAGAATATCAGAAATCCCTAATCCTATCTCTCTCTCTTGTTCTTCCCCAATTCCCCAAATCCCTAAATCTTCTTCTCTTCAATCCCTAATTCTCATTCTTAATCTCTTTCTCAACATCACGCTTCTATCATTTGGTATCAGAGCCAACATGAGTTCCTCGAGACTCACTGATCCGACCTGGGCTCGTACACGACAGCTGATCGAGTTCACGCTCTCTGAACTCCGGCGAGAGGCGCAGGACCATGGGTGGACAGCAGCAGCGGCGGCCGAGGTGGTCGATCCAGTCGCGGCGGTCGCAGAACCGACGGGGCCGACGCGGCGCACGAGCGCGGCGGAGCGCGAGCTCGCGGCGTCAGTTGGCGGGGGACGCGCGATGGAGGCGGGCGGCGCGCGGCAAGTGGTGGCGGCTGGCGAGCGCCGCGGCGAGTCGGGCGACAGGGGAGGAGGCGCGCGCGCCGAGGCAGCGCCGGTAGGGGGTGCGACGCCAGGCGGGGACGGCGGCAGCGAGCAGGGGCAGAGGATCGGCGACGTCGCTTCTCTCTCTCTACACTCGGCGACCGGGCTGCCTACGCCGGGCACGCTGCGATTCCAGGCTCGAGTGGGAGGGGTGACCGCGCTGACGTTGGTGGATAGCGGCGCCTCGCTCAATTTCATTAGTGCCGAGCTTGCCAAGACTCTATCCATGGCGCCGAGTACAGTGGAGAAGATGGTGGTTCGGGTTGCGAATGGGGCGCCTATGCAGTGTACCACAGTTTATCGGGGGCTTGCTTTGGAGATTCAAGGCTTGCCGGTAACAGCTGATTTCTTTGTGTTACCCATCAGGGGATTTGATATTATCCTGGGCATTCCTTGGTTGCAGAGTTTAGGACCGACTACCACCGATTGGAAGGGCTTGACCATGCGGTTTAAGTGGAGAGATAAGGAGTGGAGCTTACAAGGACTTACCACTGCTTTGGGGCCCATTTCCATCCATGATAGCACCGAGATGGGAGAGGAGGACTTCGCCGTGCTGTGCTGGCCGATGGAGACTGGGGAGACCCAAGAGATGGCCCCTGATCTGCAGCTAGTCCTTGACAGGTTCGCCGTGATCTTCCAGGAACCGACTACTCTCCCGCCACATCGCCAGGTGGATCACGGAATTCAGCTGAAGGATGGGGTGGAAGCTGTTAATGTCCGACCCTACAGGTACGGTCACTCGCAGAAGGAGGAGATTGAGCGTCAGGTTGCTGAGATGCTGACTACCGGGCTGATCAGGCCCAGCACTAGCCCTTTTTCTTCACCGGTGCTTTTGGTCAAGAAAAAGGACGGGACCTGGCGGTTCTGCACTGACTACCGGGCACTCAACGCCGCGACAGTGAAGGACCGTTTCCCGATTCCGACGGTGGATGACATGCTTGATGAGCTGCACGGGTCCTCTTATTTCACTAAGCTCGACCTGAGGGCTGGCTATCACCAGATCCGAATGAGGGAGGAGGATGCACACAAGACAGCCTTCCGGACCCATAACGGCCATTATGAGTACCTGGTAATGCCGTTCGGGTTGTGCAATGCCCCTTCGACCTTCCAGGCAGCTATGAACGACATCTTCCGGCCCTTGCTTCGTCGGTACGTTCTGGTCTTTTTTGATGACATTCTTATTTACAGCCCGACATGGGAGGCCCATTTGCAGCATTTGCAGGCTGTGTTTGAGATTTTGCAGCAGCACCAGTATTACCTCAAGGCTTCAAAATGTGCCTTTGGGGTTCAGAAGGTGGAGTATCTGGGGCACATTGTCACGCCTCAGGGAGTACAGGTGGACCAGAAGAAGATCCAAGCCATGGTGGAGTGGCCGACCCCGACCACTGTCACTGAACTGCGGGGATTCCTGGGCTTGACAGGTTATTACCGGAAGTTTGTACAGAGCTACAGCATGATTGCTCGGCCCTTGACTAATCTGTTGAAGAAAGGCGGGTTCGTTTGGACTGCAGAGGCCGATGCAGCATTCTGCCAGCTGAAGCAGGCCATGACCACGACTCTGGTTATGCCTGACTTCTCTCGCACCTTTGTTATTGAGGCAGACGCATCGGGCCGGGGCATTGGAGCAGTGTTATCGCAGGATAAGCACCCGGTGGCCTTCATGAGTAAGACTTTGGCGCCGTCCAAGGAGGCTTGGTCCACCTACCAGAAGGAGATGCAGGCTATCATTACGGCCGTTCAGATGTGGAGGCCCTACCTTCTGGGACAAAAGTTCCACATTTACACCGATCATCAGAGTCTGAGGAATTTATTGGAGCAGCGAGTTTCCACTCCAGATCAGCACAAGTGGGTCTCCAAGCTCCTGGGGTATGATTATGAGATTCACTACCGCCCCGGACCATCTAATGTCGTGGCGGATGGTCTATCGAGGTGCCCCGGGAGTGAGATTTTGGCGGCAGTTACAGGACCAGTACCTCAGTTTTGGGACGTTCTGCGAGCTCTTATGGAGACGGACGAGTATCTGCAGGGATGCCGTGAGATAGCGGTTAGCGCCGATCCCAGTCACTACTCTTGTCGGCAGGGGTTGGTGTTCTTCCGAGGGCGGGTGGTGATTCCCCGGGGGTCGTCCCTAGTGACGACAGTGTTGCAGGAGTTCCATGACTCTCCGTTTGGAGGGCATTCAGGGGTGGAGAGGACACTGAGGAGGATCCGAGCCCAGTTCTATTGGCCCCAGATGGGCCGGGATGTGAAGGACTATGTTGCATCTTGTGACACCTGTCAGAGAGTAAAGGCATCCCATCTGCGACCGGCGGGTCTCCTGCAGCCGTTACCAGTGCCGGAAAGGGTGTGGGAGGACATCAGTATGGATTTTATTGTCGGGTTGCCACCATCTGGAGGAAAGACCGTCCTGTTCGTCGTCGTGGATCGACTGACGAAGTACGCCCATTTCATGGCCCTGGCACACCCGTATACCGCGCGATCAGTGGCTGAGCAGTTTGTCTTAGGGGTGGTCCGGCATCACGGCTTTCCGAGGTCCATTGTCAGCGACCGAGACTCCGTTTTCTTGAGTCGTTTTTGGCAGGAGGTGTTTACGTTGGCTCGGACCCAGTTGCGGATGAGTTCGGCATATCACCCCCAGACTGATGGCCAGACGGAGGTGGTTAACCGCTATTTGGAGCAGTATTTGCGTTGTTTCACCCATCAGCAGCCTCGGCGGTGGCTAGCATATTTACCATGGGCCGAGCTATGGTATAACTCCACGTACCATAGGGCCATCCAGATGACACCGTTTGAGGCTTTGTATGGGCGTCCCCCACCTTCTCTGGTACGTTATCAGGCGGGTTCCAGCCCAGTGGATGCAGTGGATCGGTGGTTAGGAGAGCGGGATGAGGCTTTGGATCAGCTCAAGGCTAATCTGGCGGCTGCCAATAACAAGATGAAACAACTGGCTGATGTAGGGCGACGAGAGGAGGAGTTCGAGGTGGGTGACTGGGTTCTGCTCCGTCTGCATCCCTACAGGCAGGCTTCTGTATTCCGACGGGCATATCAGAAGTTGGCGGCACGGTACTTTGGCCCGTATGAGGTGTTGCAGAAGGTTAATCCGGTGGCCTATCGTCTTCAGCTACCAGCCGATTCGCGCATTCACTCTACCTTTCATGTGTCCCTCTTGAAGAGGTACCGCGGCGCGGCTGATCGAGTGGAGACAACTGCACCTCCGGTGTCGGCAGACGGTGATCTCGAGCTGGTTCCATTGCAGGTGATAGACACCAGGTGGGTCAAGAAGGGCGGGCGCGTGATCGAGGAAAGCCTGGTCCTGTGGCAGCACATGGAGCGGGAGGACGCCACTTGGGAGGAGACTGCTACCCTTCGGCAGCGGTTCCCGACATTCGACCTTGAGGACAAGGTCGCTTCTGATGGGGAAGGGGATGATAGAAACCGAGGGTGAGAGGGGTGAGGATGGGTCGGTCGGCCGGCTGGGCCGGGTGGGGGAGTGACCATTTTGTTATTTTCCATTATTTTCCTTGAACTTATAAAAAGGGATTCTGTACACTCATTGTGGGATTATGGAATAGAATATCAGAAATCCCTAATCCTATCTCTCTCTTGTTCTTCCCCAATTCCCCAAATCCCTAAATCTTCTTCTCTTCAATCCCTAATTCTCATTCTTAATCTCTTTCTCAACATCACGCTTCTATCAAATTATCACAGTGAGACCTGCTTTTAATAGTCAATCTCATTGTAATGTGACATCTCCAGAAGTTCGTAAGACCAAGTACCTGTGCAAAGGAATACAGCCGCCAGACATAGTATGTGTGCTCCTTAGAGCCAAGCTCGAAGAGGAAGTTGAATAGGGAATTCCCACGGCCCCTCTCCATGATAGCTTGTTCAAAAGCACATCCTCCATCTAGCACATATAGAGCCATTGTATCGATCACATGGCGTAGGTGATCATCATCAGGTGGAACAACTGTTATATCAGGAACATTTGGAGTAAGAACCTGCACAAAAGAATGAAATTATCAAATAAAATCTTCGTAAGTTGAAAGTGGCTTATCAAATGAAAGAGATATTCGACATTTCAACCAAATACACAAAGTCACATATTAAATAGAACAACCAAACCAGCATCATCAAGATGGTGGCTTCCAATGTAAAAGCACCATGTACCCAAACAAGAACCATACAACATGATAGGAAGATCAAACGACCCCAGATTTATATCTTGTTCTGATTTGGTTAAAATGCCAGCACGACAAAGTAGCATAAAGCAAACTTCATTAAACTTACTAGTTCAGAGTTCTGATTTGGACCGGAGGAAACAGGTGCACCAGATGGACCAGATGGACCAGAGAGAATAACAGTGGCGCCCTGCAAGACAGAAAGTGCGCATCAAGGATCAAATCATACTAAGAAAAAAAAGTACACCAATTAACGAAGACACCTACCCCTACCTAAATGACGAAAAGCCAAGAGAGATCTTTTAGAAGGAATGAAAAATATATAGACCACCATTTACAAGAGGTAATAAATGCTTTGAAACCACAATCGCACATACATTGCCAGACATCATACAGAAAAATATGTACATGATTCTCACACATATTCAGAATGCCTCATTTGATTATTAAGAATAGGATGTAGCATATCTCCTAAACAAGAAAGAAGACCAGACCTCCTTGCTCCTGATGGCCATGTGACCTGGAGGAGGAGCAGGCAGAGCCTGAGAAGGAAGAGCCACAGATTTACCCCATCCAATTTTCAACTCGTACTCGTAAACAACAACTCCTGCACATAGAAACAATTCCATGAGAAGATTGATATAATATAGAGTGCACCATAAGTCGATCTTGATATCAGTAAGTGAACAAACCAGATTCACTAGAAAATAAATCACTGGTACTTGAATATCGCATCACAGATCATGAATCTGGATGAACATATTGAGTGCATACTACCTTCATTCTAACTCTTGTACAATGAAATGGACGGGCCAGTTATGTGACAAGGTGCAATTATATCCACATATGTAAGACACAAGCAGTATGGAACTTGATAAACAACTGATAGGGCTTAATATAAAACAAATCAACTAGTGTCTACAGATCAAGAATCTTTCCTCACTGAAGAGTGATCATTTCTCAGGACCACTTATTCTAGACAGATAAATGCTCAACAGTTGAGATAAGACCTACGTCTGTACATACATGAAAGAACTAGGCTCTCGAGGTTTGAAGCATTTGCTAGATGAATACCATACCCAAAATCCATGATTTCAGCCAATGAAATACTATTGCAATGAACCAGCGCAATATGTAGACAAAATAGGCATACAAAACATACAACAGGTGACTTGAGAAATGCTTTATTTCCATCCATCTTGAGAGATATATGGAGAAGCCTCCAGAGTATATTTAACTCTCAGCCCAAGGTCCCAGAATGCATATGCCATAGATACCATGGAATATATCAGCAACAACAGTAAACGTTGACCTTAAAACCTTGTGAAGAAGAATTGAAGTTCAGAGCTTAACCTTGCATTTCATCTTTCGCTGCTTGCGCATCAGCTCTGTACATGAATGCTACAAATCCACAATTTCTTTGTCGCCTACGCTCCTCATCAGTTCTAGGCCACATTATCTTTACACTAGCAATAGGCCCGAATCTTCCAAAAGTGCGCAATAGAAAATTCTCATCAACCTAGATTAATGAAAGCGACAGATATTAGTAACTCTGTTGTCAATCAACCATGTAAGCTGATAATAACACCAGAAGCAATTCAGTAAAGATTCACCTGAGGCGCAAGATTCCCCACATAAAGATTGGTTGTCTGTGGATCACCATCATCAAATGATCCTGGAAGCCTTCCACTTGGATCAAAGTCATCAGGCAGCTCATCGAACCGCGTACTAGATGACTGAAACATAGCTATATTATACTTTGCAGATATTTCTGAGAGCTATAGAAGATGCAAGGAGCAAGGATATGGTTTTCTCCTACTGGAAAAAAACAAGTAAAAAGGAAATACTTACTAGAGAAGTATCACTAGGACGTCCATCACGCCAACGCTCGCGTTCTTGATTCCTTTTCTCCCTCAATTCATGTTCATGCTTCAGCTCTTCCATGAAATGATCAATATTTCTGGTCTTCCCTTTTTCCCTGTCCTTTGACCTCTCCTCCTCCCTCTGTAACATATATTAAACATTTAGAGCCATGTAGACAAAGAAGGAATCAACATAAAAATTAGCATTTTCAGATACAGACCTTCTTATCAGATTCCTTTCCCTTGGATGCCATGGGAGGTGGTAAAAAGGATGGGACATACCTGCAGAGGTGATATGAAGGATAAACTTCCATGCCATAGGACAAGTACGAACTTGCCAGGGTAGACTTAGTACACGTCAGTATCTTACAAATGCTTTGATCATGCTGAACTTTATGTTGAGTGTTGGTTTTCGACAGACAAATAAATCCTTGAAGATACACAGGTGAAATTTTCTAGTGTGCATAGCATTCACTCAACTACCATAGTGAGCCCTGCTGGGATTGATACAACTAAGGACAAATGGATTGTCACAATCACGTACAAAAAAAGACAACTTGTCTTCTCTTAGTCGACGCATTGATTACATTATACAAATCAACCAAACCTAGGCGACCAGAATAACTGAGTGCAAAGATGTAGAAGACGGCAATTCTTGGTTTATAAATTCTAAAGACTCTAGCTACGTGGATGATTCCATCACTGCACAGAGCTCTACCATAATGCCTTTAAAGTAGCACCTCAACATGGTTGATCAATCAAAAGCATCAATTTACCTACTTCCCTTCTTTGGAACAGATACCCCATCTTTGGACTTTTCACCTGCCATCCGGGAATGAATAAAAAAGGCCCATACTTTTATTAATGTGATCCCATCAAAGAAGAAAAACATTCCATGCATCCAAATTGTCAGATGGGCATAGACAGGACATAACAATGGAAATAAACTTCTACGAAGGATAGAGATCTATTACAGACTAACCTTCAGATTCATCCTTCACTTTGTCATTGGGATTGATCAGTCCACCCCTGACAAAAGTCTTCGAGCCAGGAGCTGTATCCCCTTGGAAAGACTCCACAAACTCGGCATATAATCGAGCAGTTTCATCCTCAGCCCTCTGTGCAAAGTAACAAGAGATAGAGAATACGACAACTCTTCATGAATATAGCTTGAATTTCTCCCTAAACAGAAAGCAAGCCTCCCCAAGCTTAAACGCGACAACGAACACTTACCTTTTTCTTTGCCTCCTCTTCCTCTCTATGTTTCTGGAAGGGGGTCTTCTTGCGAGTAATGGAGAAGGAACTCATCTTTCATCAACTTTCTAATCAGACAATTTCAAAGAACTCATCAAAATCAAATATTCCAAAATCCACAGACACTCTCAAAACAGGCAAAAGATACACACTAAACATATACATAAATTACCAGGACAATAACAGCCAGAATCAACCAATCCTAACTCAACTGAATCTAATTAGCCAACTGGTATATCCTATTCCTATACTGTGCATAGACAGTTGTAGCAATCATGGGCTTAAGCCTTTCAACGAGAGACCTTGGCCACTTCAAAAGATGATCAAGGAATCATTTGCACCTAGAGAAGAATATAATCAAAAGGATAGAAATTGGGTCGTGAGACTTGCTCTTCCTTCTTGGAAAGAAACAATTTTTAAAGCAACTTGTCTCTGAATCAATTCTCCTCCTCTTTCTTCCCCAGGAGTTCAGTCAGAGGCTAAGCAAAAGTCTATCTCTTCAGAAGGTTACACAGACGCTTCATATAAACCCTTACGCTGCCAAGTCGGTACTTACCGCAGACTTTCCAACAGCAACAAAAAAGCAGAAGCAAAGAAACAACAAGTGGGAAGGCAGACACTAAAATGCGATCAATAGTTAAAAGAACCCGAATGGCAAGCAAACCAGAGCAGATCTAAATTGCATAAAGAAAACCAATGAATCAACATCAAATGCAACACACAGAATCAAACCTAAACTTAGGATACAAAACCAAAGGGTTTGTAATGAAAGGAGTCGAGTGAACAGAAGAAGAAAAAAATTGGACCTTTGGACGGGAGAAATTACAGAAGAATTCGTCCCCCTTTGCCTGCAAACGCAAACGAGCAGCAGAACTCGAGGGGCGGTAGAAACCAGTGAAGACCGTGCGGCAGCTGAGGAAACGAGGAGCTGCCGAGGAATTTTTGAATGAACCACCCGCACCCGCAGCGAGAAATTAGAAGAAGTAGTGCGAGACGATTAACGCGGCCGGTGAACTCGGATGTGGCCGCCGGCGACCGTGAAGAGGAATAGGAAGGAGTTGGAGAAGAGGATACAGGCAGGCCCCCGGACTGGTGGGGCGAATTTCGGGTTTTGCTTAGTATCTCTCGTATGGCGGCCGTCGACACTCGCTAATCAATCCAGGTCGGGGCTTTTCCTTTTTTCTAATCGAAGGGGCTTTTCTCTTTCTATTTTTATTTTTGGTGAACAATGGGCTTTTCTTTTTTTAATGAATCCGTGGCAGATTTTCATTTTCAGTATTTTCCACTGTCGAACTCAATTTGTCACTATATATTTCCAGCAAGTTGTGCATAAGCATAAACATCAAAACAGGACTTGTCATGTCACCATACAGACAACCTTACTTTTCAACGGCTAAATGTAAGAGCGAATGATATAGCTCGATCGTAGCTCCTCGTACGTTAAAGAGGATCGCATCCACGAATTTTATTAGGTGATATAATTCAAGCAACCAAGTGGGTATGACACTATTGGTATGCCTCTCATCGTGCTCGCCCCTCGCTCCTCGCAGCATCACGAAAGAGGGAACGGACAACTACATCAGAACTAACCCACAAGCGCACCTCTACAGTAGCATCATCACAAGTACAACCACAACAGCATAATCTGCAGAGGAGAACTGCCAAATTCGTCTAAATCAAATTCTATATGCACAATGAGAGGTCACAGCCAGGGTATTACAGTCGGGCAAGCATTGGTAGAATAGAGTTCTCAAACTCTAAACACGCAACTTTTTGAGTTTGTGGCAAAGTGCAGAAAAGTATACACTCAATGTGCACTCTGAAAACTCAGTTACTGAATGGGACCGCTATAGCAGATTACATAAAAATAATATCACCAGTAGACAAGATGCAGCAGAGTATTGTCAGCAATCAATGTGCCAACTTCTTGAGGTGTTGAAATGTCTTCTGTTTGATCCACTGCCTGTCATATGGCAGATAAGCCTGAATTGTGTGATCATAGCTGCGACAAAAGAAATCGAAAACACTCCAATCAGAATCAGGCAATCACGAGGGGTGCACACAACTTAAGATGTTTAACGCAGAAACACCACGTTTAGCTTAGGGAAATATCTCAGAGTGAGCAGTCCAGAGTGGCTTATAAATTCAGGGAATATGATGTGCATAAAACTGTGGAAGCATAATTATTAGCTTCCTGGTGTTCAAGCAAAGAGCATGATAACCTCGATGACGGATTTCAGGTGGAAGCATCGCATACTCTGGTTCATGTGATTCACAAAGAAACAAAACCTTTAAAGTTTCTTCTTATATCAACCAACAACGGGAAAGAAACAAGAAAAGATGTCATTTGGATGTGTTTAAACTAGCCTTGACTACTGAAGATTGACATGAGATGTACTTGTATACCACGTTCGAATCAGAACAGGAAACTGTGCACACGCAAACACTAACAGGGTAAGACAAAAGGAGACAAGAGAAGAAGAAAGTACACTAATGCGCTCAAGTCTGCAAGGCCATCAATAAAATTGTAGAGATCCGCAATGTCATAGCTGAGGTTTCTCAATGCTGGATTGATTTCCTTAAGCTTTCTCTCATATAGTCCACAAATGCCTGCAATTCCAAAAAAGGGACCAACAATGAGATAAGTAATGCCTATTCCACTGATACGGAACAGTAACACGTATATCTGACTCCACCATAACAGATGAAAATGGTAATACGAGCCACCGAGAAGGGCTTAGGTACAAGTCACTAGGAAAAAAGGGTCAGGATTAGGAAGTATCGTGTGTACAGCACTGCTCGTAAAGGTACTTGTGGAACAGAACTCATCAGTTTCCATTAACAGCAATAACAATTGGACCAATTTAGTGCAGAAGAAAATCAACTAACATGGAGAAACCAAATAGAAAGGAAAGCAAGCAGTATACCTTCCATGGCCTGAGATATAGACCCGAAATCCATGAAAGTTCTGGTTGCTCTATTGGGGGAAGCCTGCATCAGTATTATGGTGTGCCTATTCGCCTGCATTAAAGAAAATTTGAAGTGCAAAATGTCAAGAGAAGAACCATGCAATCAATCCAAAGCAAAATGGTAATTGAATCAACATCAGAGCCCCATGCTACGAACCAGAGAGACTCGTCAATCTAAATCCTCATTAAGAAAAACCAAAAGCTAAACTTTTCCAGAAAAAAAAAAGGGGGAAATAAAAACAGTGATGAAGCTATCCCAAAAATGGGGTCTTGGGAACTCCGGCCACTAAGCATACGAACGTTTATCCAACATAGGAAATCGGGATTCCAGTTGATGAACCGAGCAAAAATCGGCGAGGGATGACATAGGGGAAGCGAAACCCTAGCCTTTTCCCGCGATTTCAGAGGAGGACGGGGTGAATCTAACGTTGATGAATTGACAGGGAACTGCAAATGAGAAGATGAGTGGAGAAATGACAAAATGATAAGGTACCATGGGGAACGCGAAGTCGAGGTTTTTCCCGGCGGAATGTGTTAGCGGCGGCGGGGGTCGAACTTGAATAGCCGGAGGGCTTCAATGGAGGATCGTCGTAGCGTAGCTTCCGGTCGTTGTGTTTACTGCTGCTTCTCGAGAGTTTGCCAAAGCAGCGCTTCCATTATCCCGACCGGTTTTCGGGTTGGTCTAATTTGTCAGGTTCATTGGTTTAATTGGGTTGGTCCGGTTCAAACTACATTGGTTTCGTTATCTAACGCTTCATTTGTTTGTCGAGTCATGAGTGTGATGATATTAGCTGAAGATCATTGTTAAAATCATATGGCCCTAAAGTTAGCATTACAAACGACGATAATGCTTTGCATACCTCCAAAATTCGATATGTACAATCGAAACGAGACCTAGTATCGCATACAACCTTATTAAGCAACTTCTGAAACACAGTCTCGTCGTTGCTAATGCGAGTACAAAAACCTAGCGATATGGATACAGAGTATATACACAAACTTCATGTTTTGATTGGTGATAAGAAACAGGAGTGCACCAATACTACAGTAACAGTCGCGAGTGAGAAATTGAAAGAACAAGAGAAGGGAACTAAGGAACTATATCATTATGCAGAAGGTGTCCGATGCTGCTGCAGGAAGGACGCGGTGCAATATCAGATGTAATCAAAGCCGTGGCCAGGCTGCTCAATGTCTGGATCAACGCCCCTTCCCCTTCCAGGCCTCGCTGGATCTCTGCATCATTATACACCAATGTCAATTCCCTTTTCTCAATGTGAAAAGCTTCGGTACAGTAGCATTCTCGCAGAAACACAAGACCAAGGGTACTAGCTAGTAGCTACCAAGCAAATACACCAGACATCCCACCATCATCAGGCACCAATGCAGATCCCTTTGTCTCAATGAGACAAGCTTCCGTACAAATTTCTCGCATTCTATATTTGCTGGACTGTAGGCCGGGTGTGGGAGGCTAAATAACGAAGTTACTGCTCAGTTGCAAATGGCAGGCAGACTTGTATGTTTTATCATCACAGAACTCATCTCCCATCTTTTGGAAAATAACATGACACAGGAGTTCTAGATTTGTTAATGATGCGGACATTTGAAGAGTACATGCAGCATGGGTTTTCACACCTCAACCCAGTGGAAGGACTTAACCAGAGACTAATTTTCACGGTATTATGATAAAGCCATGACCTACTACTTAACAGCAGCACAATTTCAATGGAAAGGAACATAACAAGTCTACAAAGCTCAGAGAGAGAGAGAGAGAGAGAGAGAGAGAGCAAGATAGAGACACACACCTAAACCGGTTAGGTTCGAAACCTGGAATTCCGGGTGGGCCATAAGGATCAAAACGGGCACCAGGAGGAACACCTCTGCAGATACATTAGTAAATCATCAGTTCCGTGAAAAAGGGTTGTATCATGGGGGAAAAGAGGTGAAATGGAAAGGGGTTGTGTGTGAAAGATCTCACGGTTGTGCTCCAGGGAAACCAAGCCCTCCATTATCCCCGCCAAACCATCTAGGGTCATTAGGCCCTAGAAGCATGCCACCATCACCACCAAAACCACCCCTTTTCACAATAGAAAAAACAGAGGTCAGGCTTCAACCAAAGTATCTAAACCTATAGGCACCCATAGACATCATTAAAATCAACCATGTTTATACCTTCTAGGGTACATTCCAGCACCAGCCCCAGGAACAAGATCATCCATGCCAAAGGGAGGAACAGGAGGGACTATAACTCTGCAGAGAAAAAGGCAAGGTGTTAGCCTATTTCCCATACTTAGGAACTGAATTACAGTCCTTCTGTAGCAAGGTGCTCAAGCCAATTCAAGTTGAAGAGGAAAGGTTCAACTCATCAACTCCACCACCATAAAAGCTAAAACAAAAACCCACCAGATTCCACAAATTAATTTAACTGAGAGCTAAAGAGCATGTCTAGAAAAGAAATATACCCAGAAGGATGAGGGCTAGGGTTGTGCGATGGATTGCGTGGTTCATTCCCAGCATGCCTTGATGTATCACTTGCTTGACTGCAAAGATGTTCCATCACAGCACGAAGAGCAACCAAAGTAGAATAATAAGCAGATTAGAGGACATACTCCAACATTTTTTAGCATACCATCAAGCAGAAACTCTAAAGACCCTTGATAAATAAAGTAAGAATCAAGTTCAAACTGGCTCAACAGGTAGATGGAGGAAACTCGCATCCAAGGCACCATTCAGTTAAATAAACCCAAAGACAGAAACAAGCAAAAGAAAAGAGAAATCATCTTGACATTCCCTTTCGGTTCCCAAAATCCAATCTCTAAAGAAGCAGTTCCATTCACAAAACCGTAATGCACACAGCTACTCTACAACATTGATAAAAAGTACCTTCGTGATTCACTTGACGAGCCAGAATGGGAAGAGCCACCCAATTTAGACAAGACCTCGGTGTTGATACTGGAAATCAGCTTATCTAACTTCTTGAACTGCTCAGAGTAATTCGAGGCCCCATTCTCGCCAACATAGTTGTTAACACTAAGAACAATCACCAACACAATCTAAATAAACTAGCTTAATTCGAAGGGAAGAGAACAAACAAACACATATCAAACGAAGACCAAACCTAATTTCCATATGAACAGGGTCTGCCCCGGAATTGGAACCCGCATCAACAAGCAAAGCACTAACCACCAGCTGGTCGTTCATCGCCAAACATTTAACCAGAACCCTCTTCCCTAAATTCTCAGGGTTCACATACACGAACCCATACTCGCCATCAACCTCGTTCCAGTTATCAATCCCAACCTCGTCTACAACCCACACACACACACACACACACACAATACCATTCAATTGCAATTCACGGACCAAAACCTAAGGGGGATAGCAACAGTGCAAATTCAAGGTGGGGAAAACCCTAATAAGTACCTGAGGAGGTAGAAGAGAGAGCGGATTCCGACAAGGCGGGAATCCCCGTCGCGGTGAGCAAGTAACCAGCGGCGTGGAAGGAAGCGTGAACAACGAATGCGATCTTGTCCTGATTATTCCTAAACGTCGGCCTCGCTGCCCTGATCACTCCCACCACAGACTTTTCGGTAGCCATGCTTATTCTTTGCTGTAATGGATCGTCGGTTCTGCTTCCGGTGTGGAACTTCGGGAGAGCGGTGAGAGACGAGTGTTCGAACTTCGAAGACCTTCGAGCGAATGCAAAGAAGAAGAGTATTTGGGTTTCTTTGCAAACAAGTCAGACAACTTGGTAATTATAGCCTTTATAGGTCGGTCCGGTTAAAACTTAAAACTAAACACGTACTTTTTCTAACGGAGTGATTTTATTCGAGAGTTGATACACAGCATGGCCCCTAAACTATCACTTGTTTTCTATTAAGCCCTTAAACTATATTGTTTCCTACTGAAGTCCCTTAGGTTTCTTATTTTTTTCACTTGAGCCCGTGTCGTTACTCGCTGTTAAACAAACTTAAATGCAATCTAAATAGACAAAAGTACCCTTACTAGATTGGGAAAATGTATAGCCTAATTTTAATTTACTCGATCGGTGGCCACAAGAAACAACTCCGTTTTAACTACCTTATCATAGTCAAAATCATCAGCGACTACTCTCATCTTGTCGTCGTCGTCCAACTAATGTTGTTTTTCACTCTCAGTTCTGAACTTGGAGACAAGCCATACCATTCTAAACCGTTCTTTATTCCCTCTAAATGTCGCCCTTCCTATATCCTGCATATTGTCGCCGTTCATTGCTTCGTTTGGACACAGTAAAAAGAACTTCCTCGACTGTGCTCAAAAGGGGCCACATTGTATATTGACTCTATTACTGAAGTACTAATAAGTAATAAGACCATAAAAGAAACTTTGCTCCAGTGAAAAGTGTTAGAATGCCAAATCCCTCTTTTGCACTTTTTATTATAATCTAGATTTCATTATATTAATTAGATAATTTGTTTATTATATTTATATATGTAGTATTAATTAATACGAATATTTCGATGTAATTTTTTTAAACTTATATATAAAAATTTGCTAATTATGACGTCATCAATGTCGAAAATACAATAATTGGTTGAGATATCCATAAATTCTTTACGTGTTTGACAGCATGAATTGTGTCAACATATGCTCATCTAACTTTGAATATAATGGTTTAATAAAAACCTTGAATAATATGAGTTATGTCATCAACTATTCATCCAATTTTGATTAGAATGAGTTGTATCATCCACTGTTCATCCAACTTTTGATCATATCATTGCAAAAGAAATCTTTTAAACATTTATATAAATGAACCCTCAAACTTGGTCATTGTGCTCATCCACCGTGAACTTCTTTTATCAAAACATCACCCCAGACCAAGACACGTGCCTTCGACAAAACATCATCAGTGTTCTGATAGACAACTCTGATAGGCTCAACATATACGATGGGAATGAAGGAGAACGACGACAATTCATCAAGAAACCAATGCTTCTACTCCATCAATAAATTAATTCACCCTAAAATTGCTATTCTTAAAAACCTCGAAGAGCAATCTTCAAAGCGGGTAAGGCAAGACTCGTTTGAACATAAACTTGACAAAAGAATTTCGTTCAGGATATTGGTCTAGGTAGATGAAACACGACTCGAAACTTCACTCTTTGCACAAGCTCATCTATCTATGCCAGTTGCTTCATAGTAACAATAGCTCTTTTGTGTTTTCTAAGACTAATGATAGTGATACCACTTTGGTGAGCTTGTGTTTTGATTGCAGGTTAAGAACTCGCAGAACAGAGCAACCTGAGCTTGCTGCTGCTAGGGTTCGGTTCATCCCAGGATTGTTGGCGTTGCAGCCCGTTAATGGCTTCTGGATTTACTTAAACACACCCAACTCTCCCTTTTTGGAATGTTACCTTCTGCAATTAACAAAAGTACCGTCCTTTCAAACTACAAAAATCATCGAAGTGTACAGAGGTCTGAGAGTACACAGAGCACTATTACTAACACCGAAAGGCTTAAGACATGTATATACGTGATGTCTGTATGCAGACATGTACAAACAAATGTGTTACCAAGTATACATGATCGATCCGTTCAATGTGATTTGGGGAGGCTGGGTATTTACGCGGCGAGCAGCTTCTGGATATCCTTCTGCAGCAAACACAGAGGAACATGACTTGAGAACTAAGATTAGTGGACAAAGAACTAATCTTTCAGTAAACGAATAGCATCTACAATAGCTCGTACTGTTTACTCATATATCTCATCAACACAAGATAAGAACGAAGCAAGTTGTCTGTGGAACCGAACGTCTTTCAGAAATGGAGGAAAAAAGGGAAGATGACAGGTACCTCGATCTGGAAAGGCGATGTTGTTGGCGGGTAACGTTCAACAACCTTCCCGTCCTTGTCCACCAAGAACTTCTCAAAGTTCCATTTGATCAAATCGCCTAAGAAGCCCCCAGCACTAGACTTGAGAAACTTGTACACGGGGGCTGTGCTCGGTCCATTTACGTCAACCTGCATCCCATCACCGAAAACTATTTAAATTCAAGCTCTGCCCAAATGGTTCCAGATGAAAGGAAGGATTGGAATCTGCCTGGAAATACCTTATCGAATATTGGGAATTCAGCTTTGAAACGAGTACAAGCGAATTGCTTGATCTCAGGATTCGATCCTGGTTCTTGGCCTCCAAACTGGTTGCAAGGGAAGGCTAGGATTTCAAGTCCTACATACAAACACAAACCGTGTTTTTCTTTCTTAATACCATACTTAATACTGATACCACGCCAACTATAAAATAAGACTCTTAAAATGTAAGAACCAGTAGTGGGCAATCACCGACTACTTCCACAATATGAACAAACAACAACTAGTAGATAATAACAGCAAAGTAAGGTGCATTTGGCCGATGAGATTTCTTTTTATTTTTCTTCTTCGTTTCTTCTTATTTGTTCGTTTTAGAAAGTTGTTGGTATAGGGCTTACCTTGTGCCTTGTACTTCTCATAAATGTGCGACAATTCCGAATAGTTCGAAGATGTCAAACCGCTGCAAATTAAGAAAGCAAAATAAGCATTACCCCTGTAAAGAAAGATCTTTGGATATCAATTCTCAGGATTAAGTATGGATTGGTTACAGTCAAGACAGCCCTACCATCTCGAAGCAACATTGACAATTAGCAGAACTTTGCCCTTGAATTTGCTTAGAGACACATCGTTACCATCAATGTCCTGCAGAAAACAAGAGGGAACTAATCATCGGTTCCTTTTACATCTAACCCCTGAAGTTTAGGTTCTACCAACAATCATTTCCCCACCTCAAGTGTTGGAAGAAGAACCACCTAAAAATTTTAACCTTTAGGCTCAAACAAAAGCATCTCCCTTTCAAACATTTCAAACAGCAGCAATAGCAGAAACTGGTTACACTCCCTTTTTCAATTTCCCCAAATGCTGCTCACAGAAACCCTAATTCAAACTAAGGCAACCTTAAATTAAGCTCCACGGACCCATGAAATGGGAGAGGAAAGGGACAAAGTAGGTCAATTCAGAACTCACAAACTTCATTGGAGGAAAAAAACGGATAAGGTATTTGGATGCTTGCAGCTTATCAGTTTCCCTGGAAGGAAGAAGAGAGAAAAACGTACCTTGACAGTGAAGTCATGAATAGATTTCTCAGTGGCAGCTGTGGCGAAAACGCCAAAAGAACGAGTCTTCGGAGCAACCCCGACTAGTTTCTGAGATTGCAAAGAGAACCCATGTTGCAGAAACCCTGATCTGGAAGAGGCGAGGGGGGATAACCTGAATGATGCGAGGGAAACGCCCAGCGACTGCAAGGTAGGAGAATAAGACCTTGCCTTTTCAGCGATACTCTGCAATGGCGAGGAAGAGAAAGTTGCGGCGAACGGCATCGAAGCAGAAGCCATGTCAGTAGTGTCTCGCAGTCTGAAGGGGAATCACGGTAGGAACTCTGTTTTTTCCTTCTTTTTTGTTTCCTCTGTTCTGCGTCAAATGTGGAAACGTGGATACGTTCTTGATTCTTCTTCCCTTGTTTATATAATTGTGTGTCGGTTTATGTTTTGTTTTTGTTTGGAGTAGCTCGAGAGAACGGGGAGTGGAGGAATGGGACGACAAGTGGCCTCTTTCTTCGATTGGATTGGAATGAATCAACATGATCCATGTCACCATGTGCATTTGCAAGAAGAAGTAAAAGCAAACATTTCCATGTTCTCTTGATGGGGGTGTGTAAACTTATGTTGGAGGTTGCACATGTGAAATGAGTAATTGTGGATGTGGAAAAGGTAAGATATGGAAAATCAATGAATCATTTAAATCAGCTATGAAGAACCAATTTGAGTAACATTAAGAGTACTTAATCCTTTAGGTTCGACCTTTTGATAATTCAAGATGATCGATGTGAATCACTAAATGTAATTTATTTTCAAGTTAATCTAATTGAACTTCAACTTCTTACAACTCCGATAATATGTATGATGGTGCCCACATTCCAAATCTACAATTAATGACACATATGGTTAATAAATTCGTTAATCTAAACATCACAACACTTGCAAGTCTTTTAACTTACTGCATAGTCTCCACTCTCCAATAAATAGCACATGTACATGTCTTTGCTACAAGGAGTAAGAGCAAATGTGTAGCAGATTCTCACATACCCACAATTGACACGATGCCAGATGGCATTGGTGTCGCCGAGATGCCAATAGCTCGCGAACTATTCGGAGGCATTCCTTGGGAACTTGGTTGCATTTGGGAGTGTCGATTTCAAGATCGTGAAGGAAGCTTTGATGTAGGTTTTCGGGCAACCCATCTTTGACTATGTCATGCAGACTATAAATGCTAGCCCAACATAGCAAAAAGTCTTGTTGTGTTAAAGTGTTGGTGTTCATGCGAAAGTTCGCTCTCGTAGTTACAATTCCTGTCAAAGTGATCATATCTCTGACTGTGAGAACATGAAAATCCATATTTGTAGCATCCATTTCTTCTCCCAAAACTTTGTAATTTTTTCCCTCTCCTTTCATCTCAATTGAGTTTGTAAACAATTGCGCAGAATACTTCTTTGGAAGGAAAAATTATTGCGTAGAAGACCTATGAAATGTCTCCTTGAGAGAGAAAGAAGGGGGCTGGTCGAATTGGGAGTTTAGTAAATCTGGAGATTCTTTTTATTAGTCATTTGTCTCTTAATCGTTAATAGTGATATGATATTGGCAGAGCTCTGGACAATTAATCTATGGGAGTATGTTCTTTAAAGAGATTGTTTACGAAATCATTTGGCCCTAAACTTGACATCTTTATGTATTTTGTCTTTCGTTTATAGTTATCTGCCCCCTAAACAAACCAATCCAATTATCAAGTTGGACACTAACTTAACATTGTTTACAAAATTGAATATGATATGACAAAGAACATTATCCTATGGCCCTAAAGTTGGCATCTTTACGTATTTTGTGCTTTCATTTTACATTCAACCATCGAACATGACGACGACATTATTCATAATTGAGATGCTTTGTACATAAGTCGACATCATAAGCCTCCCACCAAACTGGCACTTTCTTGCGCTGGCCGGCCGAGTCGACACGCGCAGAAGAAGCCACACCGATTCCCCAAACTCGGCCTATTCAGTCTTCGCCCTCTTTCATTTCATCAGCAAATGCCTCCAAAAAGTCCAAACTGAACGCCCACTTTACATTCTGAATACAAAGACAAAGATCGATCAAGTATTCAAGTTGTATCCACCAACGCCCACAGTTTCTTTTTTCATTACCAAGAATCGTCAACAACAACAAAACAGTTATCCACTTGCTTAACCCTTTTTCTCTCTCGATCGACTCGGATAAACAACTGCGGGAAACAACAGTCGATTCTGGAGATCATATCATTCATTATTTCATTCCCCCTTATCTTTTCCTTCTAACTTTCCATCCTTTTCTACTTTTTAAATCAAGTGAGAAAGAGAAAGAATACTCAAGTCTATTTGTCTTCCATCAGGTGTAGAACCCTTTTTCTTATTTAAGAATTCATTCCCACCAGTCGCTCTGTAGTCGTCTTCTTTCCTTTCTCTTCCCTTTCCCTCCGTCGCTCCCTTTTCTTCGTTCTTTCTCTTTCCCTCGTGAAATTTCGTGGGCGGTTTTGTCACTGTCTAAACGTATCTGATCCCGCTGGCTACGAGATTTCGTCTCCACTGATTGATTGGCATCCACTTGCTGTAGGGGTTCTGATTTCTTCTCTACTTCGCTCGTCTAAGTAGGGCAGGTGAGTGTTTGCTGTTGCCCCTCGTTTCTGTTCTATGATTAATTTACTTTCGAATTTAGCATCTGGGTTTTCGCTGTGTTTGTGCTTAGTTGTGATCTTGAATGGAAGTTTTTGACTCTGAACAGTTGGTACTTGGTAGGGCTGAAAGTTGTTGCCTTTATTAGGTAGGTTTCCCTTTTCTGAAAGGGTTGGACTGAATAACGTTGTTTTCAGCATCTGGGTACTGCTATTTCATCTGTGTTTTTGGTATCTGATCTGAATCTCGTGCCACTCAGTTGGTTTTTTGTTTGTTTGAGAACCAGTTGCTGTTGCTCTCTAATCCTGTTTTTTTTTTATCCCAATTAGCTGCTTCAAGTTAGTACAGTTCGCTCTGTTTTGTTGGTAATAAAAAGCCTTAGTGTTGTAGGATGATCGATTTGGCTGGGAAATTCGGATGTGTTTGTTGAAATTATGTAGGGTAGTCTATGTGTTTTTTCTTCTTTTATTGAAGCAATATCATGAATGAAGTTGTATAATATCTACTCTTTTATTTCTGTCCTCTGCTGGTGATCACAGAGATGGGTATATACCTCAGCTCTCCCAAAACAGAGAAATTCTCCGAGGATGGAGAAAATGGTAAGCTCAGATATGGCTTATCATCCATGCAAGGCTGGCGTGCAACCATGGAAGATGCGGTTAGTGATTTCTTCTTGAAATTGCGATGTTCAACATACTGAAGTGAGAATAGGAGTGGGCAGAGCAAAAGTTTCAAAATTGATAATCTGTTATGTGAGATTTGTTTGCTTCTTGTTTTGGTTGTGGATCCCGTTTGAAACTTATCTGGCAGTGATAATAAATACATCCATGTATGTTCTGCTCAATTTATTTGATTATATTCTTCTTATTACATAATCTGATTATTTTCGGAATGGTACTGCTCTCTCTTCACAATGTTCAGCATGCTGCTTTGCCTGATTTGGATGATTCTACTTCATTCTTTGGTGTGTATGATGGCCATGGAGGTAAGTGTGGAGTTTTGGAATCTTTGACTCTTAAATGTATGCTGTAAAACTTTCCATCTAGTGCTTGAGGTTGAGCAGTCCTATGGTTCTTTTGGTGGCTTGCAGGTAAAGTGGTTGCAAAATTTTGTGCCAAATTTCTTCATCAACAGGTTCTAAAGCACGAGGCATACATAGCTGGTGATATAGGAAGTTCTCTCCAGAAATCATTTTTCAGGTTATTGATATTTTCCTTTGATATAGACATATTGTCATATATCTAGTACTGTGTTAGACTAGTTGGAACTTGGAAGCTACTCTTGCATTCTCAGTTTGACACTTCTATCCCATCGTTACATCAAGATATGACATATGAGCAGCCATTAAGTGTAGTCAATCATAAGCACAATGCCCTCAGGCATATTGTCAAAACATATGCACCATATGTGGATGTTGAATTCTGCAATCTTATCCATTTACAATGCTTGTGGATGCAGAAATCTTTAATCTCATTCATGCATTTTTACATTTTGATTTTTATGACAGTGGAGGTTATAACTGTACTAAAGAAACCATTTTTACCCTTTTGAGGGGGGTGTTATCTATTCATTTTTGTTTGGAACTTGTGTGGGGTTGTAAAACTTATATATTTGTAAGAACTTAGGAGTTCTACTGGGATAACTTGTTTTTAGGTTGTTGCTATTTTTCTTTCTGTTCAAAAGGTTTATTCTATTTTTCTAGTGCTTTTTGAAATTGGATACCAGAGTTAATTGCCTGGTATTCCTGATTTTGCTTGAAACTGTGTCTTGTGACATTATTTCTGTTTTGTGTGCTACATGACCCTTGATAGCTCTTAAACACCTTAGTTACGTTGTTTCTCGGCAGAATGGATGAGATGATGCGGGGACAGAGAGGGTGGAGAGAGTTAGCTGTTTTGGGTGATAAGATAAACAAGTTCACTGGCATGATTGAAGGGTTGATATGGTCTCCAAGGGCTGGTGAGAATAGTGAGCAACATGATGATTGGGCTTTTGAAGAGGTGTAGTATTTATTAAGGGGATTGCCCTTTTGAATTGATGTCATCGCATTCCAGCTTATCATGTAGCGTATGGTATATTATTGTTCTGCCATTGTTGATATTGGAATCTGGAACTTTAGCCCATTGATATGCTTGCCATGAAATTTCCTAATGTACATGTTTGCCATTGAGCTTTATGATTTTGTTCACTTAACTAGCTTCATTACGCGAGCATCAATTATTGCTTATGGATTCGCTGTACCAACTGCAAAGAGTTGTTCGTGGGTCTTGGATTCCCTGCTTAATTTTGCTGGAAATTTGAGATGTTCTAATCAGAAAATGATTTCATTTGAATTTGTACAGGGGCCTCATTCTGATTTTTCTGGACCTACTTCTGGCAGCACGGCTTGTGTTGCAGTTATAAGAGACAAACATCTTGTTGTTGCAAATGCTGGTGATTCTCGATGCGTGATATCACGAAAGGGGCAGGTATTTTTTAGTTAACTTGCTGTTGATGGACTTGAATAAATATTTGACACTAAAGCTTCAACAGCATGTGAAATGGCTGATCACGTGCTGCTTTGCTATTATCCTGTCTTTTCTCCAAATGCTTTTGACCTCGGGATGTCAGTGGAATAAGAACTTCACACTTGTTTGTTCAGGCATACAATCTGTCCAGAGATCACAAACCTGATCTTGAGGCTGAGAAAGAGAGGATTTTGAAAGCTGGTGGCTTCATACATGCAGGACGTATCAATGGCAGCTTGAATCTTGCAAGAGCAATTGGTACTTGCAACTTCCCTTTTTTTTTTTTTGGCTCTTGGCTATTTCTGTGACAGCATTCTTGAATGCAAATAAACATCTATGGATTCATTTAGCAAGGAGATATGGGTAGAACAGTTATTGAAGTATTCTAGTTTCTTCAATTGCTCCTTTTTGCTTATGCAGGTGACATGGAATTCAAGCAGAACAAGTTCTTACCTGCAGAAAAGCAAATTGTGACAGCCAATCCGGATATTAACACTGTACGAAATACTCTATGGAATACCATCTCAAGCTTATATAAACTAAGGTTTACATTTTGATTGTTTGCACCTCCATTTGTCATCTCTGTACTCACATTCGATCATTCTTTTGACCAGGTTGAGCTTTGCGAGGATGATGATTTTATTGTTCTAGCATGTGATGGAATATGGTAAGAGTCTCTACTATGTTTCTCTTGCCTGCCTTCCGTGGTCTTTTGCTATTCTTGTCCTAATTCTTGGATTTGATTTGGAGATTTTACCACTTCCCAGAGCTAGCCATGTTTAGTCAATTTGCGGTTAGAGTACAAATGCCGTGCCTCAGTCAAAAGGAGCAATTCGCCTTGTGGTCTGAGTTCTGATTTTTTTTTTTTCCGTCCTCGACCTTAGCGATAATCTATATAGGTCAATGATTCACACTGAATTTAGCATCCACTGTTCATAAAGTATGAGGGTTTGTCGTATTCATTTGAAAGCAGCTATTGCTAAGCATTTTCGAATGCACAAAAAAACTGAAAATGATGGCTTGTTATTTGTATTTAATTTCTTACAGGGACTGCTTGTCCAGCCAGCAATTAGTGGACTTCATTCATGAACAACTGAAGTCGGTGAGTACTTCTAGCCCCTGTACTGGGGTCCTATAGTTTTGGGATCACTCTTTGAATGGATATTATCCCTCTCGTTCCTCCATGATTTTGCCTATAAACAATGTTTTAGCCCTTTTTCTTACTGATATTTGGCTAACGGGACTCTGGAAATTTTCGGCAGGAAACAAAGCTTTCAACAGTCTGCGAGAGGGTACTTGACAGGTGTTTAGCACCATCCACATTAGGGGGTGAGGGATGTGACAATATGACAATGATCTTGGTTCAGTTTAAGAAATCAGTCGAGCCAAGTAGTAGCTCCGCTGACGCAGATGGACAAACCTCTCAAGCCGAAGTTGCTGCTGTTAACCCTTCTGAGCCCATTGTACCTACTAGACCAGAGGGAGCTGAATGAAGAAGGGTATCAAGCAGATATAGTCTGCTGTTTGTTCGGTAATATTAAATTCTCTCGTCGACAATCTGTTCCTGAGGTCTGCCCTTTGCTTCCCTTTGTAAAAAAGCAGAGGACTTTGCTTTTTAATCCATGGTACTCTGCTTGAAGAGTGTGTTCTTTTTCCTCAACCACATCATCTCATTTTAGAAACTCTGTACAGGTCTTGCTGCTGACAAACGTTGATATATTGGTATATTTTGGAGTTGCTTCATGTCTCCTCTTATTATTATTATTATTATCTTTTCAACAGGAACTCATTAGATTTCGAGTCGAAATGGTCAAAACCTGCTCAATCTGTTTGTTTGATTATCTTTTTTTCATGTCGGTATGAGGATATCCATATCTATTCCATATGTATGTCAAGCAAGAGCTATTTCCTGCTGAGTTTGTCTGTTTGAGGATCTTTTTGCATGTTGGAGTGAAGAAGTCTATGCAGCTATTCCAGATCCAGATGCAAAAGCTACTGTGAAATTCTGTTACACGAAAACGGGCAGAAAACAAGGAAAGAATACTCGTTTTCAACGAGAAAGTTTGAGCATTTGTTTCCTTCATTTGAAGGACAGCAGCTCATGAGTTGCCATGAAATAGTCGTGTCACGTGTGCCGTCTTCTGCTGCTGCTTCTTGTTGAATAATCAACTGGCTGAATTTGTGGCGGTGGCGACCAAAGTCTCCCTTGCTGCTGTTGCTCCTGCTCTTGTTCAACAGATTGTATCTTCAGCAGATGTGTGTGCCTCCGTCTTAGAAACTTGATGAACCATAAAGAGGATTCGAAATGAATGCAGAAAAGAATCTGTATCAGCACATAATGAGACATTGTTAGTTATATACTCACTGTACTTCATCCTTAAGCGTCTGCTTCCTCTGCTTGGCAGTCTCAAGCTTCTTCTGCTTTGAAACAAATTCCTGAAAGAGACAGGAAGCAAGTACAAGATTCACAACCAAACGGGTCCAATGTAGATGTAGTAGCAGGAGGGAATATTCGTGGTTTTACTGGATGAAGATAGACTTATTAGACTAATAATAACCAAATCAAGAACATTCTGCAAGTTCAAGAACTCTTGAAAGAGTACTTTCTGTCTCTCTATTCTCTAAGTCCACTAAAATACCTTACAAATAGTCTTTCTCTTGGTAGTTATTGTAATTTCCATATATATAATGAAAAAAGTCTAGCCAAATTTATTTCATTAAAAATCAAGATCGATCATCGGTGAAATTGAAGTTAAGTGACGACGATTTATTTTAGTATAATGTCATCTGACAAAGCAATCGTGCCTGAATTTAGCCCAACCGATTGAATCATTTTGGTCCGGTCTTGTCCAGGATCATGCCTGTTCGACATAAAACCGGCCTGTTTGATTGGACAACTTAGCTCCCCTTGAACCCTTCAAACGACATCGTTTCTCAGAAGTGTAGGGCAGAAGAAAGACCTGCCTGCAAACGATGGCGTTTTGTTGCAAGAGAGATGAACAAGTGAGCAAAATTGCAAAAATAACTCTCTCTCTCTCTCTCTGGTCCCAACTCCCAAGTCTGCATTCCACAATCCCTAATTCCGTCGAGTCCTCTGTGCTCTTCCTCTACTCCCGCGCACTGAGGCTCTTCCAGTTCACTTCCCCGCCGCACGGACAGTCGGCCACAGTCGACCCACGGCGACTCTGCTCTGCGCCTCTCAGTATCACCGTATGATTTCATACTCTTTTAACCTCTTTTCTTTTTATTCGACAGAAACAGATGGATGCAATGTTCAATGCTCTTTTTTTTTTTTTTTTTTTTGTAAAAAATCTCTGATTTGCGATTTCTGCTTCGCAATCGGGACTAGGGTTTGAACTTTCGGAGGTCAAGCCATGGAGGAATCGCTATCGGCGAATGATAAGGACACCATGGTCACTTCTTTCCTCGAGATCGCCGTCGGCCAAACCGCTGACACTGCCCGACAGTTCTTGCAGGTACTTCCCGCAATACACTATGACCCTAACGAGTGCCTTAGTAATTTCTGTTGAATATATTAGTCGGCTGCCTTCTTCTTTTTTGGGTAGAAATCTGCTGTCTTTTAAGGCAACACTATGAGGAGCTTTTGCTGAAGGCAATATTAAAAGTTTTTCAAATAGACCTGTTGGGTTGGACTTTGGTATGTCATTCATTCTATGGGAACTGTTATATATGCAAGCGGTGTCTGTTGTAATCAAGAGATTATTGCTTCCTCTTGGCATTGCTATTGATGTAATAGAGCTTAAGGGCTCGTAAAATAGAAACAAGTTGTAGATTGTGTTTTAAGTGTTGAAGGTGTTGTTTCCTGGTAGTATGCAACCCAGTAATGAAATATTGTAATGGACTAGGCCACAAGTTGGAAGCTTGACGAGGCTATTCAACTCTTCTATGTTGGCAACGAAGGACAAGTGGCACCTGCTGCACGTTCACCACCTGTTGCAGATCAGTGGACTAATGAAAATCCAGGGTATGCTGTATCAGCTGTTGTCTTATCTTAATTATCACTTGTCATTCTCATCACAAGGTAATAGTGTTTTGAACAGTTGCTAGTTGTTGCTACTTTTTTCAGTTTGCTGAATGATATTGACAATGAAAGGGTTGGAGGAGATGTTGAAGATGTAGTGCGCGCTCCTTTACCTGTAATGAGGGATACACTTTATGATGCTGCTGCTTTGTATGGGTAAGTGGCATCCTCCTCCAGTAAACTATGTGAAATGCAATTGTGATGCAGCCTTGTTTCCGCTTAGATGCGTTATTTAGCTACATTTCAAAATGCCGTCAGTCTCCCCCCACTTATCCTCTCTACACTTTAAGTGCCAGCTTTTGTTCCAAAGTTTGTAATTGTTGCATGATAGCCCTGGTTGACTGGTAGATAGATCAATAGATTAGCATTGAAGTCTTACATTACATCCTTTTCTGGTACCTGTTAGTAGCTTTGCTCATGAATATGTGATTGCAATTTCTATATTGTTTCTCTGGCCTTTTGGTCATTCACTGGAAATAAGGGCATTGGCATCTTCTCTTAACTTAGAGCATCAAGGACGGGATACTCATCCCGGGAACCCAGTTCACTTATGGCTTTCCGCAACTTTAATGAGGAAACAAAGCATCCTGCGGTTTGGGAATCAGAACAAGGTGCTACGTCCTCGGCAAATACCCCGCGTGATCTTGCTTCTTTATATCGGCCACCTTTCCATTTAATGTTTCAGGGGTCATTTGAAAAGGTATAGTTCACAGTTTTTTCTTTCTCTTCTATTAGTTGATACTTCATTCTAAATTACCGAATCTCTTTCCATTTAATGTTTCTGGATGACATCAAAGTTCAATTTGCTACATCCTCGACAAATCTTCTCTCGCTTAAAGCTCTGTTTTTTTATTTATTTTGCTGTTGTGAATCTGGATACAACTTCTCTTATCAATTATCCTTTCCTGTTCTGCGCTTGAGTTGAATTCCTTCCTAAGTTTCAAATTTTACGTGGCTTGCAAAATCCAGGCAAAAGGTGCAGCATCTGTTCAGGACAAATGGCTTCTCATCAACTTACAGTCCACAAAGGAGTTTAGCTCACACATGGTATCTGTGCTCCCTTGGTTCACTTGACATCTGAAATGCCTTCAATCTATCTAACCATAAGCATTCCAAGTTTCTAACATTTTTTTATTTTTTGTGCTCTCACTACATCTACTTGTATAATGTTGTAGCTGAACAGGGATACATGGGCCAATGAAGCCGTCTCTCAGACCATTAGCACCAACTTCATATTTTGGCAGGTTGGTATGGTAGCAGTTTCACTTGCTCTTCTCTCCTTACCAAAAACGCTCACTTAAATCCTTTTCCATCTGTTTTGAACTGTCTAATGAACATCCTATTTCTCGACTCCCCCCCCCCCCCCCCCCCCACCCAGAGTTTAACATTGAAGATGATTAGTTTAGCCTTATTCTGACATTCTACGCTGTTATTGAAGATCAAATTACGGGAAATGGCGCCTTATATTTTTTTGTTGTAGTGTTGATCTGTATTTTCAAATTTAGGTGTGCTTTCCCTGGGATTCCATTGAAGTCTAAGGGGTTCTCGTCTTTTGAAAGAGATTATTCAAAGACCATGTAAATAAGTACACTTTATGTGAGGCCACTTGTCTGATTTGTTTGATCTTGTCCACGTAAATAGGTATATGATGATACAAGTGAGGGTCAGAAAGTTTGTACGTATTACAAACTAGATTCTATTCCAGTGGTGCTAGTCATTGATCCAATCACCGGACAAAAAATGCGCTTATGGTGTGGTATGGTACAACCAGAAAGTCTACTCGAGGTATTTTTAATGCTTTTGACTTGACACTACTTCTCATTGGTATAGTTATTCCTGTAAATGTGTTCTTAATCAATCAGATGTTTCTTCAGGATCTGGTTTCATATTTGGATGGTGGCCCAAGGGACCACCATAAAAGTTTGTCTAACAAACGCCCCAGGGGAGGTTCTCTGACACCATCTAAGAACAAAGGTAATTATTACTCTTGCTATTTCTATACATATTGTTGATCGCCAAGTTAGACACATTGGTGTAAGTTGGGGGACAGTGAGCATATGTTTTGGGCTTTGCTGGCGACTCCTTAAGTTTTACAAATATGTCATCTACCTATGGGATTTATAACTCAAAGCCAAATGTAACATAATTATCGGATTCTACTGATTGATTGTTCCTGCCTAGTATCTGGAGAATATGCTTGAGTTTGATAATGTAATGAATATTATGTTTCCTCCTAAGCACTTATCTTGCTTTTGTCTTTGTTATTTGTTAGTAGAACTCTTTTGAGTTTATAATTGGTAAGGGGTAACCTGTTATTTCGCTTTTGATTTGGTCCTAATGGCTTGTTTCTCTCTCTCTCTTTTTTTTTTTTTTGGTGAAAGCATGTTTCTCTTTATCTATGCGTTTGTGCTTTGTCATGCTTTTGCTCATGGAACCTGGCGTCTTTATGCATTATAGATGAAATTAATGAAGAAGTTGAGCAAGTGCCACAAGCTGTATCTGCTGCGACAGAGAGAATGGCAGACCCAGCTGTGGCGGTTTTGAACAATAACAGTGTTAGTGACACCAAGAAGATGGAAGAAGTGAGTTTGTGTTCGAAGACCCAGTATCCACCCTTGCCTGAAGAACCCAAGGGCGACAAGACCCTCATGTGTCGGGTTGGACTTCGACTTCCCGATGGGCGTAGGGTTCAGAGGAGTTTCCTGAAAACTGATAAAGTCCAGGTAAAGAAATCTTGGCTAGTTGTTATATTTAGTTTTCATATCCTAGTGACACATCTACATTTGAAAAATGCCGGTTGCATGCTGCACTGCAAGTATAGAGTAATTTCTGAACTGGAAACTTTCTTCTCTCATCGTCCCAGACAACTGGTTCATTGTTTGTTCTGTGTGTGTTTCAGTTATTGTGGTCATTCTGCTGTGCGGAATTGAAGGAAGCTCAGACAAGACGATTTCGGCTCACACAAGCGATCCCAGGAGCCAAGAGTCTGGATTTCGAGGGAGGTCTGACCTTCGGGGAGTCGGGGCTGGACAACTCTATGATTCTGGTTGCGTGGGAATGACCGGCCGGGTCAGTGTGAAGCAGCATTCTTCTGTTGGAAAGGCTACCTACGGCTCCATCTCTTCCCAGCCGTGCAAAGACCAATTTGGCTTGCTTTTGTTCAGCTGTTTTTGTGTAAATACTCGCGCGACTGTTCTTCCTTACCAGTGGTACAGGGTTCTTTCGTGTATTGGGAGTGACACTGGTACATTGTTAAGTTAAATCTGCCGTGGTGCCTTTGCCCTCCGCTTCTCATTTCCGTTATGTGTTATAAAAAATTCAAGTTAGCAAATGAATGGGATGGCAATGAAACGGGTTTAAACCATCCATGTTCTTCTTTTCTGATATCCGTGCCGATCGGAACCTGTAGGTGGATAATAGGGTAAATGACACATTTGGTCACTGAGATTACTAAGGGGTCGTTTGGAGGTTGAGATTTGAAGTGAGGTATTTAGCAAATACATGTAATGATAAGATTAAGTCGTTTTTTTTGTTCACTTTGAGTTAGAATGCATGCATTACCTTTTTGTTGGGCCCACCTACAATCACTCAAAATGAATGATTATAAATCTCTACTAAAAGGTGAGATTGTTAATGAGGGATTGTCTACCCAACTTTTTGTTTCATCATTGCTCTTCCAAACAAAGTATTTTCCTAATACATGCATTGAATCAATACATCAAATGATAATACACTAATTGACCTAATACATCAATTTGAAGAATCACAAGTTCCAAACGACCCCTAAATTGTGTCATATTTAGTCACTAGAAAAATTTAATATCAATTTTGGTCACTCGAATTACTGAAACAGGTCACATTTGGTCACTCTTTTGTAGCCTCTGTCCAACTCCGGTCACTCGAATTATTGAAAAATGTCACATTTAGTCACTCGGATTACTGAAACATGTCACATTTAGTCACTCTCCCAAAAGTTTCCGTCCAACTACATTAATGGAGTTGGACGGAAACTGACGGGAGAGTGACTAAATTTGACCAGTTTCGGTAATTCGAGTGACCAAAATTGATATTAATTTTTTCTAGTGACTAAACATGACACAATTTAATAATCTCAGTGACCAAATGTGTCATTTACCCGTGGATAATATCCATTATGTATATCCAATGTTACTATATTTATCATTTAACGTATAGATATTTATAATGATGAAGCCAACAAAATACAAGTATACAACTCTAGTTTAATACGAATTCAATGCACTCAGTCTTAAAACATCCATAATCCATAAAAAAAAGTACAATATTATTCAAATCATTCATCTAAAACTTCACATTTTCTAATCCATAAATAAGTAACATAATCTTGTTAAAACTTAAAAGAGAGAAAGAATTGAAGAATTGAATGAGTGAACAGGAAATTGGAATGAAAGAGGTGAATGTTTGGTTTGACCGTTTGAGTGACCACACAATTACATTTCGGTTCTTTATTATTTTATGTTATTAGTTATTACCCTTCTTTTCACTGTCATATTACAATGTGATCTCTCTATTTTTTTTTCATATATAAAAAACTCACTTAGTGTGTATGAGCATTGTGCGAGGATATAAAATTCATATAATCGTCCATTCTCATCAAATTTTTTACGAATTTTACTCATACCTTATAAGTCATAGCCAATCAATGTGTGATTTTCTGTATTGCATAGTTGATTATCATCCATACTATCAAATTGTTTTTTCTAATAATATTTGTCATCTAAAAAATGAAATTCAGGTATCAAATTGAAAACATTAAAATCATTTCATCGAAAAAAGGAGGTTAGGGATTGTGATTTTCAGCCTCTGAGGCTGACCCTGGTTGCTGAAGCTCGGTCGCCGTCACTTTGTACCCACAATGTTATCGCTCAAGGTACTCTTAACTTCCCGACTCGGCAATCGGTGTTTGATTCCGGTGGGAGCCTTTTCCGTTGCCCGGTTCTCTAAACTCGCCGGGAGTTCAACCAGTACAACCTCTCCTTTAGTTGACTACCTGGTTTCAAATTTCCAGTTCCCTGAAACTCAAGCCCTCTCCATTGCGGCTGGATTCCACCATCGCCAGTCTTCCCAAAAGGCGCAAGCTTTGTTCACGTTTCTACGCGGCCTCGGTTTCTCTCAGGACCATATACGATCTACTGTCTGTGGGGCTCCTCAGATTCTGTTCGCTGGTGTTGACAATAACCTTAAACCCAAGATGGAGCTGTTTCAGAAACTGGGTTTCGAGGGTCCTGGTCTTGGTAAGTTTGTCTCTAAGAATGCTGGTGTTTTAACATCTAGTCTGGAGAAGAGGCTGCGTCCTCGAGTTCATTTTTTGCTAGGAAATTTTTATCAGAAGGACGTGCTTAAGGCTATAGAAAGATGCAGTTTGCTTATATTTAAGCACCCAGATTCTAGATTGCTGTCAAACGTAGCTTTGTTGCGAAGCTGTGGCATTGTAGGGTCTCAGCTCTCCATGCTGTTGAGGATGCTGCCTAGGGTTTTTCTGAGGAAAGAATGTCAACTTAGAGGCATCGTTTCGAGGACTTTGGATTTCGGGTTCTCAATGAAATCAAGGATGTTTGTACATGGGTTGTGTACTGTTAGTTGCTATAGCAAGGCGACAATCGACCGGAAGTTTGCCGTGTTTGAGGGATTTGGGTTTTCGAGGGAAGAATGCATTGCAATGTTCAGAACAGCTCCGGCCGTGGTGAGGTGTTCTGATGTGAAGTTAACGTCTGGGGTTGATTTCTTTTTGAACACCATGAATCTGACAAAGGAGGCGGTGGTTCGTAGTCCTGGACTTTTGATGTATAGCATGAAGGAAAGAGTTATTCCTCGATATCGAGTTCTGGAGATTATGGAATCGAAGGGGCTGTTGAAGAAGAAGCCAAACTTTAACACCGTTGTGTTATATACAAGTGAACAATTTCTGGAAAAGTTTGTATTCATGTATCGAGATCATGCAAAGGAACTATTAGGGGTTTACAATGGTCACAATGTGGATTCCTCTGAAGATGCAACTTGTTTGAAGGTGTCTGTAATTTGATTTCATCCAGTTACCTCACCTGGAGACCTTGTTGCAAATGCTTTTAATGCGAGGGTTCTAACTTCTAAAGGTATGTTGTGGATTTGAAAGTTGGCGAGGGTCCATGGTTCTTAGAATGGGGAGGAATTGCAGATGGTTAAGTGACTTCATCTTGGACATTTTCTATTTCATCGAACCAAGAAAGTGTTGTTGAGTTCCTGGGTACTTGTCAGTGATTATGGATTGGATGCGAGAAAGCAGAAACTAATTTGATCGTGTGGCAAACATGAAGGCAAGAAACCTTTTTTCTAGGCCATCAATTTTGGTGATGCAATGATTTTATCAACAAGTTTTCTTACTCATATTGTTAAGATAATGAAGGGCAGTGGCTACTCCCGTATAATCTAGATTAGTCTCTTGAGAGAGAAAAATGTATTACCAGGTCAGTCGGCCACTTGCCCTTGTCTATGTTTTCTTCTGCAAGGTTTTGCTTGTTAACTTGAAATATCATGCTTCAATTTCTGATGGTGTAAGAAATGAAAGTTTACAAGAACGTCTAATAGCCAAGATCCTGAAGGGCATTTCTCATATAGACATCACTCTTCCCTTGCCAGGGTTAAGACACCTTTGAATGTATGTCCTTGTTCAAGCAAGGAGACATGATTGCAGCTATGGCCATTTATGCCTGAATGTTCTTAAGCAGTTGGAGAACTATAAAAGTCCTTGATCATTTGATTTCAAGCTAGCTCTAGGTTTACTCAAACAATTCTTATTGAAGAGTAATTGACTTGACTTCTAAAATGGCCTTGCAGGCCAGCTATCAAGCTTGTATTCAGCATGATAAGATGTTTGATGATCTTTGAAGTGTTTCTTAAGGATTGCTTAGCTTTGAAGTTGCAGTATGAAACCAAGGGAATCTCAAGATCATTGCTTGAAAAGGAGAAGAGAACAAGAAGATATGGACTTTTCATTTAGTACAAATGAATCAAAAGAATAATAATTAACTTCCCTCCCACAAGAAACATGACATTCTGGGGCTGAAACTAAGAAACCATCACCCATCATTCCGAGAGGAATCAAAACAGGAAGCATTGGAGAAGCAGCAGTAGGGAACCCAAGCAAGCAACAAGACCGAAGCTGGACGACGCTGCTGCTGCACCAGTCGTGGGCGCAACAGCAGGAGACATAACCTGCTGCGGCTGGTCTTCTTCTGCAGAACCAGGTGAAGGAGCAGGAGACGCAGCAGCAGCAGTTCTGGGAGACAAGACGACGATGATCACCTTCTGACCTTCCTTGCAATGTCCATCAGCTCCGCTGATGAAGTAGTGCGCGCCGGCTCTCTCCAGCTTCACCTTGGTGTTCCCGTCTTTGTACTCTGCAATGGGGTCGGTGACATTGCAGGCGAGGTAAGCTTTCTTGGACACCTCCAGAACCGAGTCCTTGTTCCCGTCGTACTTCCACACTTCAACCATCAGAAGAAGGGGGAAAAACAGAGGGTTAGCTTAATTGGGGAAGGGGAATTGAAAGTTCAATAACAGAGGATTTTGAATGGAATCTAACCGAGAGAATCGCCAATGCGGAAGCGAGTGCGTTGAGCCCATTTGTTGAGGGAATCGGACTCAGAACTTGGGATGGTCCAGCCGTCCGACTTGCCTCCCACTGTTATCTCTTTGGCTTCTGTGCAGAAGCAGAGGAGGCAGATGATCAGAGATGAAGAAGAGAGGAGAAGAGCTGTGCGAGAGGCGGCCATGGAGGTGGTGAAATAGAAAAGAGCAACGTAGCAAGTAAGAAAAATGGGGATAGAAGGCTAAATCGCCTGGCTGTTGCTTCTGAAGGGAGAGTGTGCAGAGAGAATTACTGTTTGCAGACCAGTTGGAAGTGAAGTGCAAACTTTGAAATGGGTAAGCATTTATAGGGAGAAGAAGAAGAAGTAGCCGTTGTGAGAACAGGGGCCCAATTCTGGTTATGGTGCATGAAAAGCATACAATCACAACGGCCATTTCTTTGCAAAACCCGGAGAGAGAGACAGGGCTCCTACAAATATCTAGTCCTCATTCTTTTTGAGATTTCACATTTCATCCCCATCTTTCTTTTCTTATGTTTTACCCCTTTCTTTCCATTTGTCAAAGACGAAGGCATGCCACGGTGGCATGCGTCCACCTGTGTTTCACACAACACGTGTCCATACTCCTCCCCCGCTCTTCTCATTAAACCATGGTCCATGAAACCGTACCAGAGACCGTGCCGGAAAAGTCAGCGATAGGGTATTTTATGACAAAACCTTGGTTTAACCGTAGTTCAACCGTTAGTACCGTTAAATACTGCCTATCGGTTTAGCCTCCGATACTGGTATTTTGTGGTTGAACCGTCGGTACGGTACGGTTTAATGGACCATGCATTAAACCCATGATTAAAATACCGTATCGGCGGTTCGATATGAAAAACCTTCTACTAGAAGCAAAACTGGTAGACAGTATTTAGCGATATAATACAGTTGAACGATGATTAAACCACGGTTACCGGTGTACAGCCACCACAGTTTTCAATAGCAATTGTCTGTCACCGATTCTTACGATCGTGGAGGAGTTGGAAAACCGCATCCTAGGTCGTCGGGGAAGTTCATATAAGCAGAAAGAGTGGCATGAGCAGTTTGCTAACATCGTCACATATCGTATTTAGATTCGTCTATTTAGTCTCGTATCGTCACGTTCAACGGTGCAAAATTCATATGTAGACAATCAAATGGCAGCCGCACCACAGAGAACGGAAGTGAACAATGAAAAGGGCTATTACATCATAATCTCAACAACATTGTCTCAATACAAAAATGAGCAACAAGAGTTTTACACCTGATAACAATCTTAACTTTTATCTACTAAATTGTGAATCTTACCCTGTTTGGCTTCAAAAGAAAGGAATGGGAGCACAGAATGATCCCTCTGCAAACCCAGGAAAATTTATTGATACAATCAATCAATCAATCTTCACGGATGAGTAGATGAGCCTCGTGAACCAGAAGCACGCATAGAAACCGATGGTGCCGGTCAGGACGAAGAACGCATACGAAGCGATCAGCATGTAGCCGAAGTACAACGCTCCGGAGACGAGCTTCGTGATTTCGAGCTTGGTGAAGAAGTAGAATGTGGCATAGAGGAACAGGTAGACTGCAGAAGATCCTGAGGTCAGGTACGATCTCCACCACCACAGATAGTCCTCGCTGCAGAGCTGGAAGTAGCAGAGCACGACGGTGATCTCAGCGCAGGTGATGATGAGGATGATGAACACCAAGAAGAGGAATCCGAAGATGTAGTAGAACTGGTTCAGCCATATCGAGGTGAGGATGAAGAACAGCTCAATGAAGACGGCTCCGAATGGGAGTATCCCACCGATCAGGATCGAGAAAGCGGGGTTCATGTACCAAGCTTGCTCTGGAATCTGTCTGGGGATCTTGTTGGTCTTCACAGGATCCTCCAAAGCTGTCTTCTTGAATCCGATGTAGCTTCCGACAAACACTAGTGGGACCGAGATGCCGAACCACAAGAACACCAAGGCAAACATTGTGCCGAAGGGGACAGCTCCGGATGACTTCTGGCCCCATATGAGAGCATTCAAGACGAAGAAGATTGCAGAGACGATCCCAGGGAACATGATTGCTGTTCGGAGTGCAATCTTCTTCCATTCAGTACCTTTGAATAGCTTGTATAGTCGGGAAGATGCATACCCGGCAAACAGGCCCATGAAGACCCAGAGCAAAAGCATGGCTGTCATGAGGCCACCTCGGTTAGATGGGGAGAGGAAACCAAGAATGGCAAAGAGCATTGTGACAAGGATCATGCAGAAGAACTGGACACCAGTTCCCACATAGACGCAGAGTAGTTCCGAGCTCATCGGTGGCCTGAAAACATCACCATGGACGAGTTTCCATCCAGTTTCTTCTTGAGCCTCTTCTTGGGTCTCTAGTTCATTGTACTTGGAGATGTCACGGTAAAGTGTCCTCAGCATGATCATTGCTACCATGCCGGAGAGGAAGAGAACAATCATCAAGGAGTTGACAATTGAAAACCAGTGGATTTGATCATCACTCATCAGAAGATATGCATCCCATCTTGACGCCCACTTCACATCACTCTCCTATAAAGATGGACCATGAACAGGGATTAGAAAGAGGATAGCATATGACTTGCTATAGATAAAGAAACTACTACCCCGTGAGGTGACATCATCACGTTTTATGATGAGAAGCCATAGGAAACAAATAACCAGGCCTAAACCATGACAACATAACAGACATGGATCGTTGAACTAAAGAGTTCACCTGGAAATCAACGTCATAAGTGAAAACAATCTCCTTTTTGTCATCCACTTCTTGGGGAGTGTTTGAATTGATAACAGTACGCTTAGTATGAGGATCACAGGTAGTTAAACGTGTCTTATCCTCAGCCCATTTCCCCTCATATTCGTGCTTGATACTGAATTGTACAAATACTCAGGTCAGGGCAGCAAACTAAAACGGTAGAAGAGATGGGTATCGCAAACACCCAGAATGCAGTAGACTTGTCAAAGAAAGGAACCAACCCAGAGCAACTGACCTGTATGGCTTCACTTCAAAACCCACAATTCTTGCAGCGTCAGTTTGCAGATCCCTGTGAAACTTGACAGTGAATGCCAAGTGGTTGTGAATGAAATATTTTTCCTCTTTGCTCTGCATACGGTCAGACAACTATAAGGAAAAGAAGAAATAACAAGACGACATAAAAGAACAAAGTTCTCAAATGCTGGCCACTTACCCCGCTATATTGGCCTTTGAATCCAACATGGTAACCAAGCTGAAAGATAGTAGGGGACTCCTGATCCAGCCTCCTTATTGCAACCACAAGAGGCAGATTATCGAGGATCCTGTTACACAGATGATAGAACAGTTGAGAATGAAACTTTAAAACGACAATGGAACAGTGACAATGTAGGACGGACGCACGATGCAACTCTTACATGTTGACCCTGTATTCATCATCAATCTTCTCCTTAAACTCCTTAGCGGTCTTGGCATCAAGATTAACCCGGCAAAGAACATTGCACATTTTGGGTTCCCTCATTTTAAACTGCAATGAATAAGCACAGTAAAATAAGTTGGTCTGCAAAAAGAAACATTAAGAAACATAATTCCAGACTCCAATTAATACTGACCACATAGGGAGAGTTCTCAATTCGATCCCCACGAAGAACTTCACCGAGATTCTCAGCACTGTCCACGATCTTTGCTGGACGGCAGAAGGGCAGGGAATAGAAAGAGTAAGGAAGCTGCGTCTTTGTAGAGGTCAGCTTGTTCACCTTCACTCTCAACTCATCTCCCTGCACTCAGACCAAACCAATATGAGATCAGAATACAAGAATCCCACAACACCATGAAAAAGTCTTGAAGGTGGAAGCATTGCACCAGTTTTCCTCCCATAACAACCTCCATTACATACCACGAAAAGATCCAATAGGAATTCCCGATCCAGCTAAAAACTCAGTATTCAGTATTCAGAATTGAAGCATCGACGAACAGAAGCGGCAATAACCTACAGTACTCAGTGTGTAATCTAGTAAAGCCAATCCTGGACCACATTCGGTGCCTTAAAAACATCCTAAATCTGGCAAATCCGAGATGAAATCTATACTAAACATGCACAGGGACAATGGCTGAGATTCAGTAACTGTAGGATTCGTTACTAAGCTCCTTTGCACCAAGACCGAATCTAACACAGAAGAACATAAACTGGAAAGCAGATCGGAGGAAATGAAATGCAGATCAATGGAGAGAGGGAGAACCTTGATGAAATCCTCGGGAGCGACACCGGGGAGGTAGAAAGAGCGAGCGCCATGGACGAGAAGCAAGAGAAGGAGGAGAGTGGAGATCGGGGCGGCGAATGGAGAAGACGATCTTCTGCATCTTCCTCCTGCAGGCGCCATTGAAGAAGAGACGGAGAGCTCTCCCTTCGACGAGATTCAGAGAAGAAAGAGAGACGGTGGCGGGTTCGTAGATCTGGAGAGGCCGGGTGAGATATAGAGAGGGGGGACGAGAGGGAGGAGTACGGGGGATTTGTTTTTCTGTTGTTATGGTGACTCGATAGTCGATAGCATACAATAAAAAAAAATTATAAATTATAAAAGACGGAGGATTAGAGAGAGACACGAGGGTCAAACTAAGGAAGGAGATCGAAATAATTTTTTTTTTTTTTGTAAAAAAGAAAATTAAGAGAGAAAAATTAATGTGAAATTAATTAATTAAACCAGAACTTCTGGGACTGGATCCGGGGGAGGAGTGAGTGAGGAAGACGTTGCACCGTCTCTGTCTCTCTCTCCGTCTTTCGTTCTCTTCTGTCGGTGGGAAAGGAACGTTTGGCAATAGGTCGGGTTAGGTCAAATCCAAACCCAAATTTATGGATGTATTCGTGAAAAAAGTTTGGGATAAAATTCATCGAGTTTGAAAAACTCAAATCCAACCAAACTCGTTGGGTACACATGAATTTTTGTGGTAAAAAATTTACAATAACAAGTTCCTATAAAAATAAAAGTCTTCTACCAAAAAAAAAAAAAGTCAAATATCAATCTCTCAATACAAATGATTCAAATGTAAATCACCATTCTAGAAACTTCAAGCAAATCACAAATTAACCATACAAATTGTTCAACACCAATCTAGAAAACTTAAGAAAATTGAAGCAAATCACAAATTATCCATAAACAACATGATTAATTGAAAACTTCTTACTCCTTGTCAATTAAGTTTCTTCGCTCTCCACTTGATAATATCAACTTCATTCTTCTACACAATTAGAAAGAAAAAATTAGACATTTCTCCACAAACATAAAGAATATTAGTAGTTTAGAAAATGACCTTTAAAATCCAAAGAAAATTACCTTCCAGTTATAAATATTATAATGCGTGTTTTATTTATAAGTAAGTTGAAGTTTAAGAACACGCTTTCTTTTAAGAAGTACTTCACCTTCAAGAAGGTGAAACCGTTTTAAGAGTTTTTAGTCGCTAGCGCCAGTTCGTTGTCATTTGAGATTTTCAGATAGAGCAGCAGTTATGCTCTTGAGATATTTAAGTTAGTAGCAGCAGTTATGCTCTTGAGATTTTTAAGATGAGCAACAGTTATGCTCTTGAGAATCGTGG